GACACGCTCACCAGCGTCAGCAAGCTTGGGTCGGTGCTGTCGAGGCAGGGCAAGTACGAGGAGGCAGAAGCGATGCATCGACAAGCACTAGAAGGAAGAGAGAATGTGCTTGGGCCTGAGCACCCCGACACGCTCACTAGCGTCAGCAACCTTGGGTCGGTGCTATGGAGTCAAGGGCGGTTTGCGGACGCCGAGACCTTGGAACACGGGTCATGGAGGCAAGGAAGAGTGTGTTTGGAGATGACCATTCAGACACGCTGATCGCAATGGCCAACCTCGCGTTCACCGTCAGGTCGCAAGGTCGCAAACAGGACGCTATGTCGCTGATGGAAGCGTGCGTTCAAGCGCGGGCACGAGTGCTCGGGCCTGACCATCCTGACACTGAGTCTTCTACTGCAACATTAACCAGGTGGCGCTCGCAGAAGCCTAATCTAGCGATTCGGGAAAGCAACGAAGCATCGGTGCGACCGTCAACGCATAGAGGAGCAAATGTTCACGCGAAGGGCAATAATGAGAAGACGCTGTTGCACTCGACAACTCAAGAAGGGAGCGAGAGTATAACGTAGCTTCTGCTGGCTAGAGAAGCGGATCTTGAGGCTGCGGACAAGTATGGGAAGACGGCGCTGCACTTAACAGCTGAGCAAGGGAAACAAGCGGCAGTGCAGCTGCTGATAAACAGAGGAGCGAATCTCGAGGTCAAGGATAAGCATGGGAAGACGGCGCTACATTGGGCGGCTTGGAAGCGAATTCAGACGGCCGTGCAGCTGCTAGTGAGCAGAGGAGCGAACCTTGAAGCCAAAGACAACAATGAAAAGACGGCGTTGCACTTGGCAATTCAAGAAGGGAACGAGGCGGTGCTACAACTGCTAGTAGCTAGGAAAGCAAACCTCGAGGCGAGGGACAAGTATGGTAGGACGGTCCTATATCGGGCAATTTGGGAAAGGAACGAGGCGGCAGTGCGACTGCTTATGAACAAAGGAGCAGACGTCAACGCGAAGGACAATCGTGAAGAGACAATGTTGCACTTGGCGGCTCGGAGGGAAAACGAGGTGATAATACAGCTTTTATTGGCTAGAGAAGCGGATCATGAGGCAGTGTCAAGGCTGCTTAAGGAAAGACTAAAGCCATAATCGAATTGGTGAACTACCTGAACGACCTGCAGCGAAGTCTCTGCCAACTCTTTAGAAGCCTGACAGTTTCGAAAGCGTGAATAGGACCCAGGTAGTGGACTTCTAACTGGACCCAAAGTATCCGCGACACGATGAGCACTTCTCTGAAAACATCGACTTGGTCTTTGATCACACTCTATCATGAGAGACAACTGCGGCACCTAAGAAGCTTAGAGATGAGCTGGAAGAGCATTTGAGCACTTGAAAAGCGAGTATAAGAGTAAGCACTGGACGCCGCTGAGGCCTGGGGGTCAGGAGCAGTGGGACTGGAACCATGATGAGAGGGTCTGGGTGAGCCGGGTGAGGGCGATTGGCTGGTGGACGAGAATGGGCAAAGTGCGTAGAAATTTCCGGGCAAGCTGTTCTGATGTCTGTATTGAACCGCGCGGAGGTAGTCACGATTAGATTGGGGTGACTTAAGAATGGAAAGGCAACGTATACGTCATGATGTGCGGCTCGAAAGTAGTGCGTTGCCATGTTGAGTAAGTCACATTGGCCTGAGGTTCTGGACTTGCTTACACTACAGAAGCAGACCATCCATGGCTACTATGAGGGGAGTGGGCATGGAGTTGCGGGGTTTTTGACGTGTATTATTTGGTTTCTGTGCGGGCCGTTGCGAGCGATCGTTGTAGTGATCCGCTAGGTCGTCATCGCTACCACTTAATGAGAACTTGAGGCTCCGTGTCATTATTGGCCCCAAATATCCTCTGTGCGTCAAGGTTAAATCCGTGGAAGGTCGAGATGCTTGTAAGGGTCTGTAAGTCAGGTGAGCCTGTGCATGTGATCAAGGGCAGCAGGATAAGCGTGTTTTCGAAGTTGGTTTGGATGACTGACGTGTTTTGTTGCTTGGTTGGTTAAGGAAGCAAATGCTCATCGTGCCATTGGCGTGCAAGATTTTGGTTCAACTCTTATGCAGAATCCACCACCTCGTCATGTCTAGTTCCAATATTCCACGAGACTTACACGGGCACTTATAAGCTCTGCGAATCCCTCTTCTCCAGATTTATCCCCACAGACAGATAAATCTTGATAGACATACAACTCTTGAAGTACATTGTAGACTTCAAACTCGACTTACAGTAAGTGCTCGGTAACCCTCACCGCGCTGAGGATCTCCTACTTGAGTACTGTGCTGATACCCACAGAGCTCTCCACACATACATGGAGAATACAGAGAAAGAAGAAGCTCGCGTCGGGCAGCCTAGGTCCGATCTTGGCAGCGACGCCTCGGCTGCACCAGCAGTCGAGCGAAAGGAAGGTCTCGTTGGTGATGACGGCATCACCAGATTGAGCGAGGTTACCAACCTCAAGGACACGGCGTACGCTTTCTCAACGAAGCGTAAGTGGTGGATCCTTACGGTCGTTGCGTTGTGCCAAACAAGCATGAGTAAGTTGCTCCTTTCGCCGTTCCAGCTTCGAACAATTGTTCTCATTATGTCGGTTGCTAACACGAAGATAATACAGACTTCAACGTGGCCGTATACTCAAACGCCATTGCCCCGCTCAACGAGCACTACAACCTGGGCGATAACCACTTTACCAATGCCAGAGCGGGTCTGGCTTGGTTCCTAATTCCATATGGTATTGGGTGCGAGTTGTGGGCGCCGTGGTCAGAAGAGTTTGGCCGCTGGATCGTCATGCAGCTTTCGCTTGGTTCTGTCAACATCTGGCAGATCCTCGGGGGGGCCAGCACATCTTGGAACATGGTACTCGCGGCTCGTATTCTTGGTGGTGTCTGCTCTGCTGGTGGCTCGGTCACGCTTGGTATGGTGGCTGACATGTTCGAACCTGAGGAACAGCAGTTTGCTGTGCTTTGGGCTTCCTTGTGGTCTTGTCTTGGTTCCGGTAAGTGTTTTTGCCCTTACATAAAGTTTGCTTGCTAACTTGATACAGTTATCGGTGGAATTGCTGGTGGCTCAATTGAGCAATACCTCAATTGGCGATGGAACTTCTGGATCCAACTCATCCTCGGTGTGACGGTCCAGGCCATCCACTTTTTCTTCGTTCCGGAAACCCGCTCCACGGTCATGCTCAACAGAAAAGCGAAGAAAATGCGCAAAGCCGCTGGTGATTGCAACCTTCGTGGCCCTACCGAGGACGATAAGTTCAATTGGAGAAACGCCGCTGCGCTCATGGGCCGCCCTTACAAGATGCTGGCCACGGAGCCCATTGTTCTCTTCCTGTCGCTTCTCTCTGGATTCGCTGATGCTCTCATCTTCAGCTTTCTCGAGTCCTACGCATATGTCTTCGGTCCAGGAGGTTGGGACTTCACTCCAAGCCAACTCGGCTTTGCCTTGACTGCTCTCTTCATTGGCTACTGGGCTGCCGGGTTCTCATACGTTGCTGTCATTCGTAAAGACAATCTGAAGCGTACGGCTGGTAAGGTACTGAGCCCAGAGACTCGTTTGTGGGCCCTGCTGTACATCGCCCCCCTCCTTGCTATTGGTCTTTTCGGCTCCGCTTTCACCGTCACAGGACCTCCACTCCCATGGATCGCACCGCTTATCTTCGCAGTCCTTATCGGCTGGGCCAACATGGCGATCTATTTTGCTACCATCGACTACATGGTCGCTGCATACGGCGGCAAGTACTCAGCATCTGCCACTGGAGGCAACGGTTTCTCGCGCGATGTCCTTGCTGGTATCTGCTCTTTCTACACCGGTCCCATGTACCACAAGCTCGGCAACCAGAACGCGACGTGGCTTCTCTTTGGACTCTCTGTTCTCGTCATTATCCCAATCTTTTGGATCTACCGCTCAGGACCTAAGATTCGCGCCAGGAGCAAGTATGCCGCAGAGGTCGAGGAGGAGCGCCAGAAGAACGAGGACTTCAAATTGCAGCAGCGACACGGACGTGCCAGCTTAGTTTCTCTTGAGACCAATACAACAACACCAGCACAGGCTCAGCCATATTCGCCAGTATAGAACGTTGCTGGTAAGCTCACCGGCAGGCAGTCTAACCTCAAAGGAAAGTTTGTGACAATACCTTGCTGGCATATACGAGTGCAACTGCACGTGGATATGGATCATGATACCCATGAATATCGGCGTTTTGGACTTGGTAGGCACCTTCAATAATGGGAAAGAGTGATTTGTAATGCTTGATACTTCTCTCCGTAGTAGATGAGTCCACTTGAGATGCTCTGATACCGTGCCCTTCGTTCGTGACCTCGGCGCAGTCTTCCAGTCACACGCGTTACAGCCGGTGACCTCATCAGCGCTTGTTACATACTGCTGAGTATTCAAGAACAAGCTTGTTGTGATGAATTGTTACAATTGAGGACGGCGAGCGACAAGAATATGCTGATGATGGAGAAAGATCGGGAAGGTGAGGCGCCTCATGTGGCTGGTGCGCACGGGTGACGCTAAGTGTTCCACTAGCGCGCCTTCCAACGGTCTCACCTTGTTCACACCTCAAACAAAGTCTCAAGACACTGTCCTTGGACACCCTAACTCTCCTATTTTACCCACTCCGTCTCTTGTGTCCAGCTACAGTCCTCCATTGTGCAGGCAGACGCCAAGAGCTCCTGCGCATAGCCGTTTATCGGACCTTATAAGGAGCTGCCAGCGCCAGCTTTCTTCGACTCCAGTGCGCCGCTCTCACCTGTTACATCAACAGCATCATGTCCAGCTATGACGACCGCGACTCTGGCTCTGATGATGAGCCATTCAATCCCCAAGCCGAGATCGACGAGGATGACGTACCTACGAACAGCGCGCCTGTGCGCCGGCCAGCTGTCACAGACGACGACGACGACGACGACGACGATGCGGCTCAGGGAGGCAACAATGATGATGACGATGAGGAGGGCGGCGAGGGAAACGACGATGACGATGAAGAGGATGAAGAAGAGGATGAGGACGAGGACGACATCGTGGTATGTTAGACTGGCACCGAACAAGCTGTGAGTACACACTGACCCAAGGCAGACACGGCCCGCAAAGCGGAGGAAGAAGGCCAAGCGCAACATGTTTATTGATGTCGAAGCCGAAGTCGATGAGGAAGAAGAAGAGGAAGACGAGGGCGACGACGATATCCAGGACGAAGTACACCCTGACGACCTCCTCGAAACCACGAACGCCGACCTCGACGACCGCCACCACCGTGAGCTTGACATGCGCCGCGAAGTGAACGCACAGAAGGATGTTGAAGAGCTTGCGAAGGAGTTCGATGAGAAGTACCGCCGCAGGGAAATGCAGAGCGCCCGTCGAGGCGCAACTGGAGCTGTACCCTTGGCTCTTCCAACCGTCAACGATCCTTCGATCTGGAGTGTCAAATGTCGGCCTACGAAGGAGCGCGAAATTATCATGAGCATCCAGAGGCGCATCGACGAGAAGATGCGTGCCAAGCAGCCCGTCAAGGTTTACTCGGCCTTTGAGCGTGGTCCAAACGGTCCGCAGTCTGGATACCTTTACGTGGAAGCCGATGCAAAGCAGGATATGTTGGAGATCATTGAGGGTATCTCGAACGTTTTCATGAGTGGTGAGATGCTCTCGATCGATGTGAAAGAGCGCCCAGATCTGCTCCGCAAGAAGAGGAGACCACCGCTGGAAGTTGGAAAGTTTGTGCGCATGATCCGGCCACCGACCTACAAGGGTGATCTGGCGAAGGTTGTTGAGGTTTCCGGTAATGGTCTGGACTGCATTGTGCAGGTTGTTCCTCGTCTCGATTACGGTCTGAACGAAGACACCAACGCGGCTGTCGACAACAAGCGGAAACGTGGATTCTTTGGACCGAAAGTCGAGCGCCCACCACAGAAGCTGTTCAGCGAAGCCGACGCAAAGAAGAGACACATGAAGCATCTCACCATGGCTGGTTCTGGAGCGCAAAGGCAGTACACATACAAGGGCGAAGATTATGTTGGCGGTTTCTTGGTCAAGGAAGTCAAGGTCAACTGGGTCTCTGCTGAGCGCGTCAATCCAAAGATGGAGGAGTTGCAATACTTCTCCACACAAAACGCTGACGGCACGGAGACACTGGACCTCATCGCTGTTCAAGCTGCGCAGAAGGCCGCCGAGACCGGTGCTGCTTTCGCCTCCGGAGACAACGTTGAGATTTACACCGGTGAACAGAGGGGGATTCGCGGTACTACTGTCACAGTCACTGGCGAGATTGTCACGCTGCGAGTTAGCGAGGGCGAGCTTAAAGGCCGCAAGATTGATGCGCCTGTCAAGACGTTGCGAAAGCTGTTCCGCGAGGGTGATCACGTCAAAGTCATTGGAGGTAGCAAGTACGTCGACGAAGTCGGTCTTGTCACCAAGATCAGGGACGACAAGATCACCCTGCTTTGCGATTCGACACAGCAGGAAATCACAGTCTTTAGCAAGGACTTGAAGCGTGCTGCCGATTCTGCGACCGTGGGCGCCGACTCCAACTTCGATCTTTACGACCTTGTGCAAATTGAGTAAGTGAGGGTCGCAGTACGCGTTATTCATATGCTAACTCAGCTGCAGTGCCTCAACCATCGGTTGCGTTGTACGAGTCGATCGCGAGGTCCTGAAGGTTGTGGATCAGCAGGGCGACGTGCGCACACTCCTCCATACACAAGTTTCTCAGGTCGCAGGCAGAAATCGAAACGCCGTGGCTACGGACCGCGATGGATCCGAGATTCGACACGACGACAACGTCAAGGAATACGGCGGCGAAAACCGACAAGGCAAGGTCCTTTACATCCACAGGGGTATACTTTTCGTTCAGAACCGCGAATTGGTCGAGAACCAGGGTATCTTCGTCGTCCGCAGCACAAGCGTCCTTACTATGGCCGCCAAGAGCGGACGAGCCCAAACACAAGATCTCAGCGGCCTGAACCCAGCCCTGAATGCTGGTGCAAATGGCAACTCCGGCCCTATGCCTCCTCCTCGAAGCTTCGGCCGTGACAAGCTGATTGGCAAGACAGTCATCATCCGCAAGGGCGCATACAAGGGACTTCTCGGCATTGTAAAAGACACTATGAATGACGAAGCACGGATCGAGTTGCACACCAAGAACAAGCAGGTGTCTGTCAAGAAAGAGCTTCTATCTATCAAGGACCCGATCACCGGAAACAGCATGCCTATCGGCGGTGGTAAGTTTCCAGATCGCTCGCGCGGAGGCTACTCTGGCTCTACACCAAGCTATAACAGTGGCAGTGGACGCACACCAGCCTGGGGCAACGGCGGTGGCCGAACGCCTGGCTGGGGTGGCGGTGGTGCTGCTGGCGGTCGTACACCAGGTTGGGGAGGAGGCGGCGGTGGTCGCACTCCTGGCTGGGGGGGTGATGGCGGACGCACAGCTTATGGCGGCGGTGATGGAGGCCGTACAGCTTATGGCGGAGCAACAGCATATGGTGGCGCTACTTCGTATGGAGGCGCGACATCGTATGGTGGAGGCACGGCATACGGCGGTAACGATGGCAACCGTACCGCCTATGGAGGGTTCAACTCTGGCGGTCGTACGCCTGGTTGGGGAGGCTCTGGATCCGGCAACACAGCGTCCAAGTCGAACCTCTCTGCACCCACCCCTGGAGCTTACAATGCTCCTACACCAGGTGCATATGCGGCGCCGACACCTGGTGGTTATGGTGCCTACTCTGCACCTACACCTGGCGGTCCCATGGACGCTCCTACGCCAGGCAACTACTCTGCACCTACACCAGGAGACCGCTATGGCGTCACACCGGCGGCTGCACCGACGCCAGGAGCATGGGATATATCGACACCTGCACCGAGCGGCGAGGATCCTGTGTACCATTGAATGTCATCGAAATTATATAATAGAAGCTTTGTCCGCACGAGGCTGTTTGCGAGGAGCTTAGCAGGCTATCTGCCAATTGTCTTACACAGATCGCTCTTCGGTCCTATTTGATATTTGCATTGCTGGAGTTCCAAAATAGGATATCAATGGAGAGTTCATTATTGCTGTTCTTGCTCCATGTGCACTCTCTTCGTGCCGTGCTTGTGGCGCTCTCGCATGTATTGCAGTAGCGACTTCCTGCAAATCATTAGCACGGATGCTCTTGCAGGTCCACGGATGGTGCCTAGCCAGCCTAGACAACTCCTAACCCTCATATTCGACCCATATGGTCGCCATGAACGATCGACTCACAAAACCAAGGGTGCGAAAAGAAGCATAGAACGCTTACGTCAAGAAGCACGGTCAGGTGGCAAGACACTCCCTACAAACCCGGAAGACTTCACGACCGAAGCCAAAGCAAAGGTCTACTACCAGCTGGACATAAGTGAACTGATTTGTTTATCATACCTCGTGAAGCCAAGGGGGGATATTGGCAGATCGGTCAAGGTGTCCAGGCGGCAGGATGTCAAAGTTGTCTTGTATTGTAGAATAGCGAGACTTGCGGGTATCCAGGAGGGCGAGGTTTCTTTCAGCATCTAAGACGGGGAGAGAATTTGGCTAGGGAAGTGCTGCTGCAGCGGAGGTATTGCGGCTTAAATTGCCTGCTTACGACATGAGGATCCGCTCATTCTTTTTGAGACGATTTCACTGGTTGCAGCGCTGGGTTTTGGAAAGGTTAGAGGACAGAGAAAGTGTTCTTTGACAAAATGTTGAGGCGCTAAGCACACGTTTTTCGTGCAATGTACTGTGTGTCAAGTACTGAAGTGTTGTTGAAGAGGTCAAAGTATATACAGGAAGAAGAGTCATGTGACATCTCAAAGTGAGGAGCGCCCTGAGTAGCCCCAAGGCTCACACCACCGGCCAACCGCTCGAAAAGTCAAGTTTGTTAACACCAAACTGCTTCTGGCCATCTGCATACCCGATGCGTGTGTCAACGTAGTGGTAGTACAGAACTGGACCAAGCGAAGGATCACTGATGACGCCCTGGCCACCAGGTCCGTAGACCCAGTCGTGAGACTCGAGAACAGTCGTACCACCACCCTGGAGGCAGGACTTGCCGCTCTTGTCGACCTACACAACAATCAGTATAGCCCTCATGTTTCCAAGTATCATCGATAGACTTACAAATGGCCCAGAAACAGAGCTCGACCGACAAGCCTGAATCTTGTACTCCTTTCCGGCAGCAGGCCGGCTCGAATCATACCCACAGCAGCTCCCCACGCTGAAGAACAGGTAGTAGTAGCTCCCGTACTTGTACCCGAACGCTGCCTCCTGCGCCTGCGGTGACGTCGGCACAAACGCGATCTGCGTCGCTGACGTGACTGCCTTCGCGACCTTAGTCGGCGTGGCAGTCATCTCGATCTGGAACAGATCACTCCAAAACGAACCGAAGTTCATATACAGCTTCCCGTTCGCAGACTGTAGGTTGCCGTCAATCGCGTTGAAATTGCTGCCCGCTACGGACTCAACGCCAGTGCTGCCCAAGTCGGTCCAGGAGCCTACGTCCATGGTTGTGGAGGTTGCTACGCCGACGGCGGAGTCCTGGCTGCCGAAGGAGGAGACAGAGTAGTAGAGATAGTAGGTTGAGCCGACTTTGGTCACGTCGGGGGCCCAGAGGTCTTGGTTACCGGCTTTGTTGATTTTGGAGCCGTTGGGGAGGGCGGCGCCTTTGTAGGTCCATGGGCCTTGGATCGAGGGTGCGGTGTGGACTGCTACTTTGCCACCTAAAATATCATTAGTTGGCGTTACGATGCATGTTGAGGAGGAACTTGCCCGTGCTGAAGCGGAAATAGGTACCATCGTCGCGGCGGACGAGTGATGGATCGTGGGCGTTGGTGCATGTACCGCTACATGATAGGGGGTTGGCGTAGGCATCTACTACTTCAGAGAGAACGGAGAGCACTGTGGAAACAGCTAGAACAGACTTCATCTTGGAAAAAATGTGTGAGGACTAGGCTCGGTGAAAGATGGTAATTCTAGGAAAGTGGTCCACAGGAAATGGAGTATGTTCATAGAGTGACCTGGTGAAGACTGAGATATTGTTACAACGTTATGTACTTCCTCCCTTGCTTTCAAACAAGCTAGAGAATATCAAGGGCTGAACATCTTGCGCGGCGTATTCGCCGAAGACGAGGCTGGTCTGACGGCTACGCGGCCTTAGATTGATGGCATGGTGGAGTCCGTATATCAAGGACGTCGTACACATGGTCAAACAGAAACCCATGATCTCCACGCGGGTCATTGAGTGGTGGAAATGCACGACCAAGGTCCCGGGGAGGATCCAACTAAATTAAGGTTTCTATTAGCGCTGCATTAATGCTCCGGATGTTAAACAAGATGCGGGGTGTACATATAACTGCCGACTGCGGCAAGATTTTCGATGGTAGCTAGACGCCTTGGCTCGAAAGGCGACAGCGGCAGTGGCTTGTCTGTGGAGTGCTGCTAGATGGGTTGGCATGTTTCGAAGCTCGCGTGAGGGTTGGTGGAAAGCTAGGGAAAGCTAACCTACTTGGCCACGGACCTGCATCATGAAGTTCCTTGGCCATGTTGCGGGAGATGCACCAAAATGCGGGAGTTCGCGAACGATGACTGGGAACAACGGGTGAGAACAACTGCAGACGACCGGGCGACGTCGGAAGAGAGCATCTTGAGGTTCTCGGCAATGCCCATACAGCATACATATAAGGGGGGGATGTCACCGTTCGTTAGATGTCGTATTCGACGCCTATGTATAGAATTTCACTTCGGGCACCTGGACGCTCCGGTGGTAGTATGGTTATCTGTGCGTGCAGTACTGTGGTATTGCACGTGAAATTCCTTGTGAAGGGCAGACATAATCTGCGGTAAGAGTTGAGGTTGTGGCATATGCTGATAATGGACATTGAATACAGGCATGGCGATGTTGATGGTGGACAAGAGGAACGCTGAAGAGTTTCGGAACAGTTGAAAGGCGCGGCTCGACTTGAAATATGAGCTAATCCCCGCATCCACGACTCAGCAAGGGTCTAGGCAAAGTGCGGAGAGACCCCTGCTGTCGCAATCTCCTCATTGGCGGCGCTTTCTTTGACAGTCACATGGCATCTGTCCACGACTCCACTCTGTACCTGCGGTCACTCTGTACCTGCGGTGTTTTCCAACCCCCCTGACGATCTGTAACGTTTGCTGTTATCAATGCCTGATGGCTCAGAGATGTCGCAACCCCAGAAGCGACCGAGTGAGGACATAGATCATGAGGATGGGAAACGTCCTAACCCCCAGCGCACGCCCAGGATCCGAGCCTGTAAGCGGTCGTCCGGCATCGACACCCAGGTATCATACTAACTGTACAATAGGCGCCGAATGCAAGAGACACAAGATCAAATGCGACCCAGTAGATGGAGAGTCCAAATGTGCCAAATGCCTGCGCAGTGGCACGGAATGTGTGCCTTACAACATGAACCAGCGACTTCTGGACGAAGATGCCTCGTGAGTCGCACGTGCTGTGTAACGTTCAGCTCAAGTATTCTGACCGCCACAGGTGGAAAGCAAATGCAGCTGTAGAGATAGCGCAATTGCGCTCTGCAGTTCAGACACTTCTACGACACAATAGACTCCCGGATCTTGACAGGATCAAGGATCTTCCAGTAACATCACCAGAATCCCGGAGGCAATCGGAAATTACCGTGAAAGCCAGTCCTGGCCACACTGGTAACGAAAATGGCACTGCTATGGTTGTGCCACCGATCGCCATGGACATGACGAGGGAGAACTCCGTGGAGCGCGATTCAGTTGAAGATGCAGACCTTGTAACAGCGCCAATGCGCAGCCTGTACGACCTTACACGGATTCGCAATCTTCGCAGCAACGTCAAACTCAGACCTGGTCAGAACCCAGAACTCGAAGATTTTATCGCTCAGGGCGTCGTGTCATTACCGGAAGCCGAAGATCTTTTCAGGCATTACTTCCAGGGCCTTCGACTCTACCTGTGGGGCGGTGTACTGTGCCCTTACGACTCTCTGGACGCTGTTCGCACGCGATCCTCGTTGCTCACAGCTGTTGTGCTTACAATAGCAGCGCTACACACACCAGGTCGCGATGATGCGCTGGAGAAATGCTACGGCGTCTTCGTTTCTGGCGCTTATAGCGCCTGCCTGTCACGAGTTCAGAGCGTGGATGACATCCGTGCACTGCTGCTTGCAGCTTTCTATCTATCCAATCTCAGCTGGAAGCTCTCGGGTGCAGCTGTTCGAAACGCTACCGAGATGAATTTACATCAATCATTCAACAAGCTTATGAGAGGCCACGAAGACCATCGAGATAAGGTCCGTCTCTGGTATGTGCTATATGTCTGCGAGCACCAGCTCAGTATTGCCTATGGACGGCCACCCATCATCCATGAAGACATCGCGATCAAGAACATCGAGCAGTTCCTCGATAGCCCTGAGACCAAGCCAGGTGATATTAGGTTAAGTGCGCAAGTCACTTTGTTCAAGATCCTTACAGAAGCGTACATCGCGTACGGAAGTGATCCGGAGCAACCACTCACCGAACCTGACTTCCAACGACTGCGCATGTTCAACTTTGCTATTGAGCAGTGGAGGCTAGCATGGCAAGCGAGGTCGGTCGACAGCCCAACCATTGGATCATATCCGTCGAAGGGCGTTGTTCTCTACTACCACTTTGCTCGCTTCCAATTGAACTCCCTAGCACTGCGCGGACTGCCACCACCAAGCGCCGTCACGTCGGAGACGCTTTCCTACGACCGCCGCGAAGCCGCTAACATTGCTATCACCGCGGCAACTAGCACACTCACACTCATTTTCGAGGAGCCGGACCTCCGGAGAGCAATGTCTGCAGTGCCTATTTTCACGCACACCATGATTGCGTTCTGCGCCACATTCCTACTCAAGATGGCAAAGACCTGGGGAAGTGCTGCCCAGGTTCGGTCACCGGAGTCAGCAGGCGAACCGATAGGTCTCGGTCTCAACTTTAACACCGCTCAGGTGGTGTCCCTTGCTAGGAGGTCAGCAACTTTCCTCGCCAAGGTTGCCGAGAACCTGAGCGAGAAGCACCTTACGAGGCACATCGTGCACGGAATCAATCTTCTCCTCAAGCAGCTTGACATGATGGGCACACCTTCGAGCTCGGTCGACCATACCTTCCCTGCGTACAATGTACCGCAAGGGCAACACGCCAACGGGCACTACGATCCCAATCAGCCTAATGGAGTTTCAGCTGTTGATTTTGGCCATGGAGACATGGCAAATGCATATAACATGTATGATTTGATTGGATCGTATGGCTTTGGGATGGATGAAGCATTTCTTGGTCAAGTGGCTTCCACTGATCTTGACTTTTGGCAGAGAGAAAACTTCTGATACCCTTCGCTTGATGATACAAATGTATATATGAACGGATCCTTCTATTCCTTCCTCTAGCTCTATTGAATCTTGTCTGCCATTCCTGACGAGCCCATCCAGTCCATGTACTGCTCAATGCTCTTCTGCATTGCGTCGGTCGCCTTCTCGATCAGCCCGGTGATCGGTGTCTTGCCTGCTTGCCCTTGCATGACCTTTGTGAAATCGTTGTTGAACGCATCGTTGATGTTCATTTTCGCGACACCGCAGTCGATGCAATCCCTCAGCAGCTTCTCTTGGAACCACTCTGCGCCAGCACCATGCAGCACCAGGCTGACACGGTCACCAACCTTCTTATGTACGCGCTTCAGGCGCTCGTAGTCCAGTTGTGGCCCCTTCGGCCCGTAGTTACCGTGTACGTTGCCGAAAGCGGGAGCCAGCCAATTTATCCCTGTAGCGACGAACTCCTCGGCCTGCTCCGGTGTGGTGAGGATCGCCTCCAACCCCAGATCTGAGAGGTCCCCCACACCGTCCTCTCCACCATCAATTCGCCCAGGTTCCGCCTCGGTGATGATTCCGCGCTCATTGCAGTACTTGACAAGTTCTGCTGTCTTCTCAAGGTTGTCGTCGTAGTGGGACATGTCGACCATAATGCCGTCGAACCCTCTCTCGAAGTCCGCCGCTCTCTTTACCATTTCTGGTGTTTGCGCGTGGTCCATGTGCAGTGCAACTGGGACGCTGGCGTTGTCGGCGGCTTCGCGTGCCGCATGGACAAGAATACCATTGGCGTACTGGACCGCCCATGGGAAAAGTTGTATAATCAAAGGCGATCGCTTTGCCTCTGCGGCTCTTACTGAAGCCAGGATTCCCTCAACGTTGTAACAACAAGTCGCGCATATAGCGTAGTGATTGTCGGCAGCATGTTTGACCAGCCTAACGGCCTTGTTCTGAGAAAGATCGGGGGGCATAGCGAAAGACGAGGTTTTGCAAAAGGATACGTTGTATTGACGGGAAGAAGAAACTTGGAGTTACGAGTAAAATTCCAGACTCAACACTTGAGAGTGGCAGCTGAAGGGTGATGTAACCTTGGAAATGCCATTCCCCCTCATGTTCCGATTTCCGAGGCACCGACTAGCGTGATGTTCGGCGTATGCTCTTCCTCCAACGGCGAGATGACCGAGCTCGATGCGGGCTTCGGGTTAGCTGCCGGCTAATCTCTTTACGTCTAATACGACTGGCTGTGGTGGCAGTCGCCAATAATAGTCGGCTTTTGAGGCCGTTGCGGAGCTCCTCCGCGGCCGCTGCGGCTTTTGAAGGTATCGACTGGTGGACTCAACCGCAAAATTGTCGGATGAGAGACATTTTTTACTACTGATTGAGGCGCGTGACCATTTACTTTGATCCAAGACGCGTTGTAGTGTTGAGTCTGGAGTTCAATTTTAGCAACCTTGAGTTGCATTTGCGGGGTAGCTGCTCTGGTGGAGAGCAAGGCTGCTACAGCCTCAAGACAGCGAGGACTCTAGACTGTCTTTCCTGCGGTTAGTACGAGTGTATGTGTAAGACTTCCCTCGTGGGAAGTACATTTAGCATGCAGTTGTTCCATCTACTTCTGCGAAGATAGGCTCGGTAGCCGTCGTTGAGGCTGTGCAGGAGAGAATAGCTGCAAGAAGGCTACGATTGACAGCCTTGTGTAACGCCGACTACGTGGGCCGAGTATTCTGAATTTGACATGACAATGTCTCGTCAATTTTGGCCTTGGGTTTGGGGAAGGCTGAACTGTTCAAGCACATGCGGCCCTCGATTACTGGCGGTTACACAGTGTGTATCATTGCTGTCTTTGTTCACAGCAGCGTCTCGAGGAGTTTTGAAGTACTGGTGAGGTAGTAGCTGCATTCTGTACTGTATGTTGGAGGCACAGCAACGGTCCGGCAGAGAAGAAAGAACTGCGGTTCGTGCATGTAGTGGGGACAAGCACGTGCTGCAGATGGGCCTGGCGCTTGCGGCCATCTTCTCTGGGTGACAGCCGCTGCGATCTTGTTTCATGAAACAAACACTCGAATCGCCCATCACCATATCGCGCGCTTAGCAACGCGTCGCGCGATCACCATCACAGTTGCCCTGAATGTGCTTGCTATTTGCTTCTTTCCACATCCTCTGTGTTGTCTGAGTTACTGGGAAGTTGCTCGGCATCGTCAACGTGGTGTTCCCACTTTCGCGGGCCGCTGTGCAGATGCAGGTCCTGGAGGGCTCAGCCCTGCGAAGTATTGATGACTACAGCAACCTATCGCATTTTGTAGCAGACGTTTGGTGTGGTTCGCCAAGATCTCTATTTTGGCCCCATAGGTCTGGCGTATCAGCGTCGAGAACTGCGCGCTTACCTACAAGGGAGCCGCCGCCCTACCTCCACACCACTCCCCTCTGGTCGGCAGATGGTTATTCTTAGACACAGCCGCATCAAGAGCCTCAGGAACGGCTCTTAAATAGGCGCTTCTGTTACTGGCACCACACCCTTGTTCCAACGTTGATCGGCCAGCTTGGTGACCTACTTGCCCTTTCTGACAGCGCTTGGAGACGCGGCCGAGTGGTCATTGCTTAGTTGTGCACACCTCTTTCAGTAAACAAGGGATCGATCCGGCGATTACAGAAACACATCCTGGTTTCAAAAATTCTCCGAGCGGCCCATTGGTCTTCAGTGTGATGTGAGTACCCTCTGCGGCTCAAAGTTGGGCTTTGTATAAAGCACACGGCCTTGACCTTGGTCCGAACTTCAGAATCCCAAAGGTCAAGGTACGAAAATAAGTTCGTTTTTCATATTGTCAGGATATTTCCTACCTCTCGTTCCTACTCTATCACTCTCGTTGACCGACTCCTACTCTACCATAATCATAATACATCTCTCGGTCGCTTCTGTCTACCAGTTTTTGTATTCCCTTTAGTCAACATATCAACTGTTGTCTCTCCTCTACTATCTCATACTCCACAATCAACATGCCTAAGATTGAGAAGGCCCCGATCGCACACCGCAGCTCCATCTCTACTGCATCAGCAGCAGGTGGAAGCACACGAAGCTCATCATGGTCTGCGCAAGACGACGAGGCCCTTATCCAGGCCAGGACCCAAGGCCTCAACTGGAACCAGATCGCTCCAAAGCACTTCCCAAACAAGTCGCCAAATGCTTGCCGCAAACGTCACGAGCGGTTGATGGAAAGAATGAACGCTGAGCAATGGGATGGTGTCAAGCTAGACGTTCTAGCACAGGCATACATGGAGGTTCGACGAGAGATGTGGAGCCTCCTTGCTGCTCGGGTCGGCGAAAAGTGGCAGTTGGTCGAGACCAAGGTAAGTTTTGATATCGAGAGCTCAGTGTAACCTACTGATCCAACTTTCAGTGCATGGAGAAGGGCATCAAGAACCTATCGCAGGCTGCTAGGTCAGCAATGAAGAAGCAGGGCTTTCAGGGTACTTACCACGACCACGAGGACAGCGCGATAGGCGTTTCTGACTTCGATGAAGAATCAGACGACCACCACACAGAGATGGCAATGCCGGTTGCCGCGGCATCTCACTACCAGACCACACAACTTCAGTACCCGGGCAGCTACCCATCTCAGCAGCAGCGGGTACCAAGCATTCAGTCCATGCTGCACCAGCATCCGATACAGTATGCTCCTCACCAGCTGGTACACCCGCACCCCCACGCGCATGTGCAACAGCAGTGAGCGTTCATTTCTCTTTTTCACAAGAATTTCCTATTTCGGCAATTGAACCCCACGATCGTTACGACTCCCAAGCATCGCACTTCTTCACGACATTACTCGGCGTTTTCTCCGTTCGGCGTTTTGACGATCTTCAATTTCTCATTTCTCTCTCTCTTTCTTCTTCGACGTACGCTGCACTTTTGTTCACTTCTTAGTAGTCAGGCATTTGCATGGCTTATGTGCACTGGCAATGGGTTTCTCAAGATATGACATTGAGATATAGTCAGAATGGACTAAGCACGACGCTCAGTCTGCGCTCACTGGGCGCCTGAGCACATGTAGCTGTTGATTTCGGGTCTTTTTTGTTTCTCTGCATCTTCTGTTCATTGCTGTTGGCATTTTATTTCATCCTCGCAGGAGGCACTTTCTAGATCTCTGTACCTATTTCACTTCTCACTTCCTTGTCAATGCTATTCTGTTATTTCCACTTTCTATACCCCTACTTATATGATTCATGTATGATACCCAAATGAACTCCATCGAAGCATACGACAGATTCCTTTGCACATTGCGGCTATCGTGTACGTCCTACTCATGTCTCGGCCATAGTTGGCCAGATCCCATTGCCATACACGTGCCTAGATTCTACTAGAATCAGAAGAGCCTCAATTGTGGCTTGAAGTGTGCAGTCGCTATCCGAAACTCGTTCTCACCGTCCCAAATCCAGGTTCGTGCTCGGTTGCACCTGCAAAATCTCACAACACAGCCTCGCACATGCACACAGCCCACTCCAATGTCGCAATCCTCCACCCGCATATCTCTCACACACAAAAGTGCAGGATCGATAAACATGCCTGCACTTGCGTTCACATGCACCATTTCGCATACGCCAAAAATAGTGCTTGTTCCGTTGCGGCTCTCGATCCCCGTCTCCACGCGATATCCCAGATCTCGCACGGACCTTGTCCCTGACATCACCACTGAAAACGCGCTCCGCCTCATCGGCGCATTGCCATCCACACTTTTCACGATGGAAGACAGAAGACAACACTCTTGCATGCGCACGCAATGGCCATTCTACGTGTGCCTTACACCGATCCCCTGCCGCTTCCAAAGATAATCCCCGCAAGTGCAACTACCACATCTGGTGCCATCGCTGCACTTGTTGACTTCTTGTCACCCTCGTTGTCGAGCTCAAGACCGTACCTGCGCGGCACTTCACCAGTGAAAAATGGCAAGACGCTGCTGTTGACTGGTGCCGGGATTAGTGTAGCGTCTGGACTTGCGGATTATCGAGGTCCGAACGGGACGTATACACAGAATAAAACATATAGACCGATATACTATAATGAATTCTGCGAGAACCATGAGGCGAGGAAGAGATACTGGGCGCGAAGTTTCTTGGGGTGGACAAACCTGAGTAAGGCCAGACCCAATAAGGCGCACGAGGCCTGTGGAAACTTGGGGCGGCTGGGTGTTGTTGGGAAGGTTATCACACAGAGTATGTATTCAGAATGGTACGGATGCTGTAGGGAGAGATGTGAGCTGACAAGTTCGTAGATGTAGACTCCTTCCATCCCAAAGCGCACCCCTCCCTCCCCACGACCGAGCTTCATGGCTATCTTCGCAACCTTGTCTGTCTAACATGTCGAAACGAATACGACCGCCGGGTATTCCAAGACCAGCTTGCGAAGCTGAATCCCGCATGGGCGACATTTCTCGAAGAAATGCTTGCCTCAGGCGCGCTCGACTCTGAGAACCCAGACGAACGGCGGAAGAAAGGATTGAAAACGAACCCAGACGGTGACGCAGACGTGCCAGATGCGCCATACACGACATTCAGGTACCCAGCATGCCCCGCGTGCCTACAAACGCCGCCGCGCAAGCTGAATGGGGGCGTCGTCAAGGTCGAAGTAGACCAGGACGGCGCATGGAAGCACGGTAGTGAGGGCGGCGTGCTGAAACCCGCTGTTATTATGTTCGGAGAAAGCATACCCGCGGCGACGAAAGTCGCTGCTGAGCAGGCTGTCGATGAAGCTGGAAGATTGCTAGTCATAGGGAGTAGTCTTGCGACCTACTCTGCGTGGAGGCTGGTCAAGAAGGCGAAAGAGCAGAGACTGCCTATTGGGATACTTAATATGGGCGGTGCGAGAGGTGAGGATGCGTTCTTCAGCGATGTTGAAGAGAGTAATACTGGGCGAGAAGCAGTGAGGATCTCGGAGAATGTCGAGAAGGTCCTGCCACAGGTTGTGAAGATACTTGAGAGGATGAAAGGAAAACCATAACTACAGGACCTTAGGCAATGAACTTGATCATGATGTCGCACGAGACGCCTTCCACCCAACTGTGGCCATCAAGGCTGATTCCGCCACGACGTCAGAAGCACGAAGACTCTCGCATTGACCTATCAATCAACATCTTACAAAAGCAAGACGAAGTCTTGATGCACAGAGGCTCATTGCTACGCAGTTGCAACGCTACCCTTGCGCGTATTGCTGATGCGTTGGCGCCCTGGGTGGTTGAGGCTGGTAGGCTGTGCCTCTCAGCCTGATTGCGCCGACCTCACAACGACAATCCCATCGGCTTCACATCGTCTCTCGTGCCTTCTCCCCTAACCTATGACTCGATACCTCGGGCAAGTAACAGCTGGTGGATGTATCACAGTTTCTAGAGACCCTTCTATCAGGAACCACATCGCCCAGCTCCCTTTGCGGTACTGTACGAGCAGCAAGAGCGTGAAGGTCAACGACACTGGATTTGAATGTGAGCACAATCAACGATACAGGCAAATTTCCAGAAGATTCAGACGTCAACGGTGCCCCGCGGCGTGGGACAAGCCCTGAAGACCAGATTGCTGGCTACAGTTCGCAAGGCATGACAACACAAACCAACCACGGCACAGTGGAGCATTCAGGCGTTAAAGGTGGTAGACACTTGTGGTTTTGCCGTGTATGTTGGAATGGACCCTTGGGTACTTGGTACGCTGCGTGCAACGGTGAGCTTCTTCCTACGGACAGCCAAGCCGGTTTACGGTCGACTATCAATGATCAAAAGGCGACCGTCAGCGCAGACGACTGTGTTGACGACGGTGATGGTGTTGAGGATGAGGGTCATACTGGAAACGCGACCAATCCACAGCATATACACAGGATGGCGCGATCATCTGGACACCATTACTCAGATACGCATGCTTCTGGACCCGTATACCATCCGTCTGTTCAGTCTACGCCAAAATAACACGATCAAACCTTGGTCTACACGGACACAGTCGATTAAGCGATCTGCACAACTTTCCAGCGCTTTAGGACGAGCGTACGCTGTAGCGATACCTGAGGATACCAAGTATGAAGATAGGTCGGAAGATGAGAGTGGTGAAGAAGGTGAAAGCCTCGGGTAGAAGAGGCAATCTTTGAGCTTGAAGAGTTGGATAGCGAAGATTCAGACAAAGTCGAGACTTTGCAGCCAGATTTTTGTGAGGGCACAAGGAGTGACCGCTCAGGAGAGGCAATCGAGGCCCTTGGTGTCATGAAACGTCTGAGGGAGTTGAATGTTTCAGAGGGGTTCCAAGAAGAAGCAATGGAATTGAGGAGTATCCATGTGTACTCATTCCAGAGCGTTGAAAGCGATAGCAGTTATACAGATGATGATCCTCAGGATGACAACAAGCCAGAAGCACGACGCTTACGCCGCAAACTGCGTGGACTAGGGCCTTGAGACAGAAGAGCTTGCTCATTTTTGAGGCTAAGGGTTTTCCGAACACCAACAATATTGCAAAGGTTGAAGAGCCAGAGGAGGTTGTCATGCTTCACCACAGAGGGCCGCTATCCATCGCTAGCGACGATGCGTCACTCTTGATGAGCTTCCTTTCGGGAGCGGTCAGAATGAAGACTTGTTTACGGAACACGGTTCGGAGTCTCACATAGACTCAGCACATGCGGAGCCGGAAACTCAGACGTCTACCGCAGGAACGCGCTCTCCACTGGGCCTCGACCAAACGTCTCCCAAAGAGGATAGCTTCGAAACACCAGCCCCATTGAGAGCATCTCATCTAGAATCGCTTGCCGCGAGCCATATAAATGAAGGGACTCTGGCACAGACGGTCACACGGGCGGGCCAAGACTCTGTGTCGGAGGGAGTGAAGATATCCACCGATCGCCATCTGTTTGCTAGCGGTCCGTTGCAGTGTTTGCTAACGGTCCACTGCACTGATTGTCCAGCTCATTCGGTTAGCTCGGTTTGCTTCCCCAGCCCTTCACTGCTATCCCCTTCTACTATATAGTCTCGATCGATTCTAGCCAATAGCTCTTAAGATCAATCAACATCTCAACCCTTCAACACTATGGGCTACATAGACGACGAGTATGATCGCCTGTCTGTGCAGTCACTACAATCGTCATCGACGCCCATCTCCACGCTCAGCGGCTTCACGGTAGTAGAGCTAGAAAGTGCTACTGTTGAGCTTCAGAAGATCTTCCAAGAAGACGCGGACCTTGTCAGACTCTATCGTCAGGCTATCAAAGATAAAGCCACCGGGCCTGGAAGGTTGCAACGTAACGTCGGCCGACTGCTCAAACTCTTTGCTCAAAACTTGCGTCGTGAGACCAGTAAGGGACTTGTAAAAATGACATCCCGGTTCGTGTTAATGAAAGCGCGATACATTGCACAGTGCATCGTTGAAGAGTTTATGAACCGTTCTGTCTTGCTACAAAGAACTATTTGTTTTGCTAGTTACAGTAGAACAACAACAGCAAGCCAGAACAATGAGTGGCATCCCAATTAGCACACTCATTAGCACAGCGGGTGCTCCGTTTTAGCCATGCACTGTCGGCTGCAGCCATGGAGCGCCTCACCAACTATTTCTCGAGACCGATAGTTGTGTTGCATGCATAGGCGCATAAGAGCATAAGTGGAAGATGTCCAATGAGGTGTAGCACAATATGACTCTTAATACCGTGCTACGTTTAATTGTGGCAGTAATCCGCCATGAAATGAGTGAGTGAAGCCGAGCGCAATTCAGGTGTCAAGCTTCGAGGGAAAACTCCCATTGGCATGGTCATATGCGCGGACGATTAGCTAGGCGCGTTGTGGCTGGTGCTAACCGACTATGCAGGACGACTTCAGCCTGATTCAAACCTTCATTGGGGATCTTTGTTCACAATCACAATTATTCACAACTTTTCTCTCGCCCACAGAGCACAGTTTCTTAGTCCTGATACTCAGGAAACATGTCTGATCTTTCTGATCAAGCTGACTTACACAGTATCCTGAGCAGGGAAGAGTAGACTGACATCAGATACGACCATGAAGTGTCGCCGGCTTTGCAAAGCACACTTGATACCGCGTCCTTGGATCACATAGGTGCTCACTTCCTGCCTAGCAAAGGGTCCTATCCCAACTTCCCAGATCATGTCGAGCTCGATGAAAGTGAGCCTGCAGACATGCCGCCTGATGCAAGTGTGCCTCGTGGCCGCTATATCAACCAGATGCAACACAGCCCCGATCACAACTCACCATCTACGCTCGCTCTGCAGCATGCTCACGAAGCAGGCACAGCACGATGATCTACCTACACCCACACTCACGCCAATGCAGATGGGGGCATATTTCCCACCTCCCGAATATGAGCAGATCAATCGGCGACGCTTTACTAGAGCCAAGCAGTAGCGGAGCCACAAAACCTAGTAAGTTAAGTTGTGTTTTCTCTTTCTCCACTCGAATCTAACTTGGCGATTGCAAGTTATAACTCCTCGATGAATGATGCCTGCTCAGCTTTGTAGCATTCGACTGGGTAAGGCACTACCTGCTAACACAAATGAAGGTTCTTATGGAGGTTCTTATGATGGTTTGGACGAAGGCATCCAGGCCAAAAACCACTACATGTTTCAGACGACATACCTAGGTCACAACGGCTATATGGATACTACCGGTGACAAGCTCTTCGATATCCACACTCCGTCGCACTGCTCCTTTGAATCAACTGAAGATCACCACCGCGATGGTGGTGGAGATCCTTCTCCACCTTACCCATACTCATCGTATGATAGGTACAATGAGCCAGGTGATGAAAGAGCTACTGAGGCGTGGCTAGTCTTCAGCAAATCCAAGGAGACTCCACTCGGACCCAGGGATCAACTTCACGAGGATCGCGTGTCAGATGCCACAAACGAGATTGATCAGCAGCCTGCACGGAGATCCGTCGCTTTCGGAACTGCAGTGGCAATAACCACAAGTCTTTGGTATCCACAATCATCCGTGTGTATTGCAAAGGATACAGAAAAGGTATGTTGGTGTACTGGTGACAATGGGTTTTGTAGAACCACCCCTCTACCATGGATGGGTTCGATTGCGGTGGCACTGGGTAAGTCAGTTCGATCAGCAAGCAAATATGAACAGCTGTTGACAGACACTGACTATGATGTAGAGACGTGGTCGATCATCCTCTGATGATATTCGAGAGTATCAGGAAGGCAGCGTTGAGGAGCTTGCAAAAACCATGCAGCGCAATAGCCGTGTCACAGTCACCGTTACGTCGTACAATCAGGCGTCGAAGACGAAGCAACTTAGATTTCGGCTGCCTGATTGGTTTCAGCCAGCTTCCAGAGGCATATCATCTGTTTTCAATATATCGGCGAAACCAACAGCTGGCTTACCGCAACGTGTTGATCCTAACGCTGCAATAGTACCTGCAACCACGAACGGTAGTCCACCTCCACACGTACCACCACTACACCTCATGGCCTGTATATCGCACGAAGTATCGTGTAGAGCTAGTTCAAGAAGAAGTTCAAAAGATCACTTCAGACAGAGAGCTGCTTCGCTTTCTGAGAGACCAATTCGAAACGCATCGTGGTCGTTACTTGGGATTTCTCGCGATGTGCCGTGTCCGGTAGATACGCTTCGACAAGGTCAATTAACAGGAATCCAGAAATTCACTTCACCTTTGCTAACAAAAGCTGCAGTTTTGTCTTCGTAAACGCAAGCTGGCTGAGATACGCCATCATCATACCTGCTGCGAACTCGGGTGTGAGCGTCTTCCACCAGAGGAGAAGACGCAAAAGCCGCCAGTAGGGATTGGGAAGTACGATTGCAAGGCACCAGATCTACCCAAGAGGTGGCCCGATGCACATGCTCCGTGACCCGGAGTGCTTTGATGAGGATGACACCTCAATTCTGGATCTGCTTTCTAAGAGAACGCATGGAGAGTTGCAGGCAACAGGAGACCCGGTCGATGGGTGGGGGATATATGACCAGGACGAACGCGACAAAGCCATGGTAGTCACTATCAGCTTTGGCATCTTCCTCCTATCTAGCCTACTTTTCCTGATACCATGGTCAGTGTTGAAGGGAAACATACAAGGCGGTTCTGGAGTAGGTGCGTATATACTTTCAGCAAGCACCAGCACACTGGCGATCTGGCTCGCGGCCCGCAGATGAGTATCATAGTCAGTATGCATTCTGATGAGCAGGCAACAAAGTTTGTACCCTTTGGAAGTTGTGGCTAAGCACCTCTGTCCGTCGTCATCAAAATTGCCTCCGCCACACGCCGTCGAGATTTGCGAAAAGATCTGTCGACGCATATACGATAACAAGGCAGCAGCAAGGCGGATTGGACAATAGCTCAGCTACACAGAGAGTGGACTGGTGAAGACGAGAAGAGGTGGAGATGCCGAATTCTGCCAACCTCTTCCCAAAGTGGTGCGGAGAAGCGCATGAAATATTACGTCTAGAGGCGCGCATCTGCAGCAAGTGTTCGATGGCCCAACCAGCAACGTCAAGAGATGGAGCAGAAGTTCAAGCGTGCTGCAGCAGCTTCAGCCTTGCGGGCTAGCGTGGGACCCTGATCGCGGAAGCCGCTGCGGTGTGTTTTGGAACAAGTCCGTCCCCGTGTCGGACGGTCAACATGTGCAACGACAACTGCAAAGCACGATTGAACGAATACAAAGAGGCGTAGTAGACACACGGTGTGCGCAACTCCACAGCCATACGGCAGGTACAATGCTGCAGACCCAAAGGGTGCATCCAATTTTAGAGTGATGTGGTGAGCTTGATGAGCTGCTGCGGCGGGATCCACAACGCGCCAAAGCCATCCCAAATTGGTTAGCTGAACGGGGCGCGGATTGAGTGAGCATCTCTCAGCCCCAGAATACCAAACGGCTCGGGGAAGCTGAAACTTCAAACATATCTTCGCTGACCGCTGCACCTCTAGCCGCAACTGCGCTGTTCTTCACATCTTCAACATTTGCACATAATTTCTCGCTGCTCGCTGCAGTCGGCATTCCCCTGTCTCGCACCTCGAATCTCTGAATTGCTTGGGTGCGGCTGTCTCAAGGGGTCCTCACACACATCCACACACCACACAGCACCCGTTTCATCATGAGTGTGAGTAGCATTCCTCGTCGCTGCGAGCAGACGCGCCTTCCTTCTTGCTTCCTCTCACCCCTGCTTCTGCATTACCCACCTGTCGATTAATCACCATGTCGAAGCTGACAGATATGAACGAGCAGTACGGCAACAGTGGTTACAACCAGATCGACGGCTACGGCGCCAACCCGTATGACCAGCGCAACGATGGCGCTCAGGGCGGTCGTTTCAACAACTACTCTCAAGGTCACTACGACGATCGTACGTCTCGATCACACCCTTTTGCGGTGACCACACTGCTGACAAACCCCTAGCTGGGCTAGAGATGCAGAACTACGGCCAGCCCTCTGGCGGCGCAGACCCCAATGCTATCCTCAACGAATGCCGCGAAGTCGACCGCGCCCTCGACGACCTCGATGGACAGCTCGGCAACCTTGAGCGTGTCTTTAGGCAAGTGCTGGCCCGCCCAGACATGCCCTCCGGCGAGATCAACGACCTCAGCACGCAGATCATGACTGGCTACCGCGGCCTCGTTGCACGCGTCAAGAACATCAAGAGCAAGCCCGAGTCAGGCAGCCCCAGGAACGCGCCACAAGTTGGAAAGGTCGACCGCAGGCTGAAGGCCACTATCAACAAGTACCAGACCCTCGAGGCCGACTTCAGGAGAGACTCGCAGGCCGCTGCTGAGCGCCAGTACCGCATTGTACGCCCAGATGCGACTGAGGAGGAGGTCAGGGAGGCTGTTGCGGATCCTGATGCGCCCATCTTCCAGCAAGCTGTATGTTTCCAAATCTCACACGTATCACACAATCACTAACGCAATTTATAGCTGCTCAACTCCGACCGCCGCGGCCAAGCCTCGTCCACTCTCCGCAACGTCAAGGAGCGCCACGAAGCGATCCAGAACATCGAGCGCCAGATGGTCGAACTCGCCCAGCTGTTCCAGGACCTCGACCAAATTGTGCAGCAGCAAGAACCCCTCGTCACCAACATCGAGCAGAAGGGCGAGGAGATTCACGACAATGTCGTCCAAGCGAACACCGAGATTGGCGGCGCGATCGAAAAGGCGCGCAGCAGGAACCGCAAGAAGTGGTGGTGCCTGCTTATTGTGCTACTTATCATCATCGTTGTCGTTGTTATCGCGGTTGTTGTTACACAGGTCAACAAGGCTGCTACCGGCAACTAAACGCCTCGAGCCCGAAAATCACGCATTGCTTGAACATCATCTCCGCCAGCTCCGTCATCACGGGAGCTCGAATCCGCCACTGCCATATCTACCACCCACCACACCGCAGACCCTCGTATCCCTCTCACTATTTCAGAAGGCCGGCCAAGATACGTTGTATAATACCTCGATTCCCGGTGGATATGTCATACCTCTCCTGTATCTCTGCAGCATTTCCTTATCTTCATTTCTGCGAAGGAAAATTGGATTACCACTAGTTGTGTTTCGTTTATCTGTTCCAGGGCGCTACTTTGGCGCTCTCTATTTCAGCGGCATGGGTAGAGTGCCAGCATTGCGAGTGTGTGAGTAGATACACAGTGCCTGGAGAAAAGGCAAAAGTAGAATATGTTGATATTACATTTTGAGCTCTGAGATGTGAAGTCTACATGCTAATGTTGTACAAGTGAACAGGGCTCAGTCCGCCGTTTTACACTGATATACACCAATTCCTACGAAGGCTGGAATGGCACTGCCTCACCCGTCGACGTCTTCGCACTCGCTTCCGCCTTCTGCGCGTCCTTACCCTCTTCCTCCCTAACGTCATCCTTTGCCTCCTGCTCTAGCTTATCCTCCACCTTTGTCGCATCTACCTTGGTCTTTAACCCCTGCTTCTCAAACTGCTTGTCGCTGACAATCCTAACAATCTGGATCTTGCTCTTCCCGCTCCTTAACACCAATGCCTCAAAGTCAATCAAGAAGTGCTGCGGGTTCGCTATAGAAGAAGCTTCGATGGGAATCCACTTCAGGCTTGTGGGAGCTTCAACGCTGCCAGAGCTGGGTACCACAACGTAAGCACCCTTCTTTGCAATCAGGCGGTGGGCTTCGCTCTTCGTAGTGGCGAGACCGGCAGCGTGGAGGACGCGGGGGAAGGATCCAGGTTGCAGGAGGGAGAGGGGAAGAGTGACTACGGAGTCCTGCTTTGTCTGCGAGGAGGCAGATGTGCTGGAGGTGGGCTGTATGCTCGAAGACGCAGCATAAGCGCGTTTGTACTCCAACAACTCAATGTCGAATTTACTCGGCTTCTCCTTTTGCGCCCCGAGGCCGGCGTTGGGATTATCGGTACCCAACGTATTCCGCAGAGCGCCGAGGGAGAAGGTGTTTGTGCCGTGGCTGAACGCTTCTTTGTGTGCTATTTCAGCTTTCTTTGCTTCTGCGGCGCCGTGAGCGAGCTCGACGATTTCTTTTGCTAGGACGTGTTGCGCGGTGCGTTTTGATGCGTCTTTGCGAGTTTGCTCCACAAGGAGAGAGATGTGGTCGAGAGGGAGGAAGGTGAAGAGCTTTAGGTAGCGCTCGACGTCCGCGTCGGCGGTGCGCATGAAGTATTGGTATAGGTCGAAGGAGTTCATCATGGTCTTGTCGAGCCAGACAGCGTTGCCTGCGCTCTTGCCGAACTTCTCGCCCGAGGCGGTGGTCAGGAGAGGTGTGGTGAGGCCGTATGCTGCGAGACGTGGGTCCTCGTCTTCCTGCTGGGACGAGTCGAGACGGCGGATTTTGCGCATGTGCGAGACGGCATCCATACCTGCGCAGATGTTGCCGTACTGGTCTGAGCCACCGATTTGGAGCTGTACGCCTTTGTTGTGGTACATGCTCCACCAGTCGTAGGCCTGAAAGAGAGGGTAGGAGAACTCGGATATGGCCATGCCTTCGCCACTTTCCATGCGTAGCTTGACTCTGTTGGGTCGTTAGACATTACTTGTGGGAGTGGTGGTTAACTCACGAATCGCGACTGAGCATGGTGCCCAGGCGCATGCCAGATCCCAAGTCCCTCATGAGCTCTACAGCATTGAGTTTCTCCAGCCATGTTCGGTTGTTGAGGATGTCCTGCTTTCTGCTTGTCTCTGGCGAGTACTGGTGTTTGATTCCCAAGCACTTGACATGGGTCCATAGCTTGTCAAGCTGTCGCCGTATGCTCTCGATGTTCATGGTCTGTACATCTGCACCCTGTCGCGAACGAGCGGTCGTTCTCCCTGAAGGGTCTCCAATCTGCACAGTGCCTCCACCAAGCTATCCCATATTAACCTGCTGTCGTGCATGTTCCGGCGCAAATCGCTCACCAAGCTGACGGTGTAGTAGCCGTGGAGGTACATCCAGTATAGAGCCATAAGAGGCAGAAGGTGTCCGACGTGCAGGGAGGGCGCGGTAGGGTCGACACCGACATAGACTCCTATGCGCTTCTCAGTGAGGAGCCAGTCGAGTGTCTGGCGTCCACTACATAAAATCAACAATGCTTTGCTTCAAAAGGTAAATTGGTCGTACCCAGCGACATCTTTGACGAATCCCCGCTCTTCAAGCAGACTCAGCATGCTCTGCTGTGCGCCTGCTCTTATCCTGTTGGCATGCTCCTCCCACTCGACCTGTCGCGAAGCTTTGTCTGCATCTTCGCCGGCCCATCTTTGTATCGGTCGCTCACCTCGAGCGAGGGTGTGTTGGTTGCGTATACATTGTCGACAGACGTGCTGCCGCCCTTGCGACAGGCGCCTGAGCATCAACATCGCTATCAATGACTCTTTGCGCAGAACGCGACTTCCATTTAGAAAGTGACGATCATCCACATGGTCTGTGCGCGGCTTCCCCGATGACCTCCGCACCTGCACCATACACGTCACTTGCCTGCCTAGTCTGGCATGCATCGACGTCGATTCTAGTTGCGTGCTTGCTCACTTACTCCCCTCAATACTATAATATTCACCTTGCTACTCAAACTGTGCACCTGTTCCCTCCACACCTCCTCTATTGTATCTCCGCCCACGCCGCTAACATGTATGCTGCGCTCACATGCCATCCTCCACTGGGACAGACTACGACAATACCTTTCGACAGAAAGGCAGTCAAATTCACCGTATTGATTGAAAGCTCGGCTGGATCAGAGAAGACGTGGGAAGCTGCATTGTGGCATAACTTCGATGACCAGGAGAAGTGGACCAGTCTGAATCTCAGGCCAGCACAGGAGCCGTCCCTTACAGTCGTCAAAGCTAGTCGGAATAACGTCCGACGCCAGTTCTTCACGATCGAGCTGCCTGGGCGCCCGAAACACGGTGGTTCATTGTCCTATACCATCACGTTCCGAGCTGGCGATAACGAACCTTGGAAATGGGCTAACGAGCAGTTGCCCACTACGGACGGACGCCTGATCTACCAATCGCAAGATACATTGAGCGATGACTTGGCACATTACATCAACGCGTTGCCTCCATATCTACAAATTGGGAAAGAGCCAAGTGACTCTCCGGAGACGTTGTTGTGGTCTATCACCAGTCCTGTCAAAGCCGCCTCTGGAACTACTTCAGGCTACTCGAGCAACAGCCTGGGCAGGCCCTTGGATTTTGCGCGTTGGTTCGCATTGGTGCGTCTGTGGAGCCCTTGGTTGGCCCCAAGACAGGGCAAGGATCGCTTTCAACCCGACAAAGAAGCTATCCTTGCAACGTTCGAACGTGAAGATGGCTCACATTTGGTTGTCCTAGCGGTCAGTGGGGTAGACGATGTGTTGACAACCTTGGGTCATGATGGCGAGGGGCGGATCGTTATCCACTCCCGTAACGACAGCGGGGAAGACGGCATTTCGCGATTAGTCGCTGCCGTGGGCAAGGACTTGAATCATGCAATAGCAGCGGTGATGTACCACGCAAGAAAGCTGGTCATGAAATACAGTGTAGGAACTGAAGAGGCGGAAGCTGAGTTCAAGGCGCTGGCAAACGACTTCAAGCCAGAGTGGCTGGAGAACTGGTGTAAGTGTTCTTAGACCCGGATTTTCTCTGACCTTGGGCTGCTGACGTAGAGCTTGCCAGATGACGGACTTTCGTATTGCACATGGAACGGCATTGGACAGCACCTCACTGAGCAAAAGCTCTTTGACGCCTTGGAGTCGTTGGCTAAGAATGAGATTAATATCAGCAACCTCATTATTGACGATAACTGGCAGTCTTTGGTATGTAAACTCGGTGGCCAGGTAGCGCGAGCGCTCACGCAACTTAGAATCATGAAGGCGGTGATCAGTTCAAGAACGCATGGGTCGAGTTCGAAGCGACTAAGAATGGGTTCCCGCGCGGCCTCAAGGCGACAGTCGGCGAAATCCGCAGCAAGTACAAGAACATCAAGCACATCGCAGTATGGCATGCACTCTTCGGTTACTGGGGCGGTATTGCACCTGAAGGCAAGATTGCGAAAGAATACAAAACCACCGTGGTTCAGAAAAAGGATGGAGTATCAGGAGGGAAATTTACTGTGGTTGCCGAAGAGGACGTCGACCGCTTTTACAAAGACTTCTACCAGTTCCTCAGTTCAGCTGGTATCGACTCGGTCAAAACTGACGCTCAGTTCTTCCTCGATGAACTGGACGATGCTACGGATCGCCGGAGTCTGATCAGGTCATACCAAGATGCTTGGAACATCGCACAGCTGCGCTACTTCTCTGCTAGGGCCATCTCGTGCATGTCGCAATCACCCCAGATGGTCTTTCACTCACAGCTTCCCTCCAACAAGCCACGCATACTGCTACGCAACTCAGACGACTTCTTCCCAGAAGTCCCTGCTTCTCACCCCTGGCATATCTTCTGCAACGCGCATAACGCTATTCTCAATCAGTATCTTAACATCCTCCCTGACTGGGACATGTTCCAGACGTCTCACGATTATGCCTCATTTCACGCCGCCGGACGTTGTGTGTCAGGTGGACCAATATACATCACTGATGTACCTGGGCAACACGATATCAACCTGATCGGTCAGATGGCGGGAAACACTCCTCGCGATGATACGGTTATCCTTCGCCCTCACACAGTCGGCAAGAGCACATCGGCCTACAATTCCTACGATGACCCTGTTTTGCTGAAGGTTGCGACCTACGTTGGGATGGCCCACAGTGGCGTCAGTATACTGGGCATATTCAACTGCACACAGCGACCCCTTTCCGAATTGATTGGGCTGGACTCGTTCCCCGGTGCCGAGAAGGGCACATATATCATCAGAAGTCATACCAGCGGTCAAGTCAGTAAACCTACCAGCAGCGAAAGTAACGATTCTTTTGTTCACTTGGAGCTACCAACTCGAGGATGGGAGATACTTTCTGCCTTCCCGCTACAGTCCTTCAAGTTGAAGCGCAGCCACGAGGTGAAGGGCCCAGACGAAGTGCAAGTAGCAAACTTGGGTGTCTTAGGCAAGATGACCGGAGCTGCTGCAATTGTGAACACAGATAGCTACGTTGACCGATCATCAGGCCGGCTGCGAATCTGGACGTCTCTGAAGGTGCTGGGCACATACGGTAAGTGTCCTCTAGTGTCGAGTTGCCGTTATGGAAAGTAGCTGATTATCTCAAAGGCCTTTACATCTCCGGACTCAAGCACCGCAATCTGGACGACGACATTATGGCTTTGATCTTTGGACGACCTATCGCAAAGCATTGTGTCAAGGTCAGCGAAAAATGTGGGGATGTGCTCGAAATAGACACAACAAGAGCATGGAAAGAAAGTGACTCGAAGGCTTCTTGGAGTAACGAAGTGGCCGTGGAAGTTGTCATTCGATGAACAATGAGCCCGCAATGTTTCTTTGTGCATACACCATTGTCATCGACATTGTTTCTCGGGTGTTCATTTCTTGTCTTCTCTGTTCTCCCTTTTCTTTGACGCCGGCGTTTCTACAAAGAACGTCTTCTCCGAACAAACAATGCGCTTGATGCCAGTAAATTTCAACCGCGCTGAGTGAAAACCTCACATGGGACGCTCGTCTTCGGTTTCCCAAGGCTTACTTACGCCAACTACTTTGCCTTCTCAGGACAGCATACCGATGCCGACATAACAAACAAAAGTACACGGTGACCGCACTAATATGACGAACAGTTACAACTAACGTATTCGGCTTGAGCCCTACACAGCAGTCACCATGCAGTACCAGCGGCAAATGTCGCCGCGCAGGTTGCTGCACTCATGGCACACCCACACGCCGAAGGCTTTCTCTTTGCGTTGGCTGGCACTACCGCCGTGCTCGGAGTTCACTACGGAACCAAGTACACACATAGCCACACGATTGACCAACCTCCACCGGAGCTACCAACCGATATCGAAGTCTTCGAAGAAGAGCAGCAGATTTTTGCCGATAATTCGACCGACGCAGACCTACCCGCACCTCTTGTACCAGCTCCGAACGTTCCTGTCCCTGCCATTTGGGGTCATCCGAACACTCTCTTACTCGCCTGCTGAATCATGAAACCAAGCCTTGACACTCCGTGTCGATGACGTGCATATGCATACCGACCCAACGAGTGCCATTCTATTCTTTTAGTCCTTTTCCTCATCTTCTTCTGTTTCCTGGCCGGGCTCATCAGCAAATGCTGTTATGGACACCAAAACTATGCTGCTGCAGCAGCAGGTGCGGATGATGGCAGCTCGCCCGATCTTACAAGCAATGTTTCGCCGCTAAGTTCGCGAGAGGATACGACTGCCATCCCGCCTAGCACGTCTACCTTCTCTACAGATGGGAATCAGTTAAGTGGCACGAGAAGCTCTTTTACGGGGAAGATGGAAAGCCTATGACACCTACTTCTCGTAAGCAGATTCCATCCGTAGATCATTCTCCACCGCCATCGTCATCGCCATCAAAGGAGGTGACAGCACTTCTTGAGCGGATCGCGGAGTTGGGAGAGCACTACCGAAAGGCCTTAGCTGCGAAGGAGAGACTCGCAGCTGAGAAGGAGGAAGCCGAACGGCAGCGGACAGAGGCACAAAGCGAGTCTGAATTACTGCGTACACAATTGGCAACGGCGAATGAATCGACCAGCGATTCTGGGAGCACGGCATCAACCAGTTCTCAGAATGAGCGAACCTGCAAGCTTGAGGCAGAGCGAGATGAAGAGCGAAGTTCATGAGAGGCACTGGCTAGTGAGCTTGCGAGAGTGCAGAGTCGATTCGAGGATCGCGATGAACAAATATCAGAACCTCGCGAGAACTTCAAACAAGAGCGGGAGAACTTCGAACAAGACGTCGAGATGCTTCAAGCCGAATCAAGCAAACAGGCGCAAAAGAAGGATGACAAGATCGAGGACGTCAGGAAGTCACTGTCAACGGTTTCAAGGGAGCGCGACCAGCTCAGAACGCGCACCAATGACACGGAACGTGAGATCAACAACATGAGTACCCCTTGCAAACACGCAAATGCCCGCGTTGCTGAAGGAAATCATGCACAGTATGACAGAAAGCAGCTTGCAGCGGTACAAGCACGCCTGAGATATATGCTATTACAGATGATGTTGCAGATCGTATTTAAAAAAAGAAACTGAGCAGGCTCAATCAAAGGACACACGACGATAAGGAAGAGGAATGCGAAGTTGTGAATGAGGAGACGCTATTGTCTTAAGTGCTTGCTGCACCCGTACCGCCTGAGACACCAGGGATTGATTGATTGGTTTAACGTCCTATCTGAGTCTAAGACTATGGAAGACGAGAGGGCAGTAGCTCCTCTGGTAATGCAAAGATTTAGTTACAAGAGGTTGAGTTCAATGAGTGTACAAGGGATGGTGAGGGCTCAGGCTCAAAGCAGAGTTGCTGAAAAATGAAAGAGAAATAAACAAAGGAAAGAGTCTGCAGTGATGCAGTGCTATGGCATAACTATGCCAGATCTTCAGTGTGTTGTCCAAGATGCCACCTCCTTGTGCCAACCTTGGTCCTGCTGATAAAGTCCAAAGTGGCCTTGATGCCTTGCTTGGTGTGAAGGAGGAGAGGCAGAGTCAGCTGTACCTTCCCAAGACTGTCCTGGACGATTTTACGATCTTCTCTCAGCCACTTGCAGCTCAAGAACAGGTGCTCAGGGTGCGACACCAGGGACAAACGCGGAGAAACTCCAGCAGAGATCCAGGAAGGGTCGAAGGTGATCCTCTTGCGGGCAAGACTGGATGATACGGAAGCTGGACCATTGAGGTTGTTTTGAATCATTTGTTTAGATGATTGATGGCTTGTTTGGCTGATGTTTTCGCGCCTTGATTTGACAGCCTGCTGTAGATTTAGCCATAGCCATACTCAGCTCGAATCGTATCGTGATCTTTTCATCTTGGCAATGTAGCATTCCACCTTTGCAACACACAGCGTTTGCTGAGTGACTCTGGCTCGAGGATTCTAACCTGTCGTCTCAGAACGATTGATCATGCGCAATTGCATCGAGTTGGCAGAATATGAGGCCTATCGTGGAGCTGACTAGAGACCAGAACAAAGCTTGTTTGGGATCTTGAATCCGTCTAGAAAATATGTTACCAGCAAGACATGGTTGGCGCGTTAGGAAGGAGGAAGAGTGAAAGGAGGCTTCAGGCACCGGGAGTTCAAGCACCAGAGAAGCTTGGCTCGAAGCTTCGCGGTCTAGCACGTGGATTGTTGAGCCAAAAATCAATGGTCTCGACTTTACCATCCGCTCACCCCCGGATTTGTAAACTAATGCAACATTTGCGTTCCTTGCAAGTAGTGAACGCGTTCGAAGTTGACGTCATACTTCCTACGGTCTCCAAACATGGTGCGACTTCAAAACATTTGGAAGCTGCAGCCAGCAAACGTTTATTCAACGCCCCCATGAACAGCAACCCCACCTAAACATCATGCGCATTAGCCACTGTCCCTTCGCTACGCCACGACGATGAGTGGATACCTGCACACGTTGCGCTACTTCTTCGGCCTGCCTTTAAACATTGCTTGGAGAACCGCACTTGTGCAGATACCTCGATTCGTACCCCTGTCGATTCTCCACGTCACTTCGCCCAAAGGACCGCATCCCTTCCTCGTCAACCTGCCGAGTCGGAAAGGAAACGTCATCACACTCTATGTCTTCGTACCGCCTGCACCCGTCGACCTCGAGGAGAACGAGGACCGGCGGCGGGCAGAGACAGGGGAATGGAGAGTTCCAGTCGTGCTGGACTTTCACGGCGGTGGCTTCATCATGGGCAGTCCGCTCGAGCAGGCACCTTATGCCTCAATGATGTCGCGTGAGCTTGGAGCAGTCGTCATCTCTGTCTCCTACCGTATTGGACCTTTCCACCAGTTCCCCGCCGCTATACACGACGCTGAAGACGCGCTCTCCGCGATCCTGGACACAGATGGCATAACGGATGCTGGCAAATACCTCAGGACAGAAGTTCAACGATATTACACCATCATGCGTACGAACACGATCAGCAGAAACAAAAAGAGGAAGAAGAAGGAAACGCTACCGCCTCACATTGAGGATGTTACGACTATCACCCTTGATCCAGAACGTCTGTGTGTTTCGGGCTTCTCGGCGGGAGGAAACATTGCATTAAATATGGCTGTATCAGCTCCTCCATGTATGGATATTCTGCAGTCCCCCACCGAGCGTTCCAACTCGATCTCGCGAGGACCGTCTTCCGCTGCGACCATGTCACCACTTCTACCACGAAACCGCGCACCTACAATACTCGATAACCCGCTACAACCTTGGCCAACAATCTTGCCTCCCCCACAAGCTCGACCTCGATATATGCCTCTTCTGCTGTTCTACCCTTCGTTAGATGCACGTCTATTACCCCACGAGCGACCCATGAAGGCCCTGCCAAATGCGCTGAAGGGCGACGACAAGAAACCTGAGAAGCCGCGCATGCCAGGTCTCTTCTCTATTATGGGACCGACCTACCTCCCTAAGAAACTGCGCCGACACCCACGAGCCAGCCCCGGCCTGATCGACCCCGAGAACATCCAAAAGAACGCCGCCATCTTCCTTGTCCTCCCCGAAAATGACACCCTCGCAGTCCAGAGCGATGTCTGGGTAGACAAGATGAACTGTAGCGGGTGGCACGGGCATGTACGCTTTGGTGATGGTCGAGAACACGACTGGGATGGTGTTGTTGGCGGACAACCGTATCCCAAGGTCGATACCAACGGCGGCCTTGAGGTCTGGCATGCTCCGAAGTGCAGGCACGGCTGGACGCAGTTCCCCGACATAGCAGTTGGGAAACATGAGAGGAAGGAAAGGCAGATCGTTTTTGAACGAACCTTGCAGTTCGTGAAGGATGCGTGGAGGAGGGAGTTGCCAATTCCTGAGGAGCGGCTGGGGAACAACAACCAAGAGCTGAGACCGCTGAGGATCCCTACTCAGTTTGGTGGTCTGCAGCATTGAGAGAAAAGCTTGTACATTACATTGTTATGTGAGGCGTTCGGAAAGTGGTACGGCGTTTGGCTGGAAGCATGGATTTGTCTTACCAACCTCTAGATTTGTACAATGTATCACTACACACTGTCTCAAGTCCCACAATTGCTTGGAACCCATCTACCTGTACAAAGGAGAGCCAGGCTAGACCGACAGGCTTTCTAAGCATCATGAACAGAGTTCCTTCAGAAGATTGCGAATATCTACGCAAACATACACGCAACGTCTTGCGCAGATTCGACGACCTGTCTAAATCGAGTGTCAGCCACAAGGCTATGCTATGCCATCACACTGCCACGTCAACTCCAATATCCTCCCCTACTTTAGCCCGTTCCCATATTGACGCTTGGCCATGTAACGACGCGCCGTAGTGATCTGCGCGGAGTCGCATGCCCAGACTCGATGGTAGCTTGGCTTCACATAGGAGAAGGCTTGGCTGTGTGCGTGTGGTGCTTGGTTGGTTCGGAGCAATTTGTCGCGGAGCAGCTTTGTGTTTTGTGTTTTGGGCTATGGGTTTGTGTAAGGGGAAACGGTTGTGCAGCGGGGGGCGTAGGAGCCGGTAGGGAGGGAATGCTTGGCTGTGTTTGTGCGACGTGGTGTGGACGTCAATCTGGGTATGCGGTAGTGGATTGGGGTCTAGTGATGGTGTTGAAAGACGTAGTTGTGTTGTGGAGAAGAACGGTAGCAGGGAGATGTAACGTGAATGAGGGAAATCTAATGTGCATGACTTGGAAATAGCCAAGGTGACATGCGATGATCGAGCACGAGTTCCGAAGATGTTGATCAAGGGGCATTCAAGTCAAGTACTGCCAAGCCCTGCTGATCGAACATCTGAAGCTCGAGCGGTTGATGTTTGTATTCCTCGAATGAGGTAGGATCAACGAATGATCGCAACCTAAGTTTGAAGCACTGCCAATCTGGGTAATTTGATAGACCCTGCCAAGTGAAGCAAGATTTCATGCTTTTGATCTGAAGCGTGGAGTAACAACCGCTGTCTACCTCGAAAGACATGACATGACAATCGCCAGAACCATCTGTCGCTTGAGGGGTCGCTGTGTGCTGAACCGCGACCAAAACGACGTCATACAGACAGGTCGGAGAGGTACCATCGCAGTCATAGCCTTGTTGGTGGTCAGCAAGGCCTACCGCAGCATCCGGGTTCTACTCGTGGTTAGTTTGCCCGTGGTTAGTTCGCTCGTGGTTAGATGAAGTACCCCGCCTTGACTTCGACATCAATTGCCAGGAAGGTCTACCGCTGCCCCGGATTTCAGTCGTGTTGCTGCACAGTCAGTGAATCGACACATCGCGCCAAAAGCAAGCTCGAAACACGGTGAGGGAGTTCTGAACGTAGTCATGAGAGCAAGCATTTCCCCACATGCACGACGTCTGGAGATGCTCAGACGAGGACAAGCCGGCTCAGGCGCTTATGAGGAAACATAATGACAAGGGTCATCACTGCTCTGCCAACGAGGTGCGGAGAAAGCGGACCCTGTTCCTAGACGATGCAGGCGATGGCGCGGCGAAGCATGTGGGAGTGGATTAATGAAACGGGAAACCCGCAACTAGCGAGCTGTCCCAGAGCAAGAGGCGTCAGATGACCCAGGCCGATGCAGGACAAGAAAGTAGGGAGAGTTAGAAAAGCGGTGAACAGCGGTGTAGAGCTCCGTGAAGAGCGGTAAGGTGAGATGCATTGAGGTACGAAGGTGTGAGGTTCAAAGGTCGTGGCGTGGGGCACAGACAGGAGAGCTGAAACTGTCAAAGCCCGCGTATCAAAGACAGCACTCAACGGTGCACTGCAAGTGTGTGCTCGAGGTGCGATGCATAAGAGCTGCTGTGGACTCGGGTGCATGCTTCAAATCGACGTGTTTCGCTAGCGCGGGCATGCTCGTCTGCACCTCCTGCAGCGGTTGGACGGAACTCTTGAAGGGAAGGATTCAATAGACGGCATGTGTAAATCAGGGTCCTGTTACGATGCATGAGCAACTGCGCACCAGATTGCGTAGCCGTCGAAGCTGGCGACTTGTCGAAGATGGAAACCTGCTTCTGGTGTGATTCGACAGAGTGACGATGGCGCTGCTTAGGGCTGCTGACAAAGGGCGATGATGGCAACAAAAAGGACGTCCAGCACCGTCCATGCGAGCTTCAAAGACGCTGTCAGCGCGCCCGCTGGAAACCTGCGTGCCACTGTTAATGCAGGTCGAGAACACCTGCTCGCCGAGTTTTGTTTGAGTTTTATTTTGCTCGTGTAATTTCGCCAGTGTTCGCCTCAGACCGAGCCCGCGCGCTCATTGAATTTGTGCGGCGGTCCCAAGAATCTGCAAAAAGCGTTACATGGATTGGTTGCACGCTCCGTGGGCTGCACAGTACAATTAGCGCATCCCCCAACACGTCCACTACACATCAAATTCCTTTCCTCGCTTCTCCCAGGACTACGAGGCACCGCTGCAGCAGCCACTGCACTGCACTGCGCACGCCAGCAGCTGCGAAAATCCGCGAAACCCTCCGCCCCGCGACCAACGCAAGCATCGCAATCGCCCGGAGGCTTGTACAAGACGCCCAGCGTGCCCACCTATCAGATCACCGCCAGCCTTCCTGGTGTTCTGGCGGCCGTTGCCACAGCGTGTCTGAGGATCCTACATCATCTTCACTGGGTATCCCTCCCCACGTGCGACTGCCCGACTTTGACGGCTCTGACACCTAAGAAAGCTGCCACCTCATTCACTTCGGTCCGATCTTCACTGTACTTCCACCATGTTGTTCTCCATATTATAACAAGACGTCCTCTGGGGCCCCACCTCACCACCACCACTATCTATATACTCAGTAATACCACTACGAGGCGCATCTCCTTGCCACCAACTCGACCCTGTTACGACTCTCCACTCTTCCGGTACATATTCGACTTCACATTTGCGATAGACCAACGCGATCCTGCAAGCGCGTCTCCAGACGACGTTCTGCAGCAACAACTTAGCACTACACACACATAGTCACCCCACCATCCACCAGCAAACATGGCGAACGAGCAGGACCATATTGGGAGAACAGGTCCAGCGGGAATGCGCACAATGCAGTCGACTCCCAGCACAATACCACCGACCATGGCGGCAGAAGAGGAGGTACCGGCCGACGTCGATGAACCCCCGGAACAAGGGCGTACCCCGCGACCAGCACCTTTGAAGATCCAACACTCCTCGAAAGGATCATTCACGAAGATCTCGAAATCTACGATTGACCGCAAGACATCACTCCTGACCAGCGCGCTGCAATCAGCCTCGAACACGAGCTCGCCGGTTGACGACCACTCCGACAGGGATCCACCTCGTGGCATGTCATGCATTTCCACGTGGAGCACCAGCACCATCTCGACTGCTGATCTGACCAGCGATGGAGGCTTTACGAGCCCAGGCACGCGGACCTGCACACCGAGCCCTCCGCTGCCCTCGACTATGATCCATACAATGCTACCGCCGTACACAAAGAAGCTATCTGAGCAGCGAATCACCTTGATTGGCCAGGAGAACGACACTGTTGTAGCGCCTAAGCCCGCAGCACCCGCCGGTGAACAGGGTGTCGAGGCGACATTAGGCAGGAAGAGGTGTATCATGTTTGCATGTGGCGGCAAGAAGGAGGAGAAGAAACCAGTAGGGGCTCCGGCAAAGCCAACAACACCTGCGTCCGCCGAGGAATCACTCAAGCGGGGCTGTACCATCAAGTTCGCTTGCGCGAAGCCTACGACGCCCACACCTGCTGAAGAGCCACCAAAGCGTGCTTGTACCATCAAGTTCGCCTGCCCCACTAAAGTCTCGACAGAAGCACCTTCGAAGCCAAAAACACCCCGTCGCGCTGCCAGCCCCGCACCACTGCCGCGTAGGATACCTGTATCCCCAAAGCCATCGCCGAGAGCGCACCGTGACTCTGATTCCACAGTTCGCAACAATTCTCCCATCAGTGTCCGCAAAGTGTCGATAGTTGACCGCACTCGCCGTTTGAGCCAGAACTCGGAACTCGCTCATACCGAGGCTTACCGTTTCCACGAGTTTGCAAGCTCAGAAGAGGAAGTTGACGAATGGACGCAAGAGGTCACATGTCACCGAAACCGACTTACTGTAGGAGACACTCTTAGAGTTGAGAATAACCTCCGTCAATTGGTCAAAGAGGTTGAAGAAGAGGCTCTGGAAGACGACGAAGATGAAGACGATGATGCAGCGGATGATGAGGATGACGATGAGGATGAGTCTGAAGATGAGGATAACAACAGCGATGCGTACAGTGATGTCACCGATGAGGGCTTTCAAACAGACGACGAAGAAGGTTTTGCGGTTTCAGATGAGAGTGATGCTGGATCTGACTATAATTGGTGGGCCCCAGGAGCTTCGACTGCAGCCACGTCCATTGATCACATCGGCAACCTTCGACCCAAGAACCACCGCACTGTGTCGGAATCTTCCATCGGTTCTCTGGAAAGCCGCAAGAATGGATTCAAGATGTTCGAGCGGACGGAGGGCCAGCGTGCAGAGGGCCCATCAGGTCCGTCAATCAAGCGGAAGAAGTCGAAGCCAATGAACATTCGCGCACCAAGCCCGGAGCTTCCTGACAGCACCGATTTCGTCTGCGGAACTCTTGATGAGGATAGGCCAGCGGAAGAAGCATACATGTCCAACTTGGAACGCCGCCGAGCAGCCAAACACAAGCCTGCACCTCAAGACATCGATCCCAGTTTCCCAGCTTCGGATCCCGAGCTTGTTGACGACGATGAGGAGGATGAAGTGGACGATATCGAGAACCCTTCAGAAAGCGACAACTACTTCGTGATGCACGGGCGCATGGACCTCATTGACGGCGCACCACGCGGACGTCGCAGGGATACCTTGAAGCAGCGTTCGCCCCCGACACACTCACCGAAACGACTTCGCTCACCTCCACCAGCCAAGCGCGCTGTGCACCGATCGCCGCCTCCGCCTACCAAGCGTGCAGTGCATCGCTCACCACCTCCACCCTCTAAGAGGTCCAGTCACCGTTCTCCACCTCCCCGCGCGCTCTTCGGCAAATCACCAGTACGAGCACGCTCTCCCGCTCCTGTTCGTCTTCGATCACCACCTCCATCCCGTCATGGCTCGGCCAACATTCTGGCTTTACGACAGCGTTCTGAGATGTCGGTTAAGTTTGGCGGTATCGGCGAGCGAGCGGCCCTGACTGTATCTGCCTCACTACCTCGAACGCCCATCACTGCGCACCATAACCCTCTGGAGTACGACGACGATGAAGAGACAAGCACCAATGACTGGCCTGTCCGTCGCGCCATCGACATCCAAATCGGTCTCGAGAAGAAGAGGCAGCGACGCAGGGAGCAGCTGTACAGAAAACAGCACCGCAAGAGCGCCAAAGAGAAGCGCCCGCCGCCTCCTGGACGAGGTGCAGAGCGCATGCGTGGGATCGGTCTACAAATGGCCGCCTACAAAGGCAAGACAACAGCCTTTAATCCCTTCCATGTTCCGGCATCACCGGAGCAGGAGAACATGCACGTGCTGTCCGTATAAGAGGCAGCACGGAGTGTAGAAGAGCGCCGCCAACCAGCGCGTTGGCCCTTGACAAGATTTCGCACACGATGCGGAACTTGCTGGTCGCTACTCACACAATCCAGGTAGAGCGGCCCAAGAAAGGCACGCTCCCGACCCTTCCATTCTCTCGAAATATTTATTGTTACGGTAGCTTCCTACTTCCGCTGCTGGCTACTCATGTACATAGCCACACATTACTATTTCCAATCAGACATGATCCTCTCATATTTCCGTTTCTAGACTGTCTGATAGTCTCCTTTGTACTGGATTATACCACGGCATAGCATGGGCTTGGTTAGGTGCATTGATGGCCTCCCTCGCTTCGAGAGGTTGAGAGCCTTTGGGAGTTAGCTATACTTTGACGAATCTACGAATTCTACAACCAGATCTTGCGTTGCATCGTGACCTTTGATACTGAAGAGAGCACGACATGAGCAAATTCGCCGTTGCGCCACATGCCTACCGCAGGTGTTGAAAGCCATGTTGAGGCGCTACACCCACCACACAACCTCTCACGATGGCCAATGTTGCGCGGCAGTTCCACTGCACAGCCTACGATCAGCAATGTCCATCTTGCACTTCACCGCAAAAGTCATCTCGCGCAGCAGAATCATTTCGCAGCTACTGTTTCAGGAACATCAAGCTCGTACCCTTGCCGCTACTCGCTGCCGTCCAATACGTCGGGCACGTTCGGTGGCAGGCATCACTGCTGCATCATCGACCTCAAAGTGACCAGAATGGCTGGGAACCAAGTTCCCAGTTCCCGCGCCAACAGGACTTGAGCTCATGAAGAGACAGGCTACAGAGGCTTAGTGCAGCTAGCTTTTGGCGCAGCATCGACGGAGCGCGTTCGATGCCGGGGGATTTGGATGCCAAATGGCCTCTTGTAGGGATGCGAGGGCGGCGGCCAGTTGCAGGCCGCGTGCAGCGGGGTTGAGGCTGAAAGAGATTGGAAGTTGGGAAGTGCGGATCTGCAGCCGTTGCTATGGTTGGAACGTGAATCCCGGCATGCAACAGTGATGCAGCACACGACACAGCCGTCGAAGCTGTCAGCAGCGGTGCAGTGGATGCAAGGCTCAGCTGTGCGCAGAGGGCTCTGGCAGAGGTTTGGTAGACAGCCGCTCGCAGTGACACGCGCAGAGGTCTTGGGAGCTTGTCCACGTTCGAGGAGGAGCATGGCATCGCGCCGCGCGTCCTGTCAAGCTCTCGAGTGCCCCACGCACAACGCCGCTGCACTCGCTGCTTTCGCCCGCGGCGACTAGCCGGCCAGCGCAAAGGCAAATGCGACGGCACAGCTCTTCAAGACAGGAACGAGTCTGTAAAGGCTGCAGCCAGCGCGCCCCCGGAAAGTCATGGGAAAGCCATGGATGGGAAAGTCATGGACGATTCTGTGCTAGCAGATTCTGAGCTAGCAGACTGAGGCCTGGCGCGCTCATCAAAAAACAGTAACCCAGCACCCAAACCCCTTGTAAGCTCCAGCTGCATTTGTTCAGGCGCGCTACGAGACGCTCCTTTTCCACCACACCAGACGCAGCTCGTCCTCCGCACAGCCTCGTGTGCTCTCTGCTCCCGCAAATCATGTCCATAGCGCTGTCGTGTTTCTGATTTAGCCATGCTGGGCCCGCTGTAGCAGAATTGTGTTCACGTCTAATACCCACTTGACCTGCTTCACGTCTTCATTCTTACATCGCCGTCCCCGCTGCCCTCGCCCACGGGCCCTGCCCATACACGCTCGCTGCATCACCGCCTGCTATCGCCCCTGTGTACACTAGCCCTGCCCTTTCAATGTCGCCGTCGTCCGCTATAGAAGCCTAATACACATCACCACGCGCCCGACGACCGAATCCCCTCGGATTCCAGTCGCGCGTGCTCGTCGCCGCTACACTGCCTCGGTTTCTGCTCCCCCGGTTTCTGCTCCCCCGGTCCCTCCTCGCGGCCATGATGGAGAAGCTGTGGATTGTCGAGGAGCGCAAGGACAAGCGCATGTACCGCCGCCGCTGCGGAGGGAGCGATGTCCTCACTTTCTTCTTCGTCTCCACCTGCGCCCTGCTGTTCCTGCTCATCTGCTCGATATTGTACGGCACACGCACCGAGTCGCCGAGTCTGCCGCCCCTCGTCAGGGAGGTCATGCCCGCGGGCCGCTGTCTGTGCGAGTTCAGCACCAACTTCGCCTGCGATACGTGTTTGGACTGCGCGGCGAACCAGGTCGTGCTGGGTCAGAATGCGACCGAGGAGGCGGGCAATTGGCTGTTCAATTACAAGCGCGACAGGAACAACTATGCGCTGGACGAAGCCCAGTGCGACAGTGCCTTTCCTGGCCAGTACGAGGACATTGAGCGCGCGGTCAAGGTGCGGAAGCGCTGGGGCAAAGTCACAGAGGCGGATTTGTCCAGCTTCGACCTGACAAAGGGAATGGTGCGAGCCATGATCTATGACCGCGAGGTGCGTTTATGAATACGTATCTGGAGAATTCGTGTGAATTGACCCATGACAGCTCTACGTCATCGAGACCTTCCTCGTCGACAACATCAACTGCCAAAAAGCACTTGCCTCGCTCAGCGCCATGTACCGCGCCATCCTCGCCGCCCCACCCGACTCGGATATCCCCAACATCGAATTCATTTTCTCCGTCGAGGATCTGCCCGCCCAGCCCACAAAACCTATGTGGTCGCTTGCCCGCCGCGCTCAGGATCACAACCTCTGGCTGATCCCTGACTTTGGCTTCTGGAGCTGGGACATGCCGTCAATAGGCACGCTAGACGAAGTCGCCAACGAGGCTGTTCAACGCGAGAGCATTGAGCCATGGGACCAGAAGACGGAGAAGCTGGTTTGGAGGGGCAAGATCAATTTTGCGCCAAAGCTGCGGCGAGCACTGCTCGATGCTGCCAAAGGGAAGCCATGGAGTGACGTTGGGCAGTTGAAGTGGACGGATCCGAATTTCAAAGAGCAGTTCCTTGGGCCAGTCGATCAGTGCAACTACATGTTCATTGCACATGCCGAGGGTTTGTTTCCAACCTTCCTCGCAGAAGGAGAAAAAAAAAGTGAAAACAGAGCTAACAATCCACAGGACGCAGCTACTCCGGCTCCCTCAAATATCGGCAACTCTGCCGCTCCGTAATCGTCTCGCACAAACTGCAATGGATCCAGCACTACCACTACCTCTTCCGCAGCAACGGCTCAAATCAGAACTTCGTCGAAGTCGAACGCGACTTCTCTGACCTCGCCTCCGCAATGGAAGACCTGCTCGACCACCCCGAAAAAGCCAAACGCATCGCCGACAACAACGTCCAAGTCTTCCGCGAACGCTACCTGACACAGGCCGCGGAGGCGTGCTACTGGCGCAAGCTGATCCGGCGCTGGAAAGATGTCATGGCGTGGGAGCCCGTGTTGTACCAGGGGGTGGAGGTCGGGGAGCGCATGCGGCGGACGCAGAAGAGGGGGGTGAGGTACGAGACGTTCATGCTGTACGAGCAGCATGTGCAGATGGAGTGGCCCAAGAGCGGCAGGTGACGCCAGAGGCAGGACAAGGATCTTTATGCCCAGGGACCGGTCCAGATGCCACGGCCTCAGACGCCAAAGGAGACGGGCGAGCACGACACGTTACGGTAACACGCACGCACCAACCGCACCGCACACAACAACATACACACACACACACACACACACACACAATATACAGAGATGTACAACATCGACATCTAGAAAGGGAGGCCATAGACGTTGACTGAAAGAGGATGGCTTCGTGTCGCATGAGACCAGCGTTTATACCCATTAGCGTTTTGCATAAGGAAAAGGGAACGGGAACGGGAAAGGGAAAGGTGATATGGGATACCGTGTTGTTTTCTACAATGGGTTACATGAGTGGTACATCTAATAGAGCCCACACGCTCGGGACGAGAGTCCGAAATACGAAAACCATATCTATGTTCACATCCTCTATGCTCACATCCATCATCCTGGGGTCGTGAAGGCTGCCGAGGACCTGACTGTGGTCAACAGAAGCGGTGAAGCGGTGAAGCGGTGAACACCAAGAGCAGATATGATGCTATGTACGGACTGGTTCGAGACCGAGTACAAGAGGTAGTGCGGAAATGGCACCTGGGCTCTGGATTGCGACGTTGTGAGGGATTGCGATGTTGTGGGGTCTCGTTGTATTTATTCTAAAGTGCGCGGGCTACATGGTGGTATCTTGTTGTAGATTCGCCACGGGCGGTATCAAAACGTCAAGCAGAAGAACGCCAAAGCACCCCCATGCACTATATCTGAAACATGATGCAAGCAAATCAAACATGAGTGTCGAGACTCTGACATGCCAAGCAATAGACCCAAAAGGTCGCCAACATGCTCAAACTCGATCCTCTGCGAAGTCAAGTACTTCGCAATCGTCCTCAAAGAAGCCTTCCTCGCCCTCTTCATCATCCCGCTTGACGCGTCTTCGCCTAGTAGTCACGACGACCTGCTCGACCTCCTCTTCATCCTCGTTCAGAACAAGCTTGTTCTCGATCCTGGCCGCGACACCAGCTACAAACTCGTCTTCGTCGAGATCATGGCTGTGAGTTGCTGGGGACGAGATGCGGACGGCTTCAACGTCTTCGCCAAAGAGCCAAGACGTGTTGTCAACCTCATGATGAAGGTTGCTGGCAAGACCAGGTGTCGAGGGCTGGTACTCGCTGCTACTCTCATGTACGCTTGCCAAGGGGCGCGAATAAACGAAACGAGTGACCCGTCGGTCCGTGTAGAACGGCTGGTATGGTGGGTTCGTTTCAATCTCAGAGAAGCTCAGAGGTGCCAAGGCTGAACCTGACCCCTTGGCTCCCTGTGCGGCAGGCTTGCGTGGCAGAGCTCGAGGCAGCCACTCTCCGTAGACATCGTTCGTCACTTCCTGGTCGCCAGGTTGCGGGTAAAGCTGTTCGGTGACAGAAGGAGGGAACGGTATGTCTGGAATAGCAGCAAGACCAAACTCGACTACCTTCCTTTTCGAGATCGATGTCGCGTTGGAGGACTTGCCTTTGCCAGTGGCAGATCGCATTTGAACTTGCCAGATCTGCAACACACCACCAGCGACCAAGGCGATGGATCCACGACCCTTGCCAGAGAGCCATCGCACGCTGTAAGGCTTCACGCCAGTAGGCGACACAGGTAATGCAAGCTTGTTATCACCAGCATGTCGGATGTCGTTGATCGACTTTCCTACACCCGCAGCCACAGCTTTGCTGGATTTTGCGCCAGCCGCAGGTGTCATGCCGAGACTGCTGAACGTGAAGCGAGAGCCATTACTAGTAGCTCGGCCACGAACAGCGTTGAGGAAAGGCTTCGCTGTACCGTTGATAGCTTGCATCGCGGAGCCAACCGCACCTCCACTATTTGCCGGTGCTATGTCGTCTTGCGGCTTCGCTGCGCCTGCTGGACGGATCCGTCTGGAGGGTGGCCACTGGAAGGCCGAAGCTGGCATGAGAAACATGTGCACCGTTCCCTTGTCGGTAATAATAGCGACTTTGTCAATGCGTGGGGCAGACCAAGCTACATCGATAACGTTGGCGACAGTAATGCGAGCAAACCTGGCGACTTGTCGTACATGCGGTCCTAGTGCTTGCTCTCTGGCAGTCTTGCGTGCCTTTCTGAAGTTAATGCGTTTTAAATCCCATACGTCCTGCAGGTCGCCCTTCTTGCTAATGGTCATCAGCATCAGACCAGTCGGGGAGAACGAGAGGAAGCTACAGCCATGTGTTGCAGAAATGACTGCAATAGGTTGCAAGGCGCTCTTGCTCCGTGACTCTTCAGCTTCGACGAGTCTCTGCAGATCGTGTATCGCAATTACAGTAGCTTCCTGCCTTGGTTGTGCCTGGTTGTGCCCATGTGTGGGTGGGAAGTAGTGTTGCATTGTGTCCTGGTACGGTAGGTTGGTTGCGGTGCCTTTATTCATGTAGCTCTTGAAAGCCTGCATACCCTTCTCAGTGGCCCAGCGTGCGCTTTGGATCGCGACCTGGGTACCCTCTCTTGTCAATCGATTCAAGAGACTGGCCGCTTCAGGAGCATCCACAGCACAGTTCGATGATGGCTGAGGTGGCGCGCTGTGATGTGCAATGCCTGGTGGTCGTTCGTAGTACGGGGAAGTTAAAGCGGTACCATTGACAGAGTATTGTGAGCTGGATGCGGGTGGAGTTACGGCCAGCCAACGGTCTGAAAGGGAGAACACTGGCACTCCGTACTTCTCAGGTGGAACATCTTCATGGCTTCCGTCCGCACCGCTGGAGGCACTTGAAGGAGTTGCCCGCTCGCGTAGCTGCACAGAGGTCCATATCTTGCCTATACAGCGGAATCGCTCTGCATGCTCTTTGCAGCCTTCGAGATAGGGAGCAAATACAAAGATTTCTCCACTGGTACCTGATGCTACGACTACAAACTTTCCGTTCGCATCGACCACTAACTCTCCGACTGCAGGAGGAGGTTGAAAGAGAGGACTTCCAACTGGAGTGATCAAAGGTACCAAAGGACTCGTGTACAGAGTAGCCAGTTTCGTTTGCTCTTTGAGGGAATAGATTTCGACTGTAGTCTGGTAGCCGCTGACCTGTGTCGATGAATCGTTGCTAGAAGGTCTGCTCGGAGACTCCGAGGCGGAGTCATCGATGACAGATGAAGAGCCACTGCCACTGCCACTGCCGCGACTCTCCTTCAGAACTGGTCCATGCAGCGTCAGAGCAATCAGCGGCCTGGAATTCGCCAGTGGATCCCTTCTTGAGCTCCACGGTAAGACCTTTGCGCCAATGACGCCACCTCTCAAGCCTTCCAAGCGACCTACGATGTCGAGCTTGCCCCTTTCGACCCGGAAGACATCCAGACCGCCCTGTGCGCCAATCAGAAGAACGTTCTCCGTACTTCGAGCTGCTTCGTCACCGGCCATGCTCAACGTATCAAATCCACAGAAGCACCCGCCTTCGCCTGGGGGAACACTGCCATCTCGCAATCCATCCAGACCAAGGTCGAGCTCAGGCGCGGCGTAGAAGTGTGCCTGTGGCTGGTGCGGCAGGGGAGGATTTCCGGCGAAGTTCTGCGACAGTGGGCGACCGGTGTACTGCGAATATGTAGACGGTCTGCGATCTCTACCACCAAAAGTCGCCTGCTGGTTAGGGTGACTCAGAGGACGTGCTCCGATTGCAGGTGGCGAGTTCGACATGCCCGGCATGTATAGTCCGTCTCGAGCACCTGGTGAGTTCTGAAACGTTGGTGGTGAGCCTGCTATGGCTATCCCACCGTTGCCTGGAGAAGCCTGGTTGGCGAAGAAAGGCAGGGACTTGGTCCACTCTGTTGTGTATTGAGCTGCAGTTCTGGTGGCACCGATAGCCGAGAACAGTGGTGAGGTGGTCGCATTATAGTTTGTAGGCGGAGACGCAGAGGCGAAGCGCCTTGCGGAGGGCGGGGACTTGGTTCTGTGACAGAGTCAGTGAAGGCCTGAGGCGATAGCTCACACTGTAGCTCACATCTTGCGCGGGTAGATGCGTGTAGCTCTCTCCCCATGCCTATTATCTCGTCCCAACTCATATCTCGACTTGCGCCCGCGCTGCTGAGGAGTGTCCTGCACCTTGAGGCGGTTGCGCTGTTGCTGGTGGAGGTGGCTGAGGTTCGAAACAGGCGTCGTATACTCAGCAGCGGAGTTCGGCGATGAGCTCATTCAAGTAGCTGTTAGCTGTTTGGCGTGTTTGGCGCAGAGTGGTTGCTCTGCTGCAGGCGGCTTGTTGTGGAGTGGAGGGGTAAGAGTACCGCGCTGGAGGGTAAGGGCGGGTGAGCCCGGCGCGTGAGGTGCCGTAGACGGTCTAAGACAGGAGTGCTGCGTCATGCAACGACCCGCGAGTTCAGCTGGACGAATGGACACTGTATCGTGACAGATACCAGCGCGAGTGACCGGTATCTGTACGTCAATACCAGTGCCTGTACCTTGAATGGACGGGCTTTGGTCCTGGCTGCTATGCACTCGGCGTAGCGGGGACGCTTGTTGATGGTCGATCAGCCGCGGTACCGGGAGCTTCAGTTGCGTCGGAAGCTCCTCAGCTCACAGCGCGGAGGTATTCAAGGAAACCGCACAAGTCTGAGGGAACCGAGAGGCTTATAGTGAGCGCCGAAAGTGTTGGGAGGTATGCAGATGTCGTAAATGCAGTGCGCAGTCCTATCTTGCTCTCATCAGGTCGAAGCACGTACACGCCCCTCAGAGGGCAGCTAACGCAGGTGACCTCTTAGCTCGCCCGCCGCCATTCCCGCCATGGACAACAGCACGTTCGTTGGGCCACTGCTCTCAGTCGCTCTACCACCCCGCTGAGGCAGTCTGTTGAATCGACTCCCTCAGTCAGCGGCTCACACAATCCATTGCAAGCTATGCATCGAGCCGAGGACGCGGGGTACTCCTGCAAACCATGCTGCTGACGTCGTCTGTGACACAGCATCTCGTTCCGCCCTACCCATGCTCACTCAACACCTCAACACGTGCAACCTTGTCTGATATGGCTCCTGCATTCTGACAAAGAGGTATCCGTAACGACCTCCACGGAAAGGCGGATCGAACTCAGACAGACTTGCTGACTACTATGTGGCTTCCAAGTTTACTGCGCAGTTGCGTGTCTATTCCGCATACAATCTACCTTGAGTGCCTCCAGGGCTCGTCACTAGACAAGGCCGTGCATCGTCAGGATGATGTGTAACCATTCCACTTTCCACTTCAAGAAAGAGCAGGATCTGTGTCTATGTTTACTTCGGCAGAGCTGACTGCAAGACCGCTAAAAGTCCGTCATGTTCTTTGCTTTTCTTCGTAGCCACCATCATGCATGGCTGACAATCTCGACAGAAGGTCCAGGGCAACTATGCGGCTTCTGCGGACGGAAAAGCACAGTCTTGCGTCCGAAATTGTGGAACCCATCCCGCGAGCCGTCTACCAAGATGAACCAGTTCTAAAGACCGAACTTGTTCACCCCATACTTTCGCTGCACGCTACACCAATCGTGGTGTCACCACCAGTGAAGTCTCCTCTGCGCATACAGATGCGGCTTGGTAGTGAGAGCACTTGCCCGAGGCAGTACTGTCTACGACGACCTCGGGGTATTACTTTCGTTGCTTATTCGTGGCCGAGTGTATGCAAGGGGCCTTGCTCTCGCAGTATGTAGTCCGATCAAGCACCGTTGGTGGTGTCAGTCCAAGTTAGATACGAACGCTGCTCGTATCTCATTTTCTCGCCCATGGCGATCGAAGTTCGGCCGAGTACGGAGATCAGCTCATGGATGTGATAAAGGTTCCATGTTGGTGGGATATCTAGAAGAGCTCTAGAAATCCAATAGACTCTCAGATCATGATAGTTGCCGCTTTGAACTCTCATGGTAGCGACCTGTGCCTGTCAAATGTCTCCAGAACTAGTGGCTCGGCATGTGAGGGCCCTTGTCGCTGGAGCACGCCCGCGGACAAGGCCCGCGTCCACGTTATCGCTGTCGCAATCCTGCAGTCACGTCTCCACATCAGGCGCCTGCTCACGATGCCTTCGAGTCTCATTGACTTCTTTTAACCGCAATACCCATCCTTTGGTCTATGCGTCTGAGCGTTCGATAGCTGCGTCGTGTCTTTTGATGTCATTCCTTCGTTCCCACAGTCTCTACCGCAACCTTGGAACCCCGTCATGACCTCTCCAGAACTGGAGGCCTTTGCAAAGTCGATATCGCGAGTGCTGGGCTGGGCGTACTTTCTTTCTTGGGTATGTTTGAACATGGCAACTGGCTGCGTTATACGATCGATTTCTCACACGACCTGCAGTCTGGGAGCTTCTATCCACAACCAATATCGAATTACACACGCAAGTCGACGCTCGGCCTCGCAATAGACTTCCCCACGCTCAACGTTCTTGGCTTCTGCATGTACACCATCTCCACTGCCTCGTTCCTGTATTCGCCTACCATACAAGCGCAGTACGCGCACCGACACCCTGAAGCACCAGAGACGACTGTGCGCTTCAATGACTTCTTGTTCGCGGCCCATGGCGCGGTCATGTGCATAGTCTGTTATAGTCAATTCTACTCATGGATCTGGGGCTTCAAAGTTGGGAAGACACAACGGGCTAGCAAGGCGGTACTCGGCATATTTTGGGGCTGCGTGGTAGCTATCATATGGACCATTCTCATGGTGAGGTGGAGAGGGAGGAACGGTGGGTACGATGCTGATGCCTGGGCGTGGATCGACGTGGTGAGTGGTGCTGGCATCGACGATGCCTCGTATTGAGACTACATGGCTGACTGACTACTACAGATATACGTACTTGGGTACGTCAAACTGATCACTGTGATATGCAAGTACATCCCACAGATGTGGGTAAACTACAAGCGCAAGTCGACCGTAGGATGGAGCATCTACCCTATGCTCATGGACTTTGCCGGAGGGTGGCTTTCGTTGGCCCAGCTGGTCATTGACTCGTCCTTGCAACACGACTGGACGGGCGTGACTGGCAATCCTGTTAAATTTGGGCTGTCCAACGTCACCATTGTGTTTGACATCATCTTCATGCTGCAACACTACGTGCTATATCGCGGCTCAGATAAGCACCTAGAAGACGAAGAAGAGCTCGCGACGTCATGGGACGCTGAACGCGAGAGGCTGATATCTGAGCGGGTTACCTAGTCCAGCAAACACTGCGAAAGTAAACAACACGAAAAGGCGCACTCGGCCCGCACCCTGACAGCGCCCGACAAAGCTCAGCTGCCTAGACGGGTGGCACGGGACGCTGCAGGTCTGCTCTAGCGTATCAAACTTCCTCTCAGCCCCTCGTCCTAAAAAGTAAACCCTCATGACGTCAAGTGTCGTGAAGGCTCCCAAAAGGAAAACCGCAAGCTTTCTGCTCGGCGAGCTGCGCGAAGATCTTCTCGTGGCAGGCACACTGCCAACCCACTTCGCATCGTCTTCGCCGTAGTATGCATCGGGGAAAAGGGAACGCGCAGACGCGCATTCGGGTTTCTCTTGACCCGGAAAGTATCTAACGGGCATCCCTGTTAACTTTGGACACCAAATGCCAGGTACAAGCAGGGATTGGGACCGAATCGAGGTGGAAGGTTTGTGGGCGCGATCAAGGCGCATGTCCAGATCCGCTAGGTTATGTGGACTTCGATAGACTGCAGATGGGGAGAGATTCAACTGAACCTTCAGATAATGATCGAACTCAGTTCGAAATATCAAAGTTGCTCCAGTGCTCACAGAACAGCACTCACAAGAACAAAAAACATTGTTCGTAACTGGGTCCTTAGCGCGTGCGAAGAAGTGCCGTAGCAGCTTTGACAGCAGTGCGGGAGTCTGTGTGCCCTTCCATACAAGCAAATAGTCTCTTCGATTTGGAACGTTCAGGGTTCACACGAGGTGTTCTGGGCACGGCTTCACTGACGTTTCTTTTGGCTATCAACATGCTACCGTTGGACTTTCCACCACGACGGCTCGTTGGCCAAAGAGCCGTGGAGGATTCCCGCCAGGATGGCACGGCTCTGGGAATCAGGCACGGCGCGCTCAGGGACGCTGCACGAGCGTGGAAAAGGGGACTAGGCTGACACGCCGTGCTGTGGGGTTGGGATGCATTCGCGACCGACCTCCTGCATTTGCTTTTAATGTGCATCTTGATGTAGAATTTTTTCGCTGCTGTGCAACGCCCGACGCTTCTTCTGCATCAATGCCAGACGTTGCCAATTCGCCAGCACAGACAGCCTGCTAGAAGTTGACGGGTTTAGGTGCGTCGCGCCGCCAAACGTCCAGGCCTGTCTCCATCAACGAGATTGTTACTTTGAATTGTGCTGCGGACCTCAACCTCGACGATCGACGGTTCAGCAACCTTTTTGCAGGGACCGGCTCCTCCCAAGCCACAATAGCTACCAAAGACATTGGTCTGGCTTTTCCTCCCAGAACTAAGGTTTGCTAGCTGGATCGTTTCCTGCGTGCCAGATCTGCCAGTGGCATCATCGAGTCAAAAGTTGCAGACAAACGTTGCCGGTCGTGGCCTAGTGTCACACCGACCCAACTGTGAGGATTCTGTCCCAAAAGTGTCAAGGTCCTTCAGTTGGCTCTCTTGGTACGTTTATCTTAATTAGGATTCTTCGTCATGGTTCCGCATTTTACGCTTCAGGGCTCGCGTTCAGGCGCCGCCAATATATTTCCGTTAATTCTCGAGCCTGTCCCTTCTCGAAGCCGTCTATTGGTCTTTCCATTCCGTATTCCTGGTTGCTATGCACATATTCAAGCACAAAAGACGATCGGCTCATGGTATCTATTCCTCCACGCAGTCAGTCCCAATTTCTAGGTCCATCCACACTGCAGACACTGTCCAAGCTTCCTCGATGGGGAGCGTAGGCGAACAGACCCCGACGTACTACGTCGATAGCGTCATTGCTGGAGCTTCCCCCGATGCGGACGCCAAAGTTTACGGGGATGCTGAGGGTCCGATCAGTGAACCCCTGGTAATGGACTTTGCTGTAATGCACGATGGCATAAATGATTCCAACGCCTCACTCGCGACGCCCTCTAGCAGCGCAGATGGTAGGTGGCTCTCAGACGACGATACTGCTGCCGCACCGCCAGACATCTCCGTTCGCCGAGACATATCTCATCACGTTCCTTTAAGAACAAGGTAAGCTATAACAAATACTACTGTCACATGCACAGCGGCTGATCTTGGGCAGCTCTAGTGACTTTACTACCAAAGTTAAAAGACGAAGCCTCCTTGGAAGATCATCACGCAAATCCAGCTTGACGCCAGATACTCAGACAACATCACATATCATGCCGGAAACACGACGCCTCGTCATGCCCGAGACACCAGAGTCTCAAAAGTCTTACCAGCTCAGCACATCACGACGTGGCAGCATAGGAGGCCAGAGTTCAGTACGCGGATCAAGCACAGGACCTACTACCATGCGCAGCTCTGCCGATTCAGTCATTTCACAGGAGTCCTTCACGCCGTCGATAGCAACAGGTGCTCTTGCTCCCCTGCAGCAGAAGAATGGCCTCGAGGATGGCGACCGCCTCTCCCCGCTACTCGAAGATGACCCAAAGTCCTGGGATCTCATTGAGCCAGAAGAGAACAACCGCAAAGTGTTCTCGCTCGAGGCTCGCTCCGAACAACTGTTCTCCAAAGAGCATCTAGCCGCCATCTTCAAAGACACACCATCACTACTCCGTTTCACATCGTTCCTTAGCATAGCACGGCCAGAGTCTGTGCCCATTCTGATTTACTACCTCGATGCACTCAAGGCAATACGCGCAATCAATTACGCCAACGCGGTCGCAGAAGCACTGGAACCGATTCCTGGCTTGGAGTTCACCGACACCCAGGCACGACCGACGGTGAATGGGATCTTGGAGGAGAAAGCGAAATTAGCATTTGACATACTGGTACGAGATGACCTTCCGGCATTTATCACACACATCTTTACGCAGGTCGTGAGTGTGAGCATATCGAAGCGTGTTACTGGAAATCTGCCACCTTTGCTGCGCGAGGCTAGTGAAGGGCTGGCGGAGGTGTTTTGTTTGACAGACCCTTCAAGACATGACAATCCTATCATCTTTGCATCAGAAGGTAGGCATTTTACAATTGGAAGGAGATGACAGCGCTGATCAAGTTGCAGAGTTTCACAGAACTACACAGTACGGTGTCAGCTATGCCATCGGACGGAATTGTCGATTCCTTCAGGGTCCGAAAACAAACCGCAGTAGTGTTGCGCGCTTCAAGGAAATGTGCATGCAAGGCAAGGAGCACAGTGAGGTGTTTCTGAACTAGTAAGCGATATCCCTAAGAATCTCAGACTATGTACTGACTGTCCGACAGCCGACGAGACGGTTCTCCGTTCATGAACCTGCTCATGCAAGCGCCCCTCCTCGACTCCCGAGGTAACCTTCGCTACTTCATCGGTGCCCAAATCGACGTCTCGGGTCTCGTAAAGGACGCCACAGACCTCGACGCCTTTCAGCGCATGCTGGATGAGGAAGAGGGCAATGCAGCACCCGAAGAGGCGAAGGACGAGTTCCAAGAGCTCAGCGAGATGTTCAATCACAGCGAGCTGGACACTGTCCGCAAATTTGGCGGTAACATGCACCGAGACCATCTTGAGGACCAAGATGATAAGGCGAGCGGAGTTCAGCGACCCAGACTGCTTATCCAAGATCAATCGACGTTTGATGTCGAGACAGCGGAGAAGCCACCTCCCACTCCTGAGGGGAGATTGTCTGGACCGTATAAACATGTAAGACACATCAGCTCTCAACAAGGACATGGAATTGACAATGTCACAGTACCTCCTCGTTCGCCCCGCCCCCTCCCTGCGCATCCTCTTCACATCTCCTTCCCTCCGCGTCCCCGGCATCCTCCAATCAAACTTCCTCGACCGAATCGGCGGCTCAACCCGCGTGCGCGAATCTGTCCACGATGCGCTCGCTGACGGTTCGCGCGGCGTAACAGCCAAAATCCGCTGGCTCCCCCACGCAGTCCAGAACCTCGAGACCTCCTACGAAGAAGGCCGACCACGCTGGATACACTGCACACCTCTGCTCGGTCAGAGCGGAAGCGTGGGAATCTGGATGATCGTCATTGTCGACGAGGAGAAACACGCTCAGCCAAACAGAAGGTTCAGGCAGGCGCCGCCCGTTGCGAATGATGTGCGGAGACCGCGTCATGCTGTGCCATTGAGCGCGCGTGATTTGCATAGTAGGATGGACGACCTCGACCTTACCGACGATAATCCTCGAGACGGTTACGGGAATATAAGTCGCGTTGCGAGTCCGAATGGTGACCGGTACAGTGAGCGCAACGGTGTGGGGGCGCATAGACATATGCTGCTCGATGCTATGCGGTCACCGCCCAGTCCGCGGCGGAGCTTGAACGACATTCGAGCGCGAATAGTCTGAAGGATAACAAGTATGGACTTGGGAATAGTGTGGACCCGTTTCAGATATTACTACACCCGGCGGTGAGCAGTTCTGAAGAGAAAGATGAAGGTGCTGGAGGGAACTCAACGGATGACACAAAGTCCAGTGGGGAAGGGGAGCGGAGCGGGAGTATTTGGAGCGCGATTAGTGAGGGCAGTGGAATCTTGAAGACTATTATTGAGATCAAAGAAGAAGCGACAGAGTCGGTGGGGTCTTCGACGAGATCGTCTGTTGTGCCGAAGGAGTGGGAGGAGATGCTGCAGTCAAAGGCAGAGGAAGAGCCGAGTATGGTTGTCGAGCAAGGGCGGTTAGCGAAGGCTAAACGTCGCGTAGACTGATTGTTGGAAGTGTGGGCGGGAGCGTGTTGTACAATGCAACTCAATAGATAACGTCAATATTAATGCACAAGGTGGTAGTTACGGTAATGCTCTTAGAGTTGCCTTAGGATAGGCCTATTATAAAGCAACATAATGACTTATACAAGTTGCACACAATGTGGAACTTAAGAGTTGGTCCATTAAGAGATCGTTCTTGGCGGCTCCGTCGAGGGAGCAAAGGAAGGTGGCAAAAGCACTAAAAAAAAGCCTATTCCAAGGCTAAAATGCAACATGACGTTTATGATCGTGATTAGCATATGGGTTCATGGACAGTATACGAAGGAATTGACATACTGTTCTGCTGCAAATGGGCACGTGTTACCGGTAACTCTGAGACATTGCTCTTTACAAGGCCCCTCTGAAAGGCAACAGCAAGGTAGTGAGCCTCCTAATCAATTGTCTGAGAATGCAGGTTTGGCATTACGACATCGCATCGCTTATGACATTGTGAGCAAGCCATACACAACGTCGTGAAATTGCTAGCTTCGAGACGGAACACAACCCATATTAGCTGTCCACCGAGCAAGGAACATTGCCGCAAGTCAAGCAAAGGACACAAGGAGCATACCTATAGTAGTAATTTTTGCAGTGTCATTGTCACGACGGTTCCAACTAATACAGCAATATGTTACATGTAAGAGGGCTTTACGTCTATTTTATATCTGCTCCGACCTCTCCTTCAGAATGCAAGTTGAGATGACGGAACAGTATATAGGCTAGTAGCAGGTCCTGCTACAAACGGCCCCTACAACCTAGACACTTTTTCCTTCATGCCCATCATTCAATAAGCACCATGATCCCAGCACCGAGAAGAATGTACAACACTATCCATAGAAGAAGCCCACGACTCTTCGTCCAGTTGGGATCGAAGAGAAAGTCTTTAGCAAGAAGCTCTACAAGACCACTGCAGATAAGGAAGCCAGCTGAGACGGCATTAAGACAGCCTTGGACTATAAGGGAGGACTTGGACTTGGGCTCGTAGCTATAGCGGAGGCCGAGGCCGATAGCAATGGAGATGTGAGTGGTCAGACCGTACATTGCGCAGAGAACCCAAGGCATCTACTTCTTGCCATTGGGGAAGGGAATAGTAGAGAGACGCGCCCCGATATCAAGACCCTCGAGGGATTGATGGAAGACAAGGACAGGGTACAAAGTCGCGATACACTTATAGGCAGTGTCAAGAAGGAGGATGAAGGCGGCAGCAACGATCACACCGGATCGAAAAAGTGAGAAAAGTTGTAGACACCCTTTGGGATCTTCCATGATAATTTCTTATTCGCAATAACTGGAAAATAGGTGAAAGCCGTGGACACGGCCCCTATTACGAAGATAGAGGAGATGCGAGCGCTGAGGTGACCGTTGTACTCGTTATCGCCAATAGCATAATAGTAAAGGAGTTCTGCCTTGCTTGCTGTCGTATGATCGATATTCGTGGGATTGAAGGCGGACATGTTGCAAATGGTGATCTGTGTCTCTGAGATATATTTGTCCCTTCAAGCTCTGCATTGTGACCTTTCTACTGAATTTTGGCTTTTGGATTGAGTACCCTGATGTACTGATAGCGAAAACATTGTAAGTCCTTCAAGATTGGTGTTTCCTTCCGTTGCAACGATGATGAGCTATCGACATTCTCGGCAAAGGTTCTTTACCTTATTCGTCTTTAACAAGCTTTCTTGCGCTCGCGTGGAAACTCGGCACGGTAGGTCAAGCAATCCGGGGTCTCGGCGATGCTTTCTAGAGTCTTATCCTTTGTAGTAAACTTCTCTCATGTTCGCTTGATTGATTGATTGGTTTAATGTCCTATGTGAGTCTGAGACTATAGAGGACGAGAGGAGCAGTAACCTCTCCGGTAATGCAAGGGTTTAGTTACAAGAGGTTGAGTTTATGAAAGTACAAGAGATGGTGAGGGTCTAAACCCTAAAGATGGGTGAGCTACAGGTAGCTCACATCAAGGTGTAGGAGGTAGGTGTAGGAGGATGGCAATGCCAGACCTGTCCTTCTTCTTTGCCTCCAAAATCAGTGGGTTGTGAGGCTGTGCTGGCTGTGCTGGCTTTGCAAAGTTGGTGTTTGGTGTTGTAGGAGAGCTCTGAGGAAGAGCTTCTGTAGTTGGTATGGCCGCTCAAAGGAGTGCGGTTGCTGATGTTGTAGGAGGGCTCTAAGAAGAACCCCTGTAGTTGGTATGGCAGCTCAAAGGGGTGCAGTTGGTATCGCCCAGGTGTGCTCTCGGTGGGGATGGATAGAGAGCCATTGCTCTGTCGTGTGAGGAGCTGCTGACAACAGCTCAGAGGAGTGCAGTCGGTATGGTACAAGTGTGTGTAAAGAAAGTAGGGGAGGGCCAGGCTACTTTCTCCCTAGTCTTAGAAGACCTAAACCAACTAAGACTAGTATTGCCTAAATAGGAAGCACTTAGCTTTATAGAGGTAATGGGGAAGATAACAAAGCTGTATAATAGTTATATATGTATAAACTATCGTTGCTAGGTCTCACATGTTCGCTTGGACGCGTGGTAAATCTGTACATAGACCTGTCAGGCCTGAGTGTTTTGATAGTATACTGTGTCCGCGTACAGGATATGCGTCCGCAGAATGAGCGCAATTGCCCTCGTTATCTCGAAAATCGAGGCTGTACAGCCATACATAGCTGCTGTTGTTATGGCGGCTACGAGAGTTGAATTTAGGTAGGGGGTTAAGAGAGCCACTGCGGCAGGAGACGACCCACACCATTGACAGCTCCACGCTTTTGCTTCTCTTTTGCTGCTAAGCATCGGTTCCAGGTAAAATGTATGCACCCCCCTCTCTTTTGGCTCAATGTCATCACATCATACGTCATACGCAAGCGAGCCCGACTGGCCTATGGCGGACGGTTGACAGCTAAATAACAGTCTAGGTGGATGTATGCAGGGCAGCACGTGGAAAATTTCAAGGAACTATAGAGAGTGACCACTTTTGGTTGGTATGCAATTGTTGACAATGGTCGCTTTGGTGTTGTCGGCTGCACGGTGAAATTATGGACAGGTTAGTTGTTGCAATAGATGCAATAAATGAAGGTGTAACCGCGCAGGGCAGTCAGTCAAAGGGGGGGGGGGGACCACGCAAAGCAGTAAAGTCGGTATATCGTGTTCTTGTTCTTCTTCTTCTTCTTCTTCTGTGATTGCCTCTCACCGGGCCATCAGCAGGATCTGTTTACATGACGTATGTCTCGTGCAGCCAAGGACAGAAGGTGCTTGTTGGAACAAGCAAGAACACTGCACCATAACGCATGGTACACATGACCTCCTTACTCCATAAACCGTCACATTAGTCATACTCAGGTATGAACACTCTGATCTCGAGTTAGTTATGGTCCCTACGCACAAGCAAGATTTGTTGGGTTCAGTAGATTGCCGAGTTTAGTGTAAATCTACCTTGTAGCTCTATAGCCTTATTTCTATAGAGTTAATAGTAGTAACTGTGTGCATTAACTGGACACGTGCATTGTGTGCACAGACATAGTATATACCCATCGGGAGGATGTCCATATTACGATTTGAGCGATCTAATTGTAGAATTAGCAGCCTGTCCCTATAACGAACCTTGTGCATATCTTAGTATCTCCCCAACGTTCCCTGAATCGTGAGCATGGCAGCCTCTTAGCATGAGGGCGGGGGTTTGCGGCGGCTCCGCGATATGATTGGCCAATGCTTCAGGACGTCGTGAAAGCACATTTACCCCACCAAACCGTCTATATCAAGGTCGCAACAACCCCCCGACGCACCTCAAATACCACAACAATGGCGACAATCCGCCCCATGCGCCCAGATGACCTCCTCAAATTCTCCTCAACGAACCTCGACCACTTGACCGAAACCTACAACATCGGCTTCTACCTTGAGTACCTCACCAAATGGCCCGAGCTATGCCAAGTCATCGAAGGCATTGACGGGCAGATAGAAGGCTACAGTATGCCCTCCCCTTCCCATGCCTCTAAACCATTCGAAATCAGAGCTGACAATCCCACCAGTCCTCGGCAAACTCGAATCCTCACCTTATTTATCCCCTATAGAACCCTACGAGCCCATTGAAGCCACGCGCCTCCAACCCAACTACCTCCCCTGGCACGGGCACATCACCGCACTCACCGTGGCGCCCAGCGCACGGCGCCTGGGCCACGCGACCGCCCTCTCAACCGCGCTGGAGCGCTCCTCGGATGCTGCAGGGGGGTGGTTTGTGGATCTGTTTGTGCGCGCGAGTAATGAGATTGCGAAGGAGTTGTATCGGAAGATGGGGTATAGTGTGTATAGGAGAGTCGTGGATTATTATAATGATGGCGAGGATGCGTTTGATATGCGGAAACCGCTGAGTAGGGATAAGGGGAAGGATACGATTAGGGAGAACGGGGAGGAGGAGAGGGTTAGTGCGGAAGATGTTTGGTGATGCGATTGAGAGATGGAAAAGCATACATACCCCAGGATTGAAACGAGTTGAACGCTGTTGCCCAGGCATGTGCAAGCGTCTCTGCAAGTACACTCAGATCATAGATCATTCGAGGGATCAGACGTCTTTATTGTTCATGCCTTTGCTGACGAATACAGGGTTTTCTGAAGGTATCAAGAGTAGGGAAACATGTATAGATGTCTATCTGGGTATCATCACCTCGGTCTAACCTAGGTCTCGCTTCTGCCATAACCACTATCGCCGCAACTCACACTGCCATCGACTTGTTCTATATTTAAGCCTACTGAGGACTTCGTGTTTTTGTAACCAACGAATTCTCAATCTCCGGATTCGTCGCGTACAAATGGCTCACCACTCGTTGCAATGGCACAGGCGACCCAAGCTCATTTATGCCATCCTCGCCGGTCCAGGAATAGTGAGACTGTGGCGGTGAAGTCAGAATACTGTTGCTATCAAATTTCGAGTGGGGGTCATACTGTGAGGGCTGATTGCCGGCAACATATGGTTGGTATGGTTCTACTTGCTCGCCTTCGATGTCTGGTGATGCTGGTGGTAAGACTGGTTCTGCGTGATCACGGGTGGGTGCTGCACTAACGTTGTCGAATATGTTTGATTGCTTCTCGAAGTCGCCTTCAGTTGCTTGAGAGTCGGCAGAGAAGCGCGGTGTTGGGCCGTCTGTTGGGACTTGCGATACGGTTGAGCGGCGACGCTTGAGGTCGAGTGCCAGCAGTGTCGTGGTGCCGATCCAGAGGAGCCTGCGAGTCGTCAGTCTCGTGTCTGGCCTTCTAAGTCAGGTACCTACACTTGAAGTCCAATGAGCACTGCACTTGCAACAAGCGCTCCGAAGTAAGTATGGAAAGTAGTGTCCCTCTTGACGACATACGATGAGCAGATCTTGCCGCTCTCTGATGTATAGGAACATTGCGGATGCCATTCATGTGCCAGATTGGCAGTAAGTCCGAGGTTGACGATCCAGAAGACGAGCATCCAAGCATGGAGTCCTAAGGACACCCATGTATTATCGAACTTGGCAAGGAATTTTCGAGAGACGATCATCCATGAAGACACACCAAGACTGCAGATGGTCTATGCATGGTTCAGTACTTTGGTCTTTCTACAGGGAAACTCTAACTTACCACAACCAGAGAGTAGATCAGGACATTGTATGAGATATAGTCAACCCCGTACGCCGCAAGACCAAGGACTGCTATTGCCAGAACGATTTGCGCAACGTGCGCGATTAGGGCTGGGAGACGCATTCGCGCTGTTTGCTGTGCTCCTGTTCCATCCATCTTGAAATCGCACTATCAAAGTGATGTCTTGCTGAATGTCTCCAGGACAGAAAGTAAAGAAACGAAGGACTTAAAAGTTGACTGTGACAGACAGAGACGAGCGCGGATGTTTGCATTCTTGTATAAGGGCCAACATGGGCACCGGTACATCCGAAACAGTCTCAGCTTCCAGAGAAAGCTATCTTAGGCCAATGCCCCACATCGTCACCTGTATCAGGCGATCAAAGCACGCAGTGACACTGCGCACGTCTACATTACTCGCGTGCGAGTCGTGTTGTTTCCGCGAAACTTCCCCACACACCCACCTAGCCTGCGGATAGACGCAAAGGATGCCGTACAAGCGACGCTCTTAGCAGTGCGCATCATGCTGCTGTCAGTCTGGAGGAAGGTATCACCGAGCTGTCCATGATGTCATTTGCGTTGGATTGCATATCAAAGCTGGTTAGAAACATGATAAAGCGTAGATGTTTGCTGCTGTGTGATCTAGATTGGTGCCGAGATAGCGGATGTCTGAGACAGCGTGTTTCCAGATCTTTCAAACAGGAACACTGTGACAGGGAAGAACGTAGACGAACATCAATATTTTGGGTTGCGGAAGCGCATGCGCAAGTATCAGGTAGATGAACGGAAGGGGCAAACAATGGAAACGACGATGGTGTTGTCGTTCGATGGATATTGTCGTGAACGGGAAGGATTGACGCGTGAAGGGTCCAGCCGAAACGAACTAGACGAGTGGAAAGATCCTCACATCCACGACCGTGCTTTGTCTCACGAGTTCTAGGCATACAATAGAGAAATTTATTATCCCTGCCTGGAAATATGTATGTTTGACTCTCACTCTGGGTTGGCGGGTTGCTTGCTTCCGTATACCACTGGCGGTCTATTGCCTCCCGTCTGCACTTGATCGTACACCTCGATACGAACAATTGCTATGAACAATACGGGCCTGGATCTGTGCAATGGAGCATCATAAGACCCCACAAAACAAAAGCGTCAGCTAGACCCTGAGTTGCTGAATACCTGTATGTTGACAAATTACACTATGACGTCAATCTGATGATGGCGGACGCGTATTCCTCACGGCTTCCTTTAAGACAAAGCTTTTCGTGGGATTGATAAACATACTAAAAACAGATTGACTTTCAGATCAAGATGACTTCGAAGACGAACCAAGACAGCGCCAAGGACATTCCAAAGGAACACCACGTGCACAGGACGGGCTCATGGCTTCCGGCGGGTAAGATTATTATATTCGTGTGCAACCATCAGCTCGACTGACCCGCCCCCAGACCACCGTCATATCAAGGATTGGATTTCAGACATCATCGAACATGTCGACAAGAACCCAAAGGGCCTTCATCCTGTAATCAAGGAGTTTAAGGAGCTAATTGAGGACAATACGAGGATCTACCTTCTCGTAAATGCGATGTTTGAGGAAGTGCCATCGAAGAAGCCATACGCAAACGATCCCGCAGGCCACAAGCAGGTCCGAGACTACCAACACATGCTGGAGTTATTCAACCACCTCCTCACAACCGCACCTTCCTGGAGCGACAAAGAGTACTCGGTGGGCATGGTCGGCACGCCATTCAACGCCATCCTTGACTGGCCTATGGGCACTCCCAGTGGTTTCGCCTTCTTCCTAGATCCCGCGGTCAACAAGATGCTGAAGAAGACATTGAACGCATGGGCAGAGTTCCTAGGCTCGTCCGATTCGGCATACGTGCTCGGAGACGACACAAATGGCTGGTTCAGCAAGCACGGCACAGAGGATCTCGCCATGACAGCGAACGTTGGCCAAACCGACTACAGCTTCGACCAGATCTTCAAGTGCGATCCCTCAAAGAAATACAAGGGCTACACATCTTGGGACAGTTTCTTCACTCGCGCCGTGCAGGAGGACAAGCGACCAGTCGCATCCCCAGATGACGACAGTGTCATTGCCAACTGCTGCGAGTCGAAGCCATACAAGGTTGCACGTGATATCAAGGCACGCGACACATTCTGGGCGAAGGGCCAACCGTACTCACTGAATGACATGCTGTCGCAGGATCCCCTGCACGAGAAGTTTATCGGCGGTACAATTTACCAGGCTTTCCTATCAGCTCTAAGCTACCACCGCTGGCACTCACCTGTTAGCGGCAGGATCGTCAAGTCCTACAAGGTTGATGGCACATACTTCTCCGAGCCACTCTTCGCAGGTATTGGCGACCCGCAGGCAGACGGCAACATGGATAGTGCGGGTGAGAAAACGGGTCAAGGCTACCTCACTGCCACAGCCACAAGAGCTATTATCTTCATTGAGGCAGACAACAAGGATCTCGGCCTCGTGTGCTTCCTGGGTATCGGTATGACAGAAGTCAGCACGTGCGAGACCACAGTCAAGGAAGGTGACCATGTCAAGAAGGGTGATCAGCTTGGTATGTTCCACTACGGTGGAAGTACGCACTGCGTCATCTTCCAGAAGGGTGTCGAGCTGGAAGGCTTCCCCAGTACCGAGAACCCTGAGCACAACATCCCTGTACGCTCGAAGCTGGCCGTTGTCAAGAAGAAGTAGACTCGTGGCAATCAAGCCTGCGCGATATCGAAATACACGTTAACTAAAGACATGATACCTAGAATTGGCCTCACAGTGCGTTAACCTGCACTTCTAGATTTTCGACCTCGCAGCTCTCTTCTCATCCAGTTCCTTCCTCTTCGCCTCGAACCTCTTCTTCGGCGCATCCTCAACGAACCTCTCACTGAGCGCATCAACTGCCCTGACCACCGCGAGAAACCTAGCATCCCGAATAGGATCGTTCTGCAACCTCTTCATCTCACACATACTCTTCCCATCATTAACCGCCAACTGCTCCTCCAAAAACGTTACCACCTTGTCCTGAAACGCATCTCCCGTCTCTTCCCACACATAATTGTACAAGCCAGCATCGAGTAGTTCTTGAGCAGTCAATTTGCGGCCGAACATCAGGAAGTCGTTTGTGCGGTGGATGCCAATGGACTGCGCGAAGGAGAGCGCAGAGCCGTTTTCGGGCACAAGACCGAGGGCGCTGAAGGGGCATTGCAGCCACGCGGTGGATGAGGCCAGAACGATGTCGGCAATGCCAGGGAACCAGGCCGCGCCGCCGCCAACGGCAGGGCCGTTGAGGGCTAGGATGAGGACTTTTTTGTGGTCTATCATGGAGCGGAGGAGCTCTTGTGCTGAGAGGTGTAAGTGCATGTTCGGTGAAGGTGAGAAGGTAGTTTGGATTGAGGCAAGGAGAAGTTTAAAATCGTACCATAACCAAACCTCGCCAGAAACTTCAATTTTTTGACTGCTTCGTTCGTCGGGTTGTCCTGTGCATTTCGCTCAGCTGATGCTTTTTTCTATGAGCACCACCAATCCATAGGTTAACATACGTCATCGTGTGTGATAACTTTGACATCTGCACCAGCACTGAAAAATCGGCCTTCGCCGGTAATAACGGTGAAGATGGTGTCTGGGTGCTCATTGAGATGGCGAAGCGCGGAGATGGTGTTTTGAATGAGGTTGCCGCCGAACGAGTTCAGGGCTTTGGGGCGGTTGAACTAAGCTATGTCAGATAATTTAACAATGGAGAAAACACGGTAGCATGGGGGAGTATATATCTTGTACCTTGATGATTCCTATCTGACCTTTGATCTCGAACTTGATGTCGGTGTATTGGTCGCCCATGATGGTGGCCGCTCTCCTTCTATTGTCCTTCAACTAGCTCTTTTTAACCAGTTTTCACACGTGTCTGTTTCCTATCTGGTCTCTGAATCGATCAGTTCAGTACCAAGTATTAGGCTATACAGAATTCGCAATGTTGGTAGAACGTTGAAGCTCAAGACCAGATATGGGGTTACGATATCGGCACCCTAGCCGCAGCCCCGCAGAACGGTGTCCCACAGCCTCGGTTCGATGACATGTGGGGAGAGTCATCCAATTGCTCAAATGATTGTTTGCCCTTCGTTCAGTAATCGCGACGAGATGTTGAGATGATACAAAGTACCCCAAAAGCCGATAGAGCAAGATTGAAAGTTCATCTATCATCTCAAGAAAAATCGGTATGCTCGCCTCTTGTTTTCTTGTTCACCAAGGCTTTTGCATGTTCTCTTCCCTGCCCAGTTCACCAGTTTGAGGACGCAAGAAGCTCGTGAACATTCGATACCGCATTAAGTTGTGCTCAGTGATCGACCCTTCTTTTCAATAACGAGCTCTCGGACACTTCATCTGCGCGAAGGCAGCACAGGCCACGCTCCGGCTTCCATGTTTGCAATCGACGGCGGTATAATATCTTCCTCTCATTGACCCTGACGTAGCTTCCTAATGTCACGGAAAAACTCCAAGCATTCTTCCACCGGCTTTCAATACACTTTCGTTCCTAGTCTTACCCGTTCCTGACTCGGTTGACGAGGCTCGGCGCATATCCTACCGAAGGTGCTGTGCTCATCACCAACATTTCGGTCACTCATCCTTGTTCGCCATCCCCGCGTTCCGCAATCCGGGGAGCAATTTGCGGAGACATGGAGATAACAATCGGTGGTCGCTATTTAGTGCGATGTAGGAAAGTATATCGGTCGTCGAATCCCGGAAGTTTTTGAGCGTGATTGAATTGTGAATCCGATGGTCAAGATGTTGTTCTCTAGGGACGCGCTGGCTTTTCTCGCCTCCATCTCAGCGATCGCCGCTTCACCACTGCAACCCAGAGATGTAAATACAACAAACCCAATCGTCACGCTCGACTATGTCACCCTTCAAGGCGCCACGTCTTCAACCTATAACCTCACGTACTACCGCCGCGTCCCCTTTGGAGCCTCGACAACAGGCGAGAACCGCTTCCGCGCGCCTCAACCTCCAGCGCCGATCACAAATGGCACCTACGATACGGATCGAGGGTTCGACATGTGCCCGCAGCGCACCGTCAACGGCTCTGAAGATTGCCTGTACCTGGGTATCTACTCTCGCCCATGGCAGCCAACCCAGAAGTTGCGTCCAGTCCTCCTTACCTTCTACGGTGGAGGTTTCATTCGCGGCAGCGCTGAGTTCACCATTCCCCCATCTGGCTACCCAGTTCTCAACGTGAGCGAGAGCAACGACTATGTGGTCGTGTATTCTAACTATCGCACCAACGTTTTCGGCTTCCTGCCAGGCAAGAAAGTTGCTGAGAGCAGAGTGGTGGACCTCAACACCGGCCTTCTCGACCAGCAGGCCGCACTCCAATGGATCCAGAAGTATATCCATCACTTCGGCGGCTCAAAAGACGACGTCACAATCTGGGGCCAGAGTGCCGGCGGCGGAAGCGTCGTCGCCCAAACAATCGCTACAGGTAACAAAGGGAAGAAGCTGTTCAAGAAAGCCATGAGCAGCTCACCCTTCTGGCCAAAAACATACCGCTACGACAGCCCCGAGAACGAAGCGATCTATCAGCAAGTCATTACAGATGTAGGCTGCGCCAACAGCACCGACGAGATCGCGTGTCTGAAGACCGCAGATCTACAAGCCCTGCGCGACAGCGCCCTCAGACTCAGCACCAGCCTACAATACACGACATCATCCTTCACATTTGGACCCATAATCGACGACTCCTTCCTTGCCGAGCCACTTAGTGAGGTTGTGCGAAAAGGGAAACTTAACGCACCCACAGTGCTGACCAGCTACAACCTGCACGAGGGCGAGAACTTCATCCCGCCCGGTTTACAGAACGCAGATACCGCGAGCGACGGTTTCAATTCCTCTGTGTCTTCTTTCGACGCGTGGCTATCTGGCTCCCTGCCCGGTCTGCGCGAAAAGGATATCGCGAAGGCAAAGACTTTGTATCCAGTATCCGGCACCGCGGAGGAGATAAGCTATAACACGACCTATATCCGTGCAGGACTGCTGTATCGCGATCTTGTCCTTGCGTGCCCAGCATACTGGCTCAGCAGGAAGGCGGATAAAGGGTGGTTGATTGACTACACTATCTCACCTGCTAAGCACGCCAGTGACACCATCTACGTAAGTTTCCTGCGTGCACGCATCATCTTCGACGGCAAAACTAACATGTTGCAGTGGAACCAGGTCAACGCCATCCAAAAGTCCGATCCCCTAACCTACCAAGGCTACGCAGGCGCAATGGCGAGTTTCGTACAGACCGGCGATCCGAACGCGCACAAGGTGACGAACGCGAGTGTGCCTGGCGTGCCGGATGTGGAGAAGGGGAAGCAGTTTCTTGTCACCGCGGAAGGACTGAAGCAGGGGCCGATTAAGCAGCTCGAGGAACGGTGCGCGTTTTGGCTGGATGTGAGCAAGCGGGTGCCGATCTGAGTGTGACTTGTTACGAATTTTTGAATAGATGTGAAGATGCGTTGACAATGCTCTATAAGCAATGAAATATAGACAACCCCACACATAACACCAAACCCATAACGTATCCAAGAACCAAACTCCGTCATAACTCATAAGTGGTCGACAAGACAACAACGCTGCTCCGACGCATCATTTACTTCCTCTCCCCTTTCCGCCCAGTCTTCTTCAACCTCTGTGCAAGATCCAACATCCCATCAGCCCAAACCGTCATATCCCTCTCCTCCTTCACAACCTCACCATAGAAATCCCTCAAAAACGCACCCATCTTCTCCTCGCCATACTTCTCGCCATACACAACCTCTGCTTTCACATCGACCTCCGTCTCGACACCACCCGAGTTAAGAACGACGCCGATCTCGAAGTTGACGCGGACTTTGGTCTGTAGGGCGGGCAGGAGCATGTCTGCCTTGATGCCCATGTGCTCGTCGCTTAGAATGCACTCCTCAGTTACGTAGTTATGTTCGAGCCACCTCACGCCTTCAGCGACGGCGAGTGCTGTTGTCCAGCCGTTCTTGACAAGTGCTAAGACTTCAGCAATGGAGGTCTGGCTCTGAGGGATGCAGTGTAACTGCGCGCGGATGAGCTGGAGAAAGAAACGCTTGCTAGTCGTCAGCGGTCGCGGGTGCGGTTGCGCAGAGTCGCCAATGTAGGCGAGCGAGATGGAGCCGTTGGGTGTCGGCGTCGTCGGGCTGGTGGCAAAGCATTGCGGCTGGAAGTAGAGCTCGAGGTCGGAAAGGTGTGTCATGGTTATACTGGAGGCAGAGGCGGAGGTGATGCTCCAGCCATGAGCGTTCTCGAGGGCGGTGACTTTGGCTGGGCTATAGTTAGTAAAGCTCGGTGTGTGGAAAGGAGGTCGCCATACCTTTGAGGTCCCTAACTTCAGTCGTGGACCAGCCTCGACACTCTTCGCGGACGCGTTCAGCCGCCTTGATCTCAGCAAGGCACTCCACTTTGCGCTCTTTCACGGCGTCGGTGCGCGCCTCTTTGTCGGCAAGTTCTTGCTGGAGCTGCATGAGGAGCTCACGCTTCGCTTGCAGTGCAGCGTCAGTGGCGATGAGATTCTCGCGAGTCTGTTCCAGCTCCTCGCGGTCGCAGCTGTTGAGTTCGTCGTGGCGCTGTTGCAGTTGCTTTTGATCGGCGGACAGCTGCTCCTGCTTCTCGATCAGAGGTGGCAAGACCACATCAAGAAGGCGCTCCTGGTTGAGAAGGCAGGCTTCGTCGTGCTTGAAGTCGTCCAGTGTGGAAAGAAGACTGGCTTTGAGAGTTCCCAGTAAGGTACTTCGCCAGGTGTACCACTCGCCTCGAGCCTCAAGACGAGCGTTCGTTCTGAGGTTCTTGAACTGGTTGTCCATGATAGTACGCTGGTCCGGCGGCGCTGTCAAGTATTCGCTGAAGAGTAGCGGGTTGTCATCCTCGACATTCGCCTCAATTTGGCGGACAGCTTCGCGACCAGAAGAAATGTACCTCTTCATCTCGTGACAAGCATGCGAGTAGAGCTCATATTCTGGTACTGTGCACGCGCCAGCAACGACGTAACGGTCCAATGTCTCTGGTGTCTCATCGACGTCCATGTCGCGGAAGGCAGCTGGTGCAACGGTGGCACGTCGCTTGCTAGCGCTCACGTCCATGAAGGAGATCTTTGTCAAGCTCAAGAAGTCTGACAGAGAGATGCGCTCAATTTCAGACACGTCCTCGTCGACATCACCAGCAATTGGCTCCTCCTTCTCAAGCTCTGCACCAAAGACAACGCGTTTCTTTGGGCTCAAAGACTTTCTTGGAGTCTTCTTATTAGGCGTCGGGGTCTTCTGCTTGGGGGTGGCCTGCTTCTGAGGAGTCTGTGACTTCTTTGGTGTCATGCCTCGCTTTACTGGAGACATCAGGGATGCTTTGCGAGGCGTCGATAGCAGCTTGATGCTGTTAGACAACAGAGCGGTACTCCTCAGCGTCGGCTCCTCGCGCGGTGCGCTGATGGGACTGAACTGCACGCCAGACAATGACGAACGGCGTCTGTTCAGGATAGGAGCATCAATGGGATCTGCTGGAATGACCATAGACTCCCTCTTCTTACTGTTGCTCACAGGTGTAGTGGCAGCCGTCTTCGGTTTAGTGGAGCTGACAGGAGTAGTAACGGCTTCCTTTTTGAGGGAGTTCAGCGGAGTTCGCCTCACAAACGGCGAAGGCTCGACGTCACCAGCTGAAAGCTGCCTTACAAACTCCGGAGTGCCAGGATCAAGATTCAGCTTGGCAGCCACAGGAGGCTTTGTTGGTGTGCGCTCTACCGGCACCGGCAGTGGGTCCAACTGTGCCTCAGGGGCAGCGTTTATAACCTCTCGAGGTGACTCCTTGGGAGACTTTTGTGGTGTCTGAGCTTTCGAGACAGCGGGAGATGACGCAGCAACCGCGGGCTTCTCCGGAGTAGGTGTCTTTGCAAGCTCCGGCAGAAGAGGATAATCGACTGTCGTGGGCTGTTCGGGCGTCGTTGTGGGCTTGTCGAGGCGCTTGATTCCAGGTCCAACAACCTTGGTAAACTCCATAGTGAACCCATCATCGTCTGCATCGCTCTCTTGTGCTTCCACAGCCGGTACTGGTGCAATCTTGATACTTCCGACTGCCATAGTGAAGTCCATAGTCTCGTCTATAGCAACACTGCCCATACTGCTCCGCCTATCGTCGTCATCCTGGCGCTCGACAGGCGCGTTACTCTTGATGCCTCCGATGGCCATGGTGAGATCCATTGTCGCATCGTCAGCGGCGGGTTCTTCCGACTTGCGGCGGTTTCGAAGGCTGGTACGACGGCTGGTAGGCTTCTTCGCCGGACTGCCCTGGGGTGGTTCGATTGCTGACACTCTCCGTTTAAGACTCTTTCTTCGGTTTGCTGGCGCCTTCGCAGCCATTGTTTGGATGCTACCGAGCGGCATAGTGAGCTCCATGCTCATGCCTGTGTCGTCCTCCATGTCTGAACTCTGTGCTTCTGGCTGTTCGACGATCCGTCCAATTGCGCGGGTGACATCCATGCTCATATCATCGTCTGCCCCTGATCTAGCTGGCGAGGAAGACTGAGCAGCTTCCTTCTCTTCTGCGCCTTTGCGCGCCCAGGGCTTGAATGACGCTGTGATCTCATCGTCCGCCATCTCCATGGTCATCTCGCCTTCCTCATCAAGATCCAGCTTCTGTGTTCCGGCCTGTGCAAATGCCTGTCGTAGCGCCGCGTCCAGTCTTGCGCTGCTCTGTGAGCTGTCATCTGTATCAGGTGCTACATCAAAGTTCGCCGTGGCATCATCATCATCCTCAGATTCGCTCTCCTCGATTCGGTCCCCAGGCGACGCATTGTCGCCGCTCAGAGGACTCGATGAATAGACATCGTCTGGGTTGTTGAAGTTCATGGGGGGGATGCCAGAGCTGCGGCGGTTCTTCTTCTGGTGGCTTTCGCGCTGGTTTGCCGGGGTTGTTTCGACCTCGAGCTCTGGCTCTGCAACCTGCTCAGGTGGTGTGGAGGGGGGTTCGGCGGGATCGGATTCGGGCTGCTGTGCTTGTGAGGCTAACGAGGCCCGTCGTGTCGCGTCCGAGGCAGCGGAGGAGCTGGTTGCATCGCGCATGTATTCGACGACATCCCATGTGTGCAGCGTCGCCTCAGGCGCAAATGAGACGCGTCTCTTCGCTGTTGCTTCACGTCAGACCTGTCTTCTATTGTATAGAGTCATCGTGACGTACCTAGCGATTTGCGACGGGCCTCTTTGCGCTTCTTCTCATCCTCAGCATTGGAGGATAAGATTGACTTGACAGCCGGTACAAATGCAGACTGCACAATTAGCCCTTTCACCTGACAATCCACACATAGTTCTGCTCACCTTTCTCCTGTTCCCACTGCTCGCCTTTAGCGGCGCCTCTTCTTCTTTTTCGAGGCCACCTGGGCCGATGCTCTTCGCGCGTTTCTTCTTCGGCGCGGTTTTCTTGGGGGGTAATGATGGCGCGTTGAAGGATGTGTTCGCGACGAGCCCGTCGGCGATGTTCTCCTTCTCTTCGACGTGCGCCATGGTCGTGTGTTGTGGCGAAGTGTGGGGTGTCGGGTGCAGCGCGCGACGAAAGGCAGGTAAGGTAAACAGAGACCCACAACGTCAACATCACTAGCACCAATTAGGCAACCCCGCTGTACGCCCTCGTGCAAGGCTCGAGCGGTCAGAAACACGCACAGAAAGTCTCTATAAGTATCATGCCGCTGTGTCTTATCATTCTTCATTCTTTTGTTGTAATCCGTTTGCTAGAGTTTCGAAATAAGACTTAAGTCGAAAGACTGTTACTGCTACCCTACATTCTGCACTTCGTATCAACGTATTACTCATTTGCATCGTAAATCGATGCCCGTTCATCCTCTTTCTCTGTGTTCACTTCCCCATCGTTTTCGCCATGCTCATGGCTTCGTTCCTCTGCTTCGTTACCCTCCTCATCGATACCCCTTTTGTCTGAGGGAAACGCTGATTCGTCCATGATGGAAATATCATCAAAGTCATATTCCTCATCAACACCTTACCTTCTGGGCCCATGTCCAATACTCTCGATGGCTAGTCGGAGTAAATGCGCCCATATACAATCTGGAGTGTCCCAACTCCTCGAGGCCTTCTTAGAATCTAGACAGCTGTTAATCGTGACGAAAATACTCTGCTGTCAATTGTATGCGGAGGAATTGATGAGATATGGGCGAACTTGCTTCGACTTTCTCCATGAAAATCAAAGTTTTCACGACAGCGTCTAGCTTGACAGGTGTCGCGAAAAGACATTGCACCTGTTAAGCTGATGCGTTTATTTGCATCACTTGAGATGAAAAAGCAAGTCAGAGTGCAGGATTTTGTCCGACCTCGCAAGTGCTCTGCATGGCTCGTCAGTCTGACATGTGAAGAAGACCGTGTCAGAGCTGCGTCCAGATGACAACCACCACTTGCTCAGCTCACGTTAATCTCTTCTGCAGGTGGGCCTCGTGGACTGAGGAAAGCTGAAGGTTGCACCCAGATCAGGAAATATGGCTCCACAATCCCCGGCTTTCTGACCCCCGCGATGGCAGAAAGGGTTGCGGAGCGACATGTCGTGCGGCCCATGTCTCAGCTCCGAGCAGGACAGGGAGGATGCGCGACTACCTCCAGAGTTTTTCGACGTGTTGCGTCGAGCAGGGAAGGTAGCTGCTACCATGGAATAGAAGATTTCCTAATTATGACTGCAGACTCTGTCGAGCGCCGCTTTACGGCGAGAAATGCTTGACGGGTGATGCAGAAGGTTACTGGGCCAGCTGCAGGAACACGTCGCATATCAAGGTTTCGTATGTAAGGCAGAGATGCAGGTCTCGTGAACGCGCGAATTAGGTGGGATGTGTTATCGATATGATGACGCTGTTGCCGCTTTTGTCTAGCGCTGCATGCTTGACGATGTATGATGGTGAAGCATGTTCACGTGCTTCCAAGTGTTCATTCATCTGAGCGTGTCCGTTGGCAAGTGCCAGCTAGCTTATTCAAATCTTGATGCCTTCTTCTTCTTCTTGCACATGTTTTGCCAACTCGACAGCGCTGCCTGCCATTTATTTCGCTCTTACCTGGACCGGAACGACAGCCGCGACTCGCGCCGAACCGTTGTCGCAACGCATGACCAGTGACGATTTCCTCACCGCATTACCTACCACACTGTTACTATACTAAGGAGCGGTCCCAGCGCGTTTGAACCTCCAAGCGAACTAACCTCCTGGACTACATTGTCAACCACCTCTACGCAATCCCTCTGTTAGGCACATCCTTTACTTCCAGCCCCCACAACACTTGTGCATGGCGTACAACATCGATGTCCTTCCTGTCCGACACAGTACTATCGGGAGGCAGCACGCGACTGCACAAAGCAGGCAACCACAACAACGGCGGGAAGGTCATTAGAAAGAGCAAGAGCCATGGTATATTCCTATCACCACTCACGAAACTCGTTCGCAACCCTGTACAGTCAATAAGCGATGTAGTCGGCAGTCACTACAATGCGCCATTCCAGGCTGCGCTGGACGAGGATGCAGGTCGCAAGCAGATTTTGTACCTGCGCATGAAGAACGTGGGTTCTCGCGCTCAGTGTTTTGGCTATCACATACTAATGGCACCCCACAGGCCGAAACATATGACGAATGGGAAGCCGCAGCGACCGACCTCGACGTTTTGGAAGGAAACAATGCCTGGAAAGATGAAGATGAGTCGCCAGAGTATGATGCAGCGTTGGTCGCAGCCCGCCTTCGGGAGCTGGACGATGCTCGGCTCAGCTGCGACGTGAGGAAGATGTTGTTTTTGATACGAACAACACTCACGCGGGACCTCGGCGACATGGGCGGCCTGCAACTGTACAAACACTCCCACATTGGCACGAAGAAGTTGATCGAGCGGTACATTGACTCAGCTCAGCAGACTATGACAGCGCTGCTTGATGTCTCAGCAAAGCAAGGAGATCAGTGTCCTGTCGATTCGCAAACGCTCGTCGAACAACTTTTGCAGACACGTCAATCGTTCGGACGCAGCGCGTTGTTGTTGTCAGGAGGTGGAACATTCGGCATGAACCACATTGGAGTTGTCAAAAGTCTGTGGGATACGGGCCTTCTTCCGCGCATCATATCTGGAGCATCTGCTGGAAGCATCGTTTGCGCTGTTTTGTGCACAAAAACCGACGCAGAAATCCCAGACATTCTGCATGAGTTCTGCTACGGAGATCTGGACGTATTCGAGAAAGCGGGTGAGCCAGAGAGCGTGCTACAGAAAGTGGTACGGTTATGCCAGACTGGCACCCTGTTCGACATGACGCACTTGAAAAGGGTTATGAGACAGATGCTCGGCGACATGACATTTCAGGAATCTTACAACCGTACGAGACGCATACTGAACATTCCGGTATCCACCTCGTCAATCTACGAGCTGCCCAGGCTATTAAACTACATCACAGCGCCAAATGTGATGATCTGGTCAGCAGTGTAAGTAGATCCCGTCCTCGATAAAGCAGTAATTGTTGCTGATTTATCCAGATGCACCTCATGTTCGGTACCCCTCGTGTATGCACAATCCGAGCTTATGGCCAAAGACCTGAAGACAGGCAAGGAGGTGCACTGGGATGCCGACCCCGATGCTAAATGGATCGATGGTTCCGTGGACAACGATCTCCCCATGACCCGCCTCGCGGAAATGTTCAATGTCAATCATTTCATTGTGTCCCAAGTCAACCCACATGTGGTCCCATTCCTGGAGAAAGAGGAAGACATTGTAGCCGCTGAAGTGCAAAGTCCTGCATTTTCAGCTGGCCCACACTGGATGAGCAGCGTGGCCAGTCTTGCCAAAGGCGAAGTGTTGCATCGCCTCCAGGTTCTTGCAGACATAGGTGTCTTTCCTACTTATGTTACAAAGCTGAGAGGCCTGCTCAGCCAGCGATATTCGGGCGACATCAACATTTTTCCGGCCATATCGTATGCGGATTTTCCTAGGGTTCTTAGCAACCCAACCACGGAGTATATGCTTGGGTGTTTGCTCACAGGGCAAAGGGCTACCTGGCCAAAGCTGTCCCGGATACAGAACCACGTCGCAATCGAACTTGCTTTGGACAGTCTGATTCAAAAGGCCAAAGCGCGTACTGTTTTTAGTTCAGCTCAAACTGAACTCCGTCCTAATACTTTATCACGGCCGAGCTCGCAGGGTTATGAGTCTTCGACAGTACCTCGGACACGACCAAACAGCAAGACACTACGATTCGCAATCAGGACAGAACACCCCAGTCCAATTTTATTGAGATCGACTCTGATCAGCCCACTTCTTTCACGCTCAACACCCATGATACCCGCGCATGATGACCGCATTCCGGGTCACAGGCAGTCCTTGCAGGTCCCCAATGCATCAGGCAACCGTACGACAGACACCATCTCCTCTTCTACTAACCCCGAAGATTCATCCGATAAGGAGTATTACGCAGAGATAGACTCAGATACCTCTGAAGTGCTTTCATCTCCGTCGCCCATCACGTCACCATCCTCCCATGGACCTACTTTATGGCCACCCACACGCCATACATCTTTGCTCTCCCTTTCTGCACCTACAACACCTGCAATCTCGACTTCCTTCGATCGCCATATTGGCACCTTACTCAACCTCGCCATGATTCCAGTCACTAACCACGTACCTACTCCTAGCTCACCGGAGCTCCGCTACAAGCGCCTGTTCCACCCGCCCGGACCGGTAGCACCAGAACTCAACGTCAAGCCTTCTACCCCAAACCATGTCGAGTCTCTGTGTTCCGTTACACCTTCGACGCCGAATAGAAGCCCAGCACACAGTAGGCGCGGTAGCGTCACAGGGCTTATGCTCGATATTTCCGGTGCAAGGGGCATGCTACGGCGCAAGAAAAGCGCGGTGAGCTTTCACGAGAGCTTCTTCGGATGAAGAAATCAGCTGTCAATTTTCAGGTCTATGTTTCAATGTCAACAAGAACAGGTGCTCGAGTAGCGCCAAGCCAACAGGTAGAGCGGTACGCGGCATGGTGTGGAGTTTAGAACGGTATTTGGAGTACACCATAGAGGACATGATACACAGGTCATCATAGAGAGTAGCAGCTACTATAGCATAGCGCAGCTGCGGGATAGCATTGGCATGGCTCAGAAAATACATACTATAATTACATCCTTGGGCAAGCCCACCACAACACAGTCGTCACCTGTATTCATGATGAGAGTCTGGAGGTTGTCAACGTTTTGTTGTCTGTTGTTGTTTGTCGCGATGGCAGCCCTGTTTATATGGCCAAGGATGCGCGTTCAGGAGAGATGAAGAAGCCTCGGATGACCTCATCTCTGGACGCGGACCCCTGCATATTTGTTGGGCCATTTTCCGTCACTCTTCACATTAACCGGTACCCCTCGACGCGCCCATAACCCCTATAACGCGTCGCAACATCAAAACTCCCCATTCCTATACTTCGGACTGTCACACCAATCGCTTTCAGATCGCAATGGCTGCCGTGACGTCCGCAACGGTGACTGTCGACCCGCCCGCCGTCAAGAAGCGTGGGAGACCCAGGAAGATTGTAGACGAGAGCGCTGTGGCGCCAGAGAAGCCTGCAGTGAGGAAGGCATCGACCAAGGCAAAGGCCACACAGAAGGCCAAGATAGTAGATGCTATGAAGGAGAAGAAGACGACCTTGACAAGGGTGTCGGACTACAAGAGCAAGAAAGAAACACCTGCGCCCAAAGCTGCGCCCACGAAGACAAGCACCGCACAGCAGGTTACACCTGCCACACCGACAAGTAGCAAGATTCTGGATGAAGTCAAAGCGGCAGGGGCCTTCAGCAAGCCCGCCGCGACACCACGAACAGAGCCCGAACAGCCCTTTATCCCACCTGTCCCTGGCCCAGCGCCAGCTGCCCCAATTCTACCTGCTGCAGCAGAAACTCCAATTCTGAACGCAGACGCAGCGCCTCCTGCATCGTCATCGTCAGCAGCACCAGCTTCAGAAGAGCTCAACCCAGGCTTCATACCACCAGTCCCTGGGCCAGCACCTGTCGCCCCAATTCAACAACCCGTCGACGAAGCTCCCTCAAAACCCGTCATACCACCCACGACTGCAGCCCCAAGCGAGCGCGCAAACATCATTCCACCGAAACCACGCGCGACCACTATTCCACTTCCACGTAACCCGCTCACAGCGCCCTCACCTACCTCAGAACCCTCTAAACCGCGCATCGCCTTCGCAGAACCCGCCCCTAGAGCACCGCCGCGAGCTCCAAGATACCCAACTCGAATCATCGAACCGACGCCCAACACAAAACTGCCACCGAAGTACAAGAAGGCAGCGAGGCAAGTGACGAGCATCATTGTAGGAATACCGATCATCATTGTGGTGGGGTATGAACTGTATGGGCGATGGAAGACTCAAATCAATACCAAGTTCGAGGAGAGGGCGAGGAGGGATCAAGGGCCCAAGCAATTGAGCGGGTAGGACATGTGTACATATGAGGCCAATGAACAAGTGTAATGATATCAATCTATCGCACTGACATGGTGTGTTCCGTCTGACGTTGAAAAGCTTCAATAAGGCTTGCGAGTTGGATCGAGGCTTGAAGTGGACAAGCACTCGTATATCCAGTCGCTGCAAAGTCTTCCCCATAGGCTGCAGCTGCTTGTCTCATCCACCAGCTGTGATCAACACTGCCGTCTCGAAGACCTCCAGAGGTGACGTTCAGTGCTGACTACGTCCCTGCAGAGGCCGCGTTCAGTCTCTCGGAAGTCTTGCGCTTCAGGCTTTTCCCGTAACAAAAGCAGTCATAGCTCTCACCGCACTCCCATCATAAGTTTTCAACAGATCCGTAGCTTTCTGCTTACTCAAATCAAGCTCCTTGACCTGCACAACATCAGCATCATTAGCCATATCCCCCAGCAACCCTCCCACTAAACACATAAACATACCAGCAAGTTGACATCAGCAGGCTCAACCTTGACATTCTTCTTCTCTTCAGCCTTGGCATTTTTGACGTTTAAGTTCTTCATAGCCTTGTCCAGCGCCTTGCCATCTACCTCCTTCTTGCCAGTACCGTTGTCGTCTTGTGCATCGAGTGTCGAGAGTGCGGCGGCGGCTATGCGATCATCGGTTGTGGCCGTTGGGGCGTGAGGATCTGTGGCGCCTTCTTGGACGGTAGAGGGCTGTGGTTCGGCCATTGCTGATATCTACTGTTGAAGAGAATGGAGGAAAGGAAAACGGAGAGGTGAGCAGTAGGATTTCTGCATGTATGTGTACCTCGAGGCTATGATGTAGAAGTGGGGCGTACTGGGGTAAGCCAAGGGTGAGCGGGCTCGGTAATCCCTTGCCATTGACCAATCATATAAACCAAGGGCCGCGATTTGGTGAGCAAATCATCTGGAGCGAGCTTTTACACATTATTGAAGTCCCGCACGCTGAGAACTTTACACGAATGACGAACAAGGTACCCACGTGCTTTCTTCACACTTACAGAGCTTCCGCTCTTGTCTTCACATAAAGATCAGGTCAGTTGTATATTCAGTCTGGCTCTCAGACCTTGCCTTTCGAAGTGTTCGAATGCAGCCTTTGCGCGCCCTTTCGTTCAAATTGAGTCATGTGCGCATGGGCTTTATTGAGGTCACTTTGCAGCAACACCCTTGCCGAAGCTTTCATATACACTAGACTGAAGCGTGACTCAAGTCTTCCCGGCCTCTCTCACGAACAGAGCTCATTTCTTTTATTTCTCCATACCTGCTGACACTCCGAAAGCATTTACTGAGCAGCCAACGGCACAATGAGCGACGAAACTATGGACGTTCTGTCCAACTACCTCAAACAGTACATGGCCGGCGGAGCGCAACCTCAACCCACAAATGGCCAGTTCGACACCTGGTCACCAACATGTCAGTAGAATCCGGTTTTAAACGACCTTCTCTGACCCACTCGTAGCCTGGCAATCAAAGCCCATCAAGCAAGTAGTCAAGTACGAGGATCAAACAGCAGCGGATGCGGCATTGAAGCAGCTCTCAAAACTCCCACCGATCGTCACACCAACAGAGATCTGGAAACTCAGGGCAAGCCTACGTGATGCAGCTCTTGGGAAGTCGTTCCTGCTGCAAGGTGGCGATTGCGCCGAGCTGTTCTCTTACTGCGCCGAGGACCCTATCGATGCCAAACTCAAGCTTCTCTTGCAGATGAGTCTGGTTCTCATTTGGGGATCCAACAAGCCTGTGATCCGTATCGGCCGGATAGCTGGACAGTATGCAAAGCCGAGATCAAGCCCGACTGAGACCGTGGACGGTAAGGAGATCCCCAGCTTCCGCGGTGATATCCTGAACGGTTACGACCCAGAACATCGCAAGGTGGCCCCGGAGAGGCTGGTTAGCGCATACTTCCACTCTGCTACAACGATGAACTACATTCGTGCTCAGCTAGCAAGTGGCATTGCCGACTTGCACAACCCTATGGACTGGGGCCTTGGACACGTGGGCGACATGGAGCTGCAAGCAAAGTACACTGCTATTGTCAATAGTATCTCTGACTCCCTGCGTTTCATGCGGACAATTGGTGCAGACACATCAGGACAGCTGCAGACTGTCGACCTGTACAGCAGTCACGAAGGTCTCGTTCTGGAATACGAGCAGAGCTTGACAAGAAGACTAAAACATCCCGCTGGTCACCCCGGTGCTCAGACTTCGACAGACGGCAAGGGTTGGTACAACACCTCAGCGCATTTCCTTTGGATAGGAGACCGCACAAGACAGATCGATGGTGGCCATGTTGAGTACTTCCGTGGTATTGAGAATCCTATCGGTATCAAGGTCGGGCCTTCGATGAAGAATGATGAGTTGATTGAGCTGCTGGATATCGTCAACCCGAAGAAGGACATTGGCAAGGTTACTCTGATCACGCGTTATGGAGCTGGAAAGGTCGAGTCAATGCTGGGCGGGCACATTGAAGCTGTCAAGAGCAGCGGACACGTCGTTGTCTGGCAGTGCGACCCAATGCACGGGTAAGACATCCTCTTCTCTGAACACAGATCAAAGCTAATTATTGCCAGAAACACTCGCAGTACATCATCCGGCATCAAGACTCGCTCTTTCAACAACATCTTCTCAGAGCTTTCCTCGGCCTTGAAGATCCACAAGCAGCACGGCTCCTTCTTGGGCGGTATGCACCTCGAGCTTACTGGCGATGCGGTCACAGAGTGCACGGGTGGAAGTCAAGGACTCGATGATGAGGACTTGAGCCTGAACTACACTACCTACTGTGATCCTAGGCTCAACGAGAAGCAGGCGCTGGAGTTGGCGTTCTTGGTTGCAGGGCACTACCGTGAGGATGCGGCGAGTCCCTGAACAGAACAAAATATACAGATAGTTGACCACGACCTCCAGAGTCAGTTCCAGTCTCTTCAAAATGAACAAACTTGGTGATCTGTTGATCGGACTGATAAATGGCTTCATGCACCCCGCACGTGATGACCAGGGTCCACGCTCCAAAAGTCCCAAAACGTACATTCGCTATCTGACGTTATCGATGCTCTGCAGCTCAACAACCCAACAAACATTGATAACCCCACACATGTAAAATGGGAAGCTCTTCTTCAAAAGCTGCAGGCGCCGCCGGTGCTGCTACACGCAAATATCCCACTCGCGCACCTCCCAGCAATGTCACAGCTCGAGCTCCCGCGCCTTCCGTGCCACGGCAGGCACCACCTGCTCCTGGACCTTCTGTAAAGCCGCCACCACAGTTCAGCGAGACCAAACCAGAAGGTATACATGGGCGCAACGAAGAGGGTTACAGCCGATACTGACGTTTTTAAGGTGGAGTGGTTGACATGGATGCGCGCGATCCTGCATTCGCATCGCGACTCAGCAGCCTCGGTGCTGTTCAACCCAACCCTCACTATTCGCCGACGTCACGATCCGAGTTCGACCCCCAACCTCAGTCGCAGCGACAGTCGCAACATATACTTGGTGATATGATGCAGGCGCCGCCTCAGTCAGCGTTCCCGGATCCGAGAAACAACCCAGTCCTGCGGGTGCTAGAAGCAAGACAGAGGATAGCAGATGAAGCCGAAGCAGAGATAAGCAACGTCGGGCGAAGAGGCTTTGAAGGCAGGAAATATGTGGATGCTGGTGTCATTCAGTTGGCGTTGATGAGGCAAGCGCGTGGCGAGCCTGCACAGAGGATCGAGAACGGTTTGGGGATCAAGAGGGGAAGATTGAGCGTGCTCAGCCCTGGAACAGTGGGAGCCGTGCAGATGGACAACTGAGAAAGAATACAGGGCAGGGAGCACACGTCATGGCTGGGGGCAAAGGTTGGAAGTAAGAAGTGGTGTTATTGAGGATCACACCGTCGCATTCGAAAAACCGAGCGACATACATACAAACGAAGCGAATACCCAATCGGTCTTACCGACATCCCATACCAAATACCCAACCATCGCAATGCCTATTCCGTTACCGCTGTCGTTACCATTGCGCCAAACCAAACGCCGAATATGCAAATGTCTCCGCTCATTCGAAGTCCTCATACTCTTCCCGCTCATGCATGAAGTTGTTGACAGCCATCAAGGCCTGCTTGAGCGCCTCCTGGTTCACTTCGAGGCCGTCACCCGACATACCATCGTTGCCGACCTTGATAAGGCCGTCCATTCTCGATCGGCCTGGGCGCCACGTCTTTGCGATCCGCCAACGGCTCTTAGTCGAATTGATGGACGGACATGACGACGAGATTTCCTTGCTCTCGCGGAGGACTGTGAGAGCGTTGAGAACGTTTAGGAAGATGCTGTATCAACATGGTCAGCGACTCGACTAGCAGGAGTAGGCTGGCTTGGCATACCCTTGTGTGAGCTGGACATCGTGATGCCAGCCATACGCCGCACTGCTGAAGCTGTTCCCCTGTGCAACGATATCGAGAAACACGAACAAGCTCTCTTCGATGCTGATATTTGTCGCAAGTTGCGACTCGACGTTATTCAGAATCCAGTCGGCCAGCTGAACAAAGGTGATTTGGTCCATGTGACAGAACTCATTGAACCGGTCGGGAATGCCCATAAGCAGGTACATGGCCCTCTTTGCGCCTGCCGAATCCTGAATGGCCATGTTGATGTGTGGTGTTGGTATACTGGGGCAGAAGTCGCAGATGGTCGTGACCGCGAGACAATGCGGAGTCGTCAGGTGAGACGTCCTTAGTCGCCGGAAAAAACAGCTAGCACTCTCAACAAAGTCCAAACAACAATTCGTTCCCAGTTCTCTTTCTTTCCTAATAACAGCTGAAGTTTGTAAGCTCACGTTTGTATAAGAAAGAGAAGTCTTTCAACTCAAGGTGAGATGAGCGGGTGAGGCGGCCTGCGTGGGGCCGTTGTCCGTTCTTAGACACGACATGGCTACAAGCATGTGAAAGTCACGGACCTACCATGACGTTTATCGCTCGACCAATCGGGCGGCGGCCCTTCTCAACCAGACACACGGCACATCGGTTTGGGCTTGGTTTAGCGTAAACAAAGCAAAGACGGTGGATGCTAGGACTTTGGTTTCGTGATTGACCGTGCGAAATCTAATTCTAATTCGGGCACGTGGGTGTTTGCTGTTGTCGCAGCTTCCGCAGATGCGTTCGGGTGATTTTATGAGATGGCGGAGTGCAAGTGTGGACCGTGAGATGCATGGTTGCGCGTAAAGATGGGTCGAGGGAGATCGATGTTAGCTTCTAGATTGGGTTTTGTGGATGCGAGTGTTGGAGGAACAGAGGTGCGTTATCCACACCTGCATCAATGTCTCCGGCACCGGCCTCTCGTGAATTGAACATCGTCATTGTTGTGCAGTGTGCGCTTGTGCGTGAGCAAGCCAATTCGACCTTGTCCATGATTCCATCTCCAGCCCTAAAAGTCACGCATCCAAGGTCGCTAAGCAGAAAGACGCAAGCCATTCAGCCATGCATAAGCTTGCGGAGTTCCGCTCCCACCACCAGACGCTGACTCAGATAGGATGCACAGCGCCTCTCAGCAAGAAACATTCGAAAGCTTCAAAATACTGTGCTCCCCAGAGCGCGCGCATGCGTGAACGTTGACTCCTCGGAGATCTTCTCCAGAACCCAAACATGCACTACATCTCCGCAACACGCAAGAAAAGCTGCAGCGCCTGCGTGAAGAGCAGACGCCGCTGCGATCTCGAATACCCGTTCTGCAGGCGCTGCCTCGTCAAAGGCCTCGACTGCACGTATCCGTCACCCTCTTCGGTGCGCGACAGAAAGATGGTTGTCCGCCAAACACCGCCGGACTTGACGCCGGGGAAAGCTAGCGTTGAGGTCGTCGACAGCTCAGCCGAGCTCCTGCCTTTCAATAGCGCAAGCACCGATCCGCTTGGTCACGATGGTCTACCATTCTCATGCGCGTCAGGTAGTTCGAGCAGTTCTAGCCTGGGTAGCTGGCAGGACGAGTTTGCGGTTTCGGCTTCGTTGTTGCTGGACAACGTCCCTTTCGAAGAGCCACAGCTTCGTCGAGCTCTTTGGCCAGAGGTCACGGCACCGGCTTACTTGAATGAAGGTCAGGTTCGGTATATCTTGCAAGCGTTGCGCTCGTATGTGCCTTCAATGGCATATACAGGTTCGACTCCGTTCCTCCACCAAAACCTTTGGCAGCGTTATCAGCCAGAGTCGTACCAGGACTGCGTATCGATCTCCGCTCTCTACCTTTGCAAGACGAGCGCGAATACCTCCTTGATAACGAATAGCATCAACGCCAAAATCGCGAGGCTGGGAGCAGCTTCGGGCAACTGGAGCCTTTTGGAGCACCTTGCTGCTGTACAGACCTTGATCATCTATCAAATCATCCGTCTCTTTGACCCCAGCTTGAACGACCAAGCCCAAGCCCAGAAACACAACATCCTCCTCGAGATATGGGCTGCACACCTCTGGAAGCGGTCTTTCAACGAGCCAACATTTCTGGTCAACTGCTACGAGACATGGGTCTTCAACGAGTCACTCCGGCGCACAATCATGATGTCGGCGTATGTGCGCTGTGCTTGGAGCCTGTACACACGAGATGGTCTTGCCGATCAGGTACCTGTTCTTGCTCGGATCCCGTTCACCAAAGATCTTCAAGCTTGGAAGACGGATCCAGAAGAATGGAACGATAACGTCCTACCTGAGCTGCTTGAGGAGGACGGTCTCACCGTGTACATGGACTTCACAAACAGCTGGACGCATGAGAAGGAAGTCGAAACACTCGATCCCTTTGGCAAACTGCTGCTTGCTGCTTGTCGAGGTGGCGATGATCCTCGCTTGTTAAGTTGAGTACTTGTAAGGCGCCTATCACAAGGCAGCGCAATGTTCATATCAGTCTGCAAGGACAATACTCATCTGCAGATATCAGAGTACTCGCATATTGAGGAGCTAAAGCCGCAAGCTACCCGCGATGACGTTGAACTGCAGCGGCTAGCGTATCAAACAACAGTTTCCCCGCAAACATCAGCAGTCCCCGCAGTCTTTATAACTGCAGGGATTTGGATTTGACAGGGCAGCTGGAACGCAGTCCGTGATTGACCTCGCAGAGAAGTCCGGGTCGCGAAGATGGCAGCCATACTTCTTCGACCTCAAAACCGGAGCCTCAAAGAGGATCAGAAGCAAATTATTCAGACATCTTGTCACATAACCGAACCTACTCACATTGCGACACCAGAATGGCTTCCTCAAAAGCACCCAAAACCGTTAAGACGGTTGGCTACATCGGTCTCGGCAACGCTGGATTCTCCATGGCCTCGAATCTCCCCAAGAACGGCTTCAATGTAGTAGTACACGACATGGACACCGAAAAAGTGCAGAAAGCTGCAAAAGAATGGAAAAGTACAACAGTTTCCGACGGTAGCGCCGAATTGTGACTATGCTGCCTCAAGGGAAGGTGTCCGCGAAGTTATTATAGACAAGGGCATCGAGAAAGCATTTCGACCTGGTTAGTGAATACTTCTAGAGTACTTGACACAGTCGATAACAGTTGATAGGTACCACCATAAAGGACACCTCATCGTCCTATCCCTTCGATACCCAATCCCTTTGCCGCGAACTCGCCGCACACGAACTCATACTCGTCGACGCTCCCATCATACAGACGTACATGCACGCGGCCAATGCTGGCGAGTCACCACTCACGGTCGGCGCCGGCTCGGATGAGATCTTCGAAGCCGTCAAGCCAGTGCTGTCAGCAACGGCAGGATACCTGTTCCACATGGGACCCCTTGGTTTAGGGCATGCAATGAAGACACTCAACAACTACATAATGGAATTTAGCATTTGCACGTTGAATGACAGTCTAATGACTGGGCAGAAGTGGGGTCTTGACCCTCAGAAGATGATCGATGTGCTCAATGTTGGGACGGGCGTATGTTTCCGACTCTTGATACGTTTCGCTGTGATGCTTTACCGCTCACGTTCAATTCTGGCTTAGGTCTTGCATTGCTTGTTAAGGACCTTGGTATTACACAGGACTTCATGCAGCACAGTGAGTTTAGGACGGAGCTGCCGGGGTTGTTGAGAGGGTATCTTGGAGACGCGCTGGAGCAGGTGGATCCGCGTGTTGATCATACTGAGTTGTTGAGAGGGCGGGAGAGGAGGGCTGGGTTGAGGTCAAGAAGGAGAAGAAAGTGCAGAAGATTCCTGATAAGGACTTTAAGTATCAATTGGAGGGGATCAATAGGGGGTTGTAAATGTAGACTACAATCAATACGACTCCGAGCATACAGGCGTCAGCAGTGTTCTCCTAATTCAGTTACTGTTAGTGTCAAGCAACGTAATTGTCGTAAAGAATCTCAAACCAAAGTGACGAGAGTGTCCGTGATACTGATGTCAGACCAAAGCGTGATGGTCGCTGAAAGCGCTCAGCGAACAAAAGGTCCGCGGGTGCACGGCCACGAAACAGCGATCGACGTCATCGCGTCACGCAGGCAAGGCACCAAGAACTCATCTTGTCCATCAAACACTAAGCTCCCGCTGTATCCCTACACACATCCTAATTGCAAATTCGAGCAACCTCTCATACTGTCTGTCTTCGCGTTCTACTATCCGCGTACCGTACCTCTTTTCACTTCTTATTGGTATGACGTAGCTTCGAGCATCTCGTCAAATTTCACGCGTTCAAGCGTGTGCAGCAGAATGGATTTCCAGACCATCATAGCTGCCAGTAATGGTACCGATGATGGCGGTAAATCGGTACGTACATACGCACAGATTCTCCCACTTGAATCTTCTTTTCATTTCGGAGTCAGCAATTGTGAAACATGACGCTTCATGTTGAGCATTCAATTATTGAATCGACACTGTCACAAGCAGAATGTTTGACCTTCACTGACCTACTCACTGTAGCCTAGCGGCCCCTCCTCTTTTGCAGCGGTGGCCGCTGCCTTCATCCCAACATTTGTGACAGCCAGTCTGTTCGTGTCAGCCTTTGTGATAGTCAGGCCGAAGTTCCCGAAGATCTACTTTCCCAGGACATACCTTGGCACAATACCAAAAAAGGATCACACACCATGTCAGAGCCGATCGTACTGGGATTGGGTACACACCATGAGAGTGGTGCCTGACAAGTTCACACTATACCACCAGTCCATCGACTCGTACCTTTTCTTGCGCTTCCTTCGAACCATGATCTTCATCTGCGTCGTGGGCTGTGTGTTGACATGGCCAATATTGATGCCGATCAACGCCGCTGGTGGAGGAACGGGTAATGAGCTAGATCGTATCTCGATTGGAAATGTCGCAGAGGAGAAGTACCTCTATGCCCACGCCATCATTGCCTGGGTGTTCTTCATCTTCGTGATGTTCACGGTAGCAAGGGAGCGACTATGGCTTATTGGACTTCGGCAAGCGTGGAATCTGTCAAAGCCGAATGCAAACAGACTGTCATCACGTACAGTATTGTTCTTATCAGCACCGACTGGTGCTCTGGATGAAAGCAACATGCAACGCTTCTTTGGTGATGACGCTGTCAAAGTCTGGCCGGTGACTAAGGCAGAGAAGTTGCAAAGTCTGGTCTCTTCTAGGGATTCCGAGGTCGACAAGCTGGAGACTGCAGAGATCTCGCTGATCCAGAAAGCAAACGAGGAAGGACGAAGGAGTCAGAAGAGGCATCACGGACAGAGAATCACCTATGGCAGCCTTCCCGGCAGCGTAAAACAGTCGCTAAGACCTACGGAAAGACTCAAAACGACAAGGCCTGTGGGTAAGCAGGTGGACAGCATTGACTACTCCCGCAATCAGCTCCTGGAAAAGGAGGAGGAGATTAACAAGGCTCGAGAGTCCAATGCGCATGCGCAAAGCCACCACGGCGCAGCTGCAGTATTCGTTCAGTTCCGCACGCAATCTGCCGCCCAGAAAGCGTACCAACAGGTCGCATCCTCAGACATTTTGTCTCTCACACCCCGATTTACTGGAGTCCTGCCTAGCGAGGTCTTCTGGGAGAACCTGACTATGGAGCCGTCTCGTCGCATATCGCAAGGCATACTCGCGCATGGACTCGTCATTGCCTTAATCATCTTCTGGTCAATTCCAGTTGCATTCGTCGGTGCAGTGTCGAACATCTCCTATTTGGCAGAGAACTTCAAGTTTCTCGGCTTCCTCAATGAGCTGCCGGATAATATTATCAACCTCCTCACCGGATTGGTTCCGCCTCTGCTTCTCAGCGCACTGAGCAAGTATGTGCCGAAAATCTTCAGATGTGAGTAGAGCCTCGTACTATGTTGTTGACGGCCATCTTGCTGACTGGTCCAGATATCTTCACTGCCTCCGGAGAGCCCACCAAGACCTCTACAGAACTGAAGGTTTTGAAGTGGTACTACGTGTTCCAAGTTCTGCAGGTCTTCCTGGTTACCTCGCTGTCTTCCGGTGCTGCGACAGTCGTTTCTCAGATCGCGACGAACCCGAACAAAGTACCTCAGTTGCTTGCAGAGCGGCTACCTCGTGCTTCCAATTCCTACCTTACATACTTCGTTGTACAAGGCCTCACCAGCGCTTCCGACAATCTGCTCAACTACTCCGATGTCCTTTCCTACATCTTTTTCGATAAGTTCTTCGATAAGACGCCACGCCAAAAGTACAACAGCTACATCACGCTGAGAGGCATGCAATGGGGCAAACTGTTCCCCAAGTATGTCAACTTCGTGATCATTGGTAGGTCTCATTTCATTTCTTGCACTGGAACTTTGCTGATGATATGTAGCGATCGTGTACTCTTGCATTGCACCATTGGTCCTAGGCTTTGCTGCCGCAGGTCTTGCCTTGTTCTATCTCAGCTACCGTTACATGCTGCTCTTCACCGCACAGCCAAAGATCGATACCAAAGGACACTGCTACACGCTTGCACTGCAGCAGATGCTCACCGGTGTATACATTGCTGAACTTTGCTTGATTGGGCTGTTCAGCCTTCGAGGTGCATTTGGGCCTACGATCTTACTCGGCATCTTGTTTATCGTCACGATTATCTTCAATGTCCTTACGAACCGCCACTTTGCACCTCTCGAGCAGTACCTACCTGCCGATCTAGCTCTCGATGGTAGTAGCAATGAGAATGACGAAGAAGCCCCACTTCTTTCATCTGCAGAGGAGGGTCAGTCCGATGCTATACAGCGTGAGGAGTCACGAATCCATCGTATCAGCAGCGCTGTGCGAGTCTCGCCCAAGGTCACAGGTCCGATCGCTCGGTTCTTCGAGCCGCACATCTTCGCAAGTCACAAGGCAATGATGCAGTGGCTACGGGATGGCGACTTTGATGAAGACAATGTACCCGAGTACAACGATGAGGATATTCGTAAAGCATACCTCCATCCTGCATACACAAGTCGAACACCAGTCATCTGGTTGGCAAAGGACGACATGGGTGTCAGCAAGAAAGAGATTCAGGAAAACGAAAAGAAGGAGCTGGAATGCAGTGATGAGGGTGCATGGATAGACAAGGAGGGCAATCTGAAGTGGAGTGTAGATGACTTCGAGAAGGTGCCTATCTTCAAGAAGACGAAGCAATGGTAAACCCAGGTTTGCAAACAAGACCGGACAACTATCGTCCAGCACGTACAAGCATGTTCACAATACAATACCATACACGCAGTATCACGTTTACCCTTCATGTGCCTGAGCTCACAGTGGTGAGCCCTTGGCCGCTACGCCATGAACCGAAGCTTTGCGGAGAACCCTCCTCACCTCTCAACCTTTCTTTATTCGAAACACACTCCTAATCCATTAGAATAACGATCTCGCCTGTGGCGCTGCCGCATATCTTCGACCTTCTCGAACAGGTATCGAACCATCGCATGATCATGTTTTAAGGTCCAGTGATTCCAGTGCTCAACCACACCACCAGCGCCGCGGCTCTTGCCAGACGGCGTGGCGCGCTTCACACCATGCCATTGGCGCTATCACAGGAACGTTGATAGCAGTGACGCAAACCATGAATCTGTTCAATTGTACTTCAAAGTCGGGTCTTGTGTCTCTTCGCAGCTGTACATATCATTTGACCTAATCAAACTTTTGACGAATACATACATCCCCAGAACTGACTTACACCACCTAACTATTCACACATGCACGCAAGATGTCTCACACCAACGGCGCAAACGCTGCAAATCGCCAACGCGACACAATCGCCAACTCCCTGATCCTGCTCCTCAAGAAGCTCGATCCCCAACTCGACATCTCCCACTTCGCGAAACACGAACTCCCACGACGCGGCGACATTGATCAAGGACAGCTCACAGGTAACCTCACAGGTAGCCATACTCGCATACCCGCCCCTCCCCCATCCCCGTCCACTCGATACATCTGTGGGCAGGAATCTCTACCGACTGGGGAGGAATGTGCGGTTGGTGGACAGGAGTTCAACGTCAACCCCACGACCCCCGAAGCACGCGAAGAAGCGCAATGGGCGCTCGCAGGCAGCGCAGCATCGATGCACGGGCAACCACGCGGAAGGGACTGGGTCAGGTACGTCCGTAGTTTTCTTTTTTTTTTCTCTCCAACTATGACCCATGTCTCTCGATGAATAGGCGTGGAGTGCTAGCGGTGTGACAGCATTCGCACTCGCAGACTTCATCCTGGAAAGACTGGACTTGGAGGGCAAGGCGTACTCGAGCTCCGCGTATGAGGAGTTGCAGGGGAGACAGGGTGTTCAGAGGGTATAAGGTATCGAGTATGTGAATTTGATTACGAACAAGCGATATACAAAATCCAGACCGATTCCATCTACAACGCCAGACCCTTTAGTCCATGGGACGAGTGAGTGTTAGGGTGCCCCAAGACTATTGATAGATAAAACGCAAATGTCGAGCAGAGCGATCGAGGCTCCAAGCCGCAGGCACTGACGCCTTCGAAGCCGGCTCCTCATCCGGCTGTGTTGAGACCCCATGGGAGCACCTGTAGGTGCTGCGACTCAATGGCGTCTTTCAAGCCACGATGAGGAAGGCTGGTTCGAAGTCGATAAGCTGGTGTGTTTTGAAACCCCTCTTTTTATGCCGACAACCTCCAGAACTCCGTCCATGCTTCTGGTATCCAAACTCCAAAGAACAAATCTCAACCATTTCAAGCTCAGAACAATCTCAGCTTCTTCGGCGGCGCCATGGTGATCCCCGCGAAAACCTCAGCACTCCTCTTCTTGGTTGTCGAGAAGGGTCTGACGGGCGTAGCAGTTATCATCTTCTGCTTGCTCGGCGTCTTGATCGGGCTGCGACTCAGGAGGAAGTTGGACTTCTTCTGTGGCAGTGTGCGCACCGCCATCTTGCCATCGGGCTCGAAGTAGATTCCAAGCTCGCTGTTCTCCTTGTCGTCGAGGTTGATCGAACGATCGAACTCGGACGAAGTGGGAGTAGCGGGCTGGCTACGCTCACCAGAGGAAGGCGGGAGTGCGTACTTCGATGGAGTTTTGGCTGGTGTGCATGGGACAGTGGGTGCCTTTGGACTTGCTGGAAGAGCGGAGGACAGGTTGACGAGGTACCTGGCTTCATCGACGCGCTTCTTATTCGCCTCGCATTCCAGCGCCCAGCTGACATTAACGGCCTTGATTGCACCTTGGCTTGCGACAACCTTCTTGAGGGTATCGGGGTTGCCGTCCTTGTACAGAACGTGAGTAACACCCGTGCTGTTCCACTCCTTGGAAACCTTCGCGCCGAGATCTGTGAGAAGGGTCTCGAATAGGAAGGATTGGTTCTTGCCGCTGTCCGAGATGACGTCGACGTAGAATGTCAAGCCTTGCAGAGGGCCGTCAAAGAGAAGAAGGGAGGGCTCTTCAGAGTCGTCCCAAGTGACGGCCTTCTTTGGGGTCTTGGAGGTCCTTCGCTTCTCAGGTGATCGCAGGGATGATTTGACGGGAGAGCGGAGAGAAGACTTCATAGGTGATACGAGAGTTGAAGCCAAGAAGTTTGTGCCTGGTGCAAACGTAGCGGTCTTTGCGGGTGAAGTCTGAGCAGGAGCGGAGAACAGTGTGGCAGATGCGCGGGGTGTGAAGACCGATGGGGTGAAAGTTGGCGGCGCGAAGAAGGGTGTCTTGGATGTCGGTGGTGCCAGTGTCAACGGCTTCAACTGCAGCGGTGCAAACTGAGCTTGAGGCTTCTCGGCAGGAGTATTCTCGTTCTCAAGCTCTGAGATGCTGAAGTCGTTGACCTCGCTAGCTTCATCGAACGACGCGTCGTGGGTGGAGAAGTGCGATGGCGAAGGGGTCTGCTTCTTTGCGGATGCCCTGATCTCCTCCTGGATTGCTGCCTCGATAGCTAGAGCTGGTGTTGTTGGGTAATCAGCAAGCTCACCCAAAGCTTTCCTGTTGGCACTCGCGGCTCGTACAGGTGTCACAGGGACTGCCGATTGAGGTGTGAAGTTCTCCTTGTTCGCAATGTGTTCTGGCGAGGTTTGCGCACGCGGTGTGCTAGGCGCCTCGAACACGACTGCTGGAGCTACAGAAGGCGGAGTAAAGCTCTCCTTGGGGGCAACGTGTTCCGGAGAGCATTGCGCAGGAGGCGTGGAAGGAGCCGCAAATCGAACGGCTGGTGTCCTCTGCACAATTTCCGGTGTGTTGGCTCGAACAGGAGTGGTTACCTCAGCTGGAGCGGCAGCTGCCGCGCTTGTGACTTTCTCAACGGGGGCCTTCTCTACGGTCGAGACAGCAGGGGTGAAGACCTCCTTGACCGCGACGTGCTCCGGCGAAGACTGCGCTCGCGGTGTGCAGGGTGCCTGGAAAACAACCGCAGGGGTAGCAGCATGAGGAGTGAAGATCTCCTTCTTCGCCACATGTGCTGGTGAGCACTGCGCCGCTGGTGTTCGGGGTACTGCAAAGAAGGCAACAGGAGGCATGGCAGCCTGTTGTGGGGTCGCGGACGTTTCCATAGAAGCTTCCTCAATGACGCTCAAACGGGATTGTGAGACGATGTGTGCCGGTGTCTTGGGGTAGTCTGGAAGCTCGGCGAGTGCTTGTCTTGAGCTCAAGGGCGCTGTGTTGTGTGCAGGAGTCTTGGGATAGCCGGGTAGCTCGTTGAGAGCATCTTTGGTGGCCAATGGCGCCTTGATGTGAGCAGGTGTTTCTGGGTAGCTGGGCATCTCCTTGAGCGCTGCCTTCCTCGAGATAGGAGCTGGCAAATGGGCAGGTGTCTTCGGGTAGTCTGGAAGCTCCTTCATCGCGTCCTTGTGGGTGATGGGCGCGTGGATGTGGGCAGGTGTGGTTGGGTATTCTGGGAGCGCTGCGAGTGCCGCCCTCGATGTGATGGGTGCGACAATGTGTGCGGGTGTCTTTGGGTACCGGGGGAGCTCAAACATGGCTCGCTTGTTTGTCAGAGGCTGAGCAGTATGTGCGGGTGTGGAAGGAACTGCAGGGTATTCTGTGAAGGGTTCTTCGACGGGCTCGGGCACCGGCGCCTCTTCGATGATGGGCGCCTCGACGGGTGTAGGCTCCTCAACGACGGCCTTCGCGGCCTTGGCTGGAGTAGCCTTCTTTGTTGGCTTACGCGCAGGTGCCTTGAGAGGCGAAGCTGGAGGGAGCTCGGCATTGCGAGTAGTGCGTGTAGCTCTAGTGGGAGGCGCAAGAGCTGGCGCTGTGTCGAGGGGAGCTGCTGCTTTGCGCGCGCGAGATGCTGGCTTGATGGGCTCGGCGGCGATTGTGATCTCGACAGCGGGAGCTTCGGCAGCCTTTGCAGCTGGTGCCTTCCTGACGGCCGCTTTGCGTGCGCGCAAGACTGGCTTGAGCGCCTCTTCTGCGACCGGCTCCTCGATGGGGACAGTCTTGCGCGTCCGTGTCGCTGTTCGCGGAACCTCTTCCTCTTCTGCGGCAGGGTCTTCGGCAATGACAGGCTCGGCCTTCTTCGCCGGTGTCTTCTTGACTGGCGCTTTGCGCGCGCGTGTCGCGACCTGGATCTTGATGGGTTGTCGGGGCATGTCCGGCTCTTCCTCTTCGGCAGCCTCTTCGGCAGCCCCTTCCACGACAGGCTCTTCGATAATCGGTGTTGAGGCTTTGCGCCCGCGTGTAGCCCTCTTAGGTGCCACAGGCGCAGGCTCTTCCTCTGTTGTCTCGACCTTGGCGGCGCGTGTTGCGCGTGTCTTCTTCTGTGCGGGCGCCTCTTCGACTACATCTTCGACTACAGGCTCGGGCTCAGGTGTGGGTTCGGCCTTTGCTTTGCGCTTTGTTGCGGTGGCTTTGGTGGCTTTTGTCGCGACAGGTGCAGGTCCTGTAGCTTCTTCGACGACAGCCTTCTTCCTGCCGCGCTTGGGCGCGGCGGACAGTGTCGATGCGGCAGGCGCTGCCTCCGGGGCCGCCTTTGTTCCGCGACGTGTGGCGACCATATCGTGTACCTGGGTATGCAATAGTCGCGGGTTAGTAGTGCGAGGTGTGGTCGCTCTCGTGGGTTGGGATGGTACGAGGTAATAGCGGTGGAGCGTGGCTTGTTGTCTGTGTGTTGCTGACAACACATGCGTTGCTCCTGACAACCGTCTCAGAAGAGCTTAGATCGAGGCCGCTGTGCGGATGCTCCCGGTTTGGACAGCCTCACGATGATGCATAGTCCGACAAATCGACTCTCGACCGTATAGCTTCTGTTTCGATTCTCCAAGGACTGGATATTCGCATTGGAGAGAAACTGGTGAGGCGGCAGAATGGATAACATACATGTCACTCAAATCAATGTAATTCTACTTACACATGCTACGTCTGTAACTCTTCTATCGCTCCGTTTACCATGTCCCGGATCTGTTTCCATCTCCTCACCAGTGTATCCTTCTGACCTGCTCTCACACCCGGCTCAGTCTCACCACTCTTCGCCTGCAGCCTCCTCTTCTCCCCTTCCACTTCATAGATCTTCAACCCCTTAACCTCCTCTAGGATATCCATAACCTGCCTCGAGTACTTCGTTAGTAAGCCCACCAAATACCTGTACAACTTCCCGCGCTCTCTATCTCCGTCATCATCACCCCCAACAAACGCAGAATATCTCTTCGAATCCAGCACGAGCAGCCTGAGCACCGCCTGCGTACGATGGCATATTGTCTCGCTGCCGCCGGAAGCGAAGAGCGTGTAATTTCCATAGAACCCATCTTCCTTCAATGCCTGCGTCTGCTCTTTGTCCAGTACCGGAAGAATAATGTGATCCAGCGGAATAGCATCGCGCATGTTACTCCCGAGTATGAATCCATATTCCGCAAGTAGAAAGTCATTCGTGTGCGCGCCGTAGCTAACAAATACTTCTTCGCCGGCTTTGTACGCTCGATCTGCTGTGACGCTGTACCCCTTGCTGTCGGCTTGGGGATCGCATCCGACGTCGCTGTGGTTGAAGTAGTCCATGAACGGACACATGGCGTAGCAATCGTCGCCGGTTAGCTTGTTCTTTCGCTTCGGGAGGCGAGGGTGTGAGTTCGGCAGGTCGGGGTAGTTCCAGTAAAAGGTTCGGGTGTTGACGATGAGCCAGGTGTATGTGAACAGGTCTTTGGATATCGACGGGAGGTGGGGTCGGAGGTCGGCCCAGTCTTTGTCGAGTTTAGTGAGTTGGTTGGTAAGGAGCGTTGATGCGGCGATGGGGAGGAGGTCCTGGAGCTTTTTGTTGTAGTAGATGGGCATGGTACTCCGGAAATCTTCTTCCGTAGGCCAGACGGCTTGCCAAAGGGCGTATTCGTCGTGGGATGGATCTGAGTACCATAGTGCTAGGGATGCTGCGAGCTTGCCATGTACAGTGACGTTGTCTGGTAATTTGAAGGCCTTGACAGATGGTAATGCCACATGTACCAGCGATGTGTTCTTCACGTGTACGATGCGGTCTCCTTTCTTCGTGATTCAGTCAGTGCTCTCGAAGTCATAAGCTCATCTACTGACTTTCAAGTCTCGTGCGGCTACAATGCCCATGCCACGATCGAGAAATTTGGCGGGTGCAGTGCCGTTGATCGTGACGCCATTGTCCTCAGCCCACTCAACAAACTTCGTATGCTCTTCACCAGGATCAAGTGCTGCAGTCATGGTGTTGTTGGAGCAATCGTGTTGTTGGGGTTGGAGAAGGTTGTAACCTCCACATCCACGTTCCACAATGATGATGTGATGCTTCGATGGATGACACAGCGTTCACCTGTACACCTAGAGCCAGATAGTGAAATTGGTGTTTCTACTTTCGAACATTTGGAGTCACAAAAGTTGCAAAAGACGTGCTGTGGCTGAAGTGTGGCGCTCTTATCGATTAGGAAAGAGCTCCACCGTTGATGTCAGACCATCTCGGTTCGTCTTCCTTCCCTCAACTCAGATGGCGACTGGTGTTCGGTTACTGCGGCCGCAGGCCTCCACGCTCTCAAGATGCGTCAATTTGACGCGAAACCTTCGCCCAGAAGTGCGCTGCCTCTCACTCTTCGCTCGTCCCAAGTCAACCTACGAAGAGCATATACCATTGAGTCCCGTGGGGCGACTGGGTTTGGCAATCAGCTCTGGGGTTGGGGCTTTCCTGGACCCAAGGAAAGGAGGTACAGGCAGTGCACCAGATCCAGCTGACACAAGCTAACGTTCTCCCAGAACTGATTGCTGATTTCGGCGAGGCAACGGCGCAGCCATACTTCATATACAAGCTTCGAGATCGCATGCTCATGAACGCTACTGGGCGACGAATACTGCGCGACAGACCTCGGTTAACATCTAAGTCCCTAGACATCCCTCGTCTCCGCTCGCTGCCACCCAACACCGTTGGTTATAACTATGCTGCGTGGCTAGACGCAGAGGGCGTCACGCCAGATACACGGGCGCAAGTGCGGTACATAGATGATGAGGAGTGCGCATACGTCATGCAGCGATATCGCGAGTGCCACGACTTCTACCACGCCCTTGTTGGACTGCCAGTCTTTCGAGAAGGAGAGGTTGCACTCAAAGCGTTCGAGTTCGCCAACACTGGGCTACCGATGACCGGTCTTGCTGTCTTCAGCGCGTTGACATTGAAGAAAGGCGAGTGGAGGAGATTCCTCGACATATATGGACCTTGGGCTGCAAGAAATGGAGCACGCGCCGACGACGTGGTCAACGTTTACTGGGAAGAGGAGCTAGAGACAGACATCAACGAGTTGAGGACAAGGCTCGGTATCGAGAAGCCGCCGGACCTTCGCGCAATGCGCAAGGAAGCGCGCGAAGCGAGGAAAAAAGAGAAGGAGGCCAAAGAGGCCATGACAAGAGCCGCTGTGTAATCACTATGTACAATATTGTCTAAGCGTTTGTATTGTTACCAGAGCCTTGGACCCGGGTTCATTTTCGGGGTGTCGACGCAAGCAATATGCAGAATCCCGGATCATGCTCATTCGAATTGCCGTAAGCTGACAGGCCCTTCCTCCGATGACTCAGTCAACATTCGATGGGAATACGTGGATACCTTCGGAGGACCATCAAATTCGAAAAAATGCGCCTATCTGCCATCAATGGGTCACGGGGGAAAACACGTGGAAAAACTATAATGCAATATTTAATCCTGAAGACAATCGCCGCTTAGTTTGTGGGGTGCCCAGAGCTACACCTTCAGTCAAGCCAAAGGGATGATCATTTGCTAATCTTCTCCAGACATTCACTGACTTGAAAATCATCAAACGGAAGTCTGGAGAAATACCGTCTTCTTCAGATGCGCGGATCGTCGAGCAGTAAGCTGGCCGTTGTTATGCAAGGGGTTTCGCTTGGTGACTCCCTTCGTATGGCATGCGTTGAATACCTCCAGGCTGCATCATTCGAATTGCGAGTTTCGAGGTAGGGGGTCATCAGCACAATTCCACAATACTAGAAGGCGTTCTTAGTGACGATCAAAGATATACAAACGCTGTACAGCACTGTCACGCAGAGAGAGCACAGTAGCACGCCACCGGACCGACCCGTGCAAGTCAGTTACACAACAGCCCCGCGCATCTTGCATGAATTCGAAAGGATCGGCTACGGCGCGTGTCCGTCCGTGCCGCAGGATAGATGCCCTCATTTCTATCCGTCTGCTTCAATTTCCAGCTGTTTGGGAATGCAAATATGATCACCGAGTAAGCTGATGTGAATGTCTCCCTGCGGCTATGGCCAGAAGCAGCAACACCTCCACTTTTGTTTCGTTGGCAACATGTCACAAGCATCCGCATCTGTCGACGCCAGCGACCAATCGATACATATCGAATCCACTGATTGGCGCATTGCGAAACACGGTTCACGTAGCGAATCCCTTGCTGCAGGTACATCCTGGCACCAGGTCAATAGGCGCATGGAAACATCGACTCTCATTGCACAGCCTTGCGTACAGCATCATGTCCTACCAAGCCTGTGTTCTTATCTATTGGAAATTCTCCGTCGTTCTCTTCCAACACAGGTATCCCCTGGCATGGAGCGGCATGCTACATTCACTAGGGTTCGGCACTACCAAGAAGCAAACACCAGCGCGGTAAATAGGCGCATCCTTCAACATCTGTGAATGCAGCTCCACGTATAATCCGCGACTGGTAATAGTTTCTCATGTTACGGTCTCACGAACTCCAGCTTAAGGCATCATGACACGCTCTGACCGTCGGCCGGAACTCTACGCAGCTGCTCTGATTCCGTATACTGCCGCAGCGGTTGCGCTGGTACTACGAAATGTTGCTCGGCGGCATACCAGAGTTACTATGGTATGGGAAGACTACCTGTCCATAGTTGCCTTCGTAAGTGCCTTATACTTGTCGCGCGACCAAGTGCTTACGTTCGCATAGACGATAGGGACTGGGTTCACCTTCATCAGCCTCTTCAGTATGATCGCAACTTCAATTTGTCAGAACGTCGCTGACTCCAGCAGAGACACGATGGGGGTTCGGACTTCCAATGGCAGATATCAACCTTCCTGAGGAACAAATTGTACATCATTACTTCGTAGATCTCTGGGCAGATATGTGTATGGAGTACTTGCCTTACAAGACAAGTAACGACTACTGACAGAAGCACAGGGTTGTACACCTTCTCCGTCGGCCTCAGCAAGTTCGTCATCCTCGGCTTCTACTGGCGGATGTTTTCCCTGTCGATGATACGGCAGCCCATTCGAATTCTCTCTGTACTTTCAGCAGGCTGGATTATCGTGAGAGTACGTTTACGTTCGCGCGGAACCAACGTGCACACACATGACTGCTAACGAACACAGGTCACGCTCATCTGCATGCAGTGCACACCGATACGCAAATTCTGGGATGCAACCGTTCCCGGCACATGTCCGTTAACACCTATGATGTCGCTTTTCGGCGCAGGGATACCGCACTTCATCATCGAGCTTTTTATTCTGCTCTGCCCCCTGGTCGAGATCTGGAAGTTGCATTTACCACTCAAGCGCAAGCTCGCAGTTGCAGTCATGTTCATTGCAGGTGTTGCGGTGTGCATCTCAGCCTTGATGACAATTGTCCACACCCTTGCGCTCGATAAGAAGATGGACAAGGACCTTACGTGGGATGGCCTTGAGGATCAGATATGGGCAGTCTGCGATGTCAATCTTGCGTCGCTTGCGAGTAAGCTATTCTACTTTGTCAACTGAACCTTGCTAATAACCTTGCAGCATCACTCCCCCTCCTCCGCCCCGTCTTCCGCTCATTCGGCAGCTTCTTCAGTACAGTAAAAGCCACTACCGTACCATCCCAGAACTACAAAGGCACCGGTTCAGCACCAACATACGGAAGCACACCTATGAAACGCGGAAGCAACCCCGACTCAGACTCAGAAGTGTGCTTCGCCAACGAGGGCGGCTTCATGGCTGGTAGCAATCTCGCTGGCTCGAGCAAGGCTTTCGTGATGCACAACATTACGCCCAGGGATTGTGAACTAGGGGAAAGGGGACGGCAGGGGATACATGTGAGGAACGAGACGAAGATTGTGTATCATGATGCTTAGCGAGCTGTGCATGGAAGCTGTGCTGCTTTGGCAGGATTCGAATGTGAGCAATATATGTAAGATACTAATGCTATTCATAATAATCTATCACTTTCGTCGACCGCGACTTCACTTTCCCACATTGTGAGCCTTGGTGGGGCAGGAATACCTTGAATTCCTTCCAACATTCCTTTCACTTGCACGGGTGCACATCTAGGAAGGCGCGCTAAACGCCAAACACACGATCTTCTGAAAAAGCACATCAAATTCTCGCTCACAAAGCAGTTTCAATCTCTCCATCAGCCCCAGCTTCGAAGTGACGACGACAGTAGTCATCGGCAGCACAGTGAGTAGTACTCTATGTCCTTGCATCACGGATACACCACTTCTTCTGATCACCTGTTTGCTCATGACCCAGTTCCGACACATCGACCGTTCCTCACAAGTACCAGCGGTTCGGACTTATCAGCAAGATCTGCGTGCTCCAATAGCAGAAGAAGCGCCGAACGTGTTCAAGCGCAAGGCCTGCCAGTGGGACAGAAGCCTCGTCTTTACTTTCACCGATGTCACTTCCTTGGCAAGCTCAAACAGATTCTGAACCATCACACTTTGAACCGACACCTCCTCTTCAAGCAAATCGCCCAGAGCGCTGCGAACATGCCTTTCTCCACCAGGTGAGTGCACCCTCTGGTAATATTCGTGAAATGACTGACTATATTCGGGCGCAGCATCCTTCACTCAAAGCTGTCCACCTTTCCTTATTGGCGTGGACGAGACTCCGGTCACCGTTCATTCGGGTGCCATCGCAGTACTGTCGCCACCCCTGGACCGCCTCGTGCACGGAACTTCCAAGGAAGCCCAGGAGAACTGCGTACGCTTCCCGAATATCGAGGTAGAAGACTTCGAGAAGATTTGAAGGGTTGCATCATGGGGCCGAACTGCCGGTCCCGGAGGTTGATACACTCCCTGCGTCTGAGATCGACATCAAGGAGGACTTCTGGGTGTTGTGAGCCTTCGCATCATTGGACCCGAGAGCTACACCATGCGCATCAACAAAACTGACAGCACATGTTCTCTGTGCCACTATCGGAGACTTGAATCAGCTGCCGAACCTTCCCCGTAGGACTGCCTCAAAAGCACTCTATGAGGACACGGTCGATGAACATTACCGCTGCAAATTCAGAGACGAGCCAGACGAAGATGACGCACGGGACTGTACGAGGAGAACAGCGGGACAGGTCCTCCGCTAAATTCACATTGGAACCAAGACGTGTCTGGTGTTCTGTTGGGAATATGCTCGAATCTACGTCTTCGCCGAGGAGTATCTGATCGCAAAACTACAGAAAGGTGTCTGTTATGACAAGGCTCTGGGCAAGGGGCATGAAAAAGAGACTGGATCTGCAGGCTGGACTGAGGAGTAGATGAATAGCGGAAACTGGGGCGTCAGTGAACGAGTGCGAAGGGATAGAACGATACATACCTCTGGAGCTACGCTCCATACCCAATAAAGAACGAACTGAAAACAAAATGCATCGATTCCCAATCTAAATGACATATATATGGGTATTACCAGTTTCCTAACCACATGCGTGTCCGTCTACCAAACCCCGTATCCCAATGCCGCTGATAACATACGACAAAGACCCCGCACCAACGCCCAAGGCCCTACTTGGCCATGTAGATACAAAGCAGAAAATGCAAGGGAAATAATGCCGGCCATGTGATAAAGGAAACAACAATACGTGCTCAACATAGAACCTGTTCGGAGAGGTGGGTACAGGTTAATCCTGAGCCAGCTCATCGTCTGAAAACCGGAAGGTCGAGTCTGAAGAGGATTTCTGTTGCTTTTCGGTTTGCTTGCGGATGTGCCGTGGTGAGACGGGGGAGACGCTTTCGACCCACGAGCGATTTGAGAAACGAGATGAGGAGGAGGAGGAGGGGCGTGAGAAATTGCGTACACCGGGTGGTGCTGGGGATGGCGCGAACTCCCTCAGTTCAGCCGGGGTCTCTGCTCGAGGAAGGTCTTGAGCAGTGCCCGGAGGCTTATTTGGAAGGTTCTCTGAAGGCCACGCATCCCGCGCCTCGGTGGGGAAGTCTTCGCCTGCGGCCTGTTAGCTCTCTCACACCCCATTGCATCCGACCAAAGGCAGAAAAGGGAAGGAAGGAGAGCGCACAGGACTACGCACTAGCCACACCCAACCCCTCACACAACCTCTTCCTCCACAGTCCGCATGCTTCCTCGAACCCCGACATTACTTCTCCGCACGCCCGCTTCGCTTCGCGCTCGCGTAGTCGCCTGTCCCAGTCCCCGCGCTCGATGAATTCGCGTCCTTCGGCTGTGCGTTCGGCCTCGCGCTTCCATTCGTGTAATTGCTCTTTACTCGTTCGCAACCTTCGCGCCGCGTTCGTGGTCGTTTGACGTGACATGTGCAGTGTGTCGCTGACGTTGGAGAGGTGTTGGAGGAGTTCGCGTGTCGAGAGTGTGAGGTGAGAGAGGGATATTATTGAGTCCGTGGAGCTGTGTGGGAGGGATTGGAGGGTTTGTTCGACGAGGGGGAGGAGCTCTTCGATTGCGTCTGGAGAGGGGATTATGGCGCGGGGGCCGGTGAAGGAGGCAGTTAGGGAGGTGAGGACGCGCGATTGGTGGGTGAGGTGGGTTGTTAGTGAGTCGTGGGCGGTTTTGAGACTGGGTTGTGTTAGCTGAAGGGTTTCGGTGGCGCGTTGGGGAAGGCGTACCGTGTTGCTCCGTTCTCGATGGCGATTTGGCTCCCAAGATCGCGCAGGTGTTCTGTGACGCGCTTAACGACTTCGTCTGACGCACTGCCGTTCTCTTCCATGCCTCTCCGTGCCAGACTCTCGACAGCTGCCATGCGCGCCTCGAGGGCCGGTGTGATGCCATCGTTCTCGAGATCTGAATCGTCCCCATAGTCTGACCCGTCGTACAGTGACCGTTGCCTGTTATGTTTTTTTGACTTGATTGCCGCGCTTGGGCTCAGCGTAGCTCTCGGTTGTGTCGAAGGAGAGCTATGCAACGCAACCCCACTATCCCTCACCCCATTCGAATCGACCACACCCTGAACCCCCGTTGACCCGTCGTGTTCTACAGCTGTGCCGATACTTGTTGCGTCTCCCTGTGGCTGCTCCAGCTCTTCCCCAAACTCGCTGTCCATCTCCTCGTCCTCGCTGCCCCATTCACCCAGCTCGTCCGCCAGATTGCCCAACCCCCCACCATTATCCCTGGCTCCGTCAAGGTGTTGCGCGGGACTGCCATGATCAAATTCGTGCGACGAGCGTGGTGTTATGGGCGAGTAACCGGATCTGGAGGAGGGGCGGTTGAATGACTGTCGTCTGGAATGTGCCATATCGAGGCTAGAGGGGTGTCGGCGGTGGGACGATGCCGGCCTGTGGGTGGGCGTCCGCGGCGGAGAGGACATGGTCGTGAGGATTATTGTAGTATCGAGCAACGGGGCGGAAATGTTTGGCGCATCGGAGCTCGGCAAGGTGTAATTGTGGTGGTGACCCTGGTCGATCGCAATGTGCGCTGTCCCCTGTGACTGCGCTCTCCTTTTACGTCGCGTTCCAGAGCGTGCAGTTTGGTAGTCGGCACCAAAGAATCAAGGGCACTGCGTCTGAGGGTCGTGGCGGGGTAAGGCGCGTCCGCAGCGGAGTGCTTGTGAATGTAAACGAATTGTGAGGTTTGGGGCTAGTTTGGCTTGGCCGCGGAGATCAGGTGAATGCGGTGAAGGTCTCGATGTGAGAGCACAATCTTGAACAAAATGGATGACAATCGATGCAGTCGCGGCCACAAGCAAGTATTTCAGTTCTCAAATCCCCCTGGACGATGTCGATGCATTGTTTGTTGTCACTGCTGTGTGGCAGGGTTCAACCTAGGAAATCGCCGGACCATCTTAGTAGTCAAGACGACCATGGACAGCATCATATTCATAGACACGTGCTGATGATCAATCGAATGCCTTTTATTGATGTTGATGTAGTAAGAACGTGCTCGTGCCTATGTTCCCGATCGCAAGCGTTTTACCACAATTGACTTTGTACATAAAGAACAATATGCACAGTCTTGACCGCGCTCTATGCTCAATCGGTGTTCGTGCCATACCAAGGACGCCCGTAATGCAAACGAGTATCGCTTTGACCATACCCACAAACCAAGAGATGCATACCCATATGAATCATGTCCACAACGCCATGGTGTAGGACAGTCCAGGCTTCTGCATGTTACCGCAAAGAAGCCATCCACCCGTAGACAAACCGTGTCTCGCAGAACGCCCGCAATGCCCTTGTAATGCCGCTGAATCAAAAGGTGTATACGCGTGTGTATCGTGCGCGATCATTTGTTCTGGTCGAGACTGGCGAGCTGCTTCTTGAGCACGTCGAAGAAGTTCTGCCCGTTAGGCATCTTGTGTGATGTGCCGGCGCCTGTAGGATGTTAGATCCAACCCAGAACATGAGAAATGGCCAAGAATACCTCTGGCACCCCACACTCCACTGCTTCTCTTGGGAACAGAGTCACCCTCGACCTTGTGGTATACCGCTGGATGATCTTAAAGCGAAACGTTAGCAGCTGTTCAGGTCGTGTGAGCGTAGGACGTTATACCCGCAACGGTCTCACGGTACTCTGTGATGTGTTAGCGTTGCTCGTTCATAGTAGCTGTAGCTCGAGTGTACAGCTCGAGGCTGTATGCCTGGACGAGTAGCACTCACTCTTCTTCAGATAGTCCCTGACCTCGACTGCATTGAAGTCACGCACGGGGACGTGCTCTTCCCTGGGAACAGAAGCTGGCGCTGCCTGTCCTAGACTTGCAGGCTTGTTGCCCTGAATGGCCTTGTTGCCCCACGCATTGCCTGTCGGCGCGGTAGGTTGCTGTCGTCCGTCCTTCGAATTACCTTGTCCTGGCCTCCGCCAGCTGCAGCAATGTTAGCCTCAATCCACACATGCGCGTTAGAGCGCATACCGGTTCTCGCCCGCGCCGCTCATTGTCGCAATTCTGAGGATCGGTGGGGGAGGCGGGGGAACGATGCCGTGGTGGATATAAATGATGGTAGCTCTCTAACCGCGCTGCATGACGAGTCAAACTAGGGTCCATGCCGGAGCCAATAGGAACGCTCCATCACCATATTTACATGAGAGATGCGTGAACAGCTCACCGTGCTAGTCTTCTTCCAGCTAAACCTTGTAGTCGTTCACGAACGTATGCGGTTCACTGGAGGGGACTTTTTGCAATTACTCGCTCGGTGCCGTGTGTTGTTCATCACGTGTGAGACAAGGTACAATGGGGTACACGATACTGGAGATCCGTTCGTATTGAATGTCGGTGTACCTGCTGGATAGGCACATTGAGGTTTCGATTGGTCTAACTCGACTCATCTTCACTCTGCTCCTTGCTCTTTGGGCGTTCTATGCGTTCCATGCGTCTCCACAAAGCCAGGAATCCACCGCCCACCACCATCTGGCCTGCCTTTGGGCGGCAAACCATGGCCCATTTCTCTTCCTCTTTGGCCAGATTCTCTGCCAACTCACCGTCTCTTGCCTCTTGGCCCTTGACCGGATCAATGGACTCTGCATCTGAAGCCTCTGGCGACTCCCTGGCGTCAGGCTTCTTCAGTGTCGATCTTGGTCTGACCGCCCTGACATCCCACTCACGGATCATACCCGCACCGAGTTCAACGACTTGGTCAAGTAGATACGGCAGCTTCTCTTCACGAATTTTCTCCACACATTGCGCAATTTGTGTGATGCTTGGATTGAATACAGCAAGTAGCCCGTTCACACGCAATGCTGGTGCTACGTTTGCCAGATGTGCTTCGGCGTTGGGCAAATCCAGGAATACGTGATTCAAGAAAGGCTCATCAGTCTGCCTGATCACTCTCTGCGAAGCAATCCATGCAGAAGCATCTCCTACGTGAAATTCCACGTTGCCGGCATAGAGCCCATGTCGAAAGCCCTGAACAATCTTCTTTGCATGCTTCGAGTGCTTGCTTGAGATATCCAGCGTGTGCACAATGGCGCGTCTACAGGGTTTCCACGACTCTATAGTTGTTTCCTGGAGATCTGATATAGACTCACCCAGGTACACAGCATCTTCTGGTTCTTCTACATTGACGGTGTAGTCGGGAGTCTTCGGCAGAGGTGGGTTCGCGGCATGAATGGCTCGGGCGAGATGCAAGGTCAAAGCTCCATGACCTGTACCGGCTTCGAGGATCTCGAACAGTGGATCGTCGTTCAAGGCACTCGAGGGCGTGTCGACATGGATATCGAGAAGAGAGACAATCAAGTTGGTGTCAGAGGGGTACAACTAGGGCCACTTAGCTTGGGTTCTACGCAACACAACTATGGTGCGTGTCCGGACAGTAATAGACGCACAGGTGTGACGAGACGTGGGGTGAGCCGAACGTACTCTGCTAAAGTAGGTTCATGGACACGGTATTCGAAGCCTTTCGATGACCGTACTATCTGGCGCGGCTCTTTGCCGATGATGTTGGCATGATCAATGACCCCGCGGTGGGTGTGCGTCGTCTTCGCTGCCTGCAGCTTCAAGAGCGTGCCATCGACGGTATCCTTCTTATCTCGAAGAAGAACGGTATCTCCTTCTTTGAAAGCGCGGCGTAGGCCTGCGCTGGTGCTGAAGTTTCTAGCAAATCCTTGTGTCGCTGCGCGTCGAAGCTGTCGTAAGCATATGTTTCGCATAGCGTAGCTTACAAGCTGTGTATGCTTGCCTTTGTGGTGGAGTCGAAGAGATGGTCGAAAGAAAAGGAAGGGAACATGCAGGGTTCACGCTACCGGCTCAGAGTGGGGACCGGGACCTCCGCGGTGAAACAACGTCGATCAAAGGATTCGAGAAGCCAAGGAATCACACGCGCAAGGGCACATCCATCGACGGATGCCTCTTGTGCCCAGATCTCTTACTATTGGCACGAGACGTATGTCATGGCGACGGCGCTACGCAACTGTTTCACGATATTCCTCCTCTTCTAAGACATATGCGGCTGAACGGCCACTAACTTCATCATGACCCGCCGAATAGTACGTTCAATGCTCCTGTGGTCCCAGATGTAACTAATTCATGTCGCAGGTCCGAGCGGGCATTCAGCTCGTAGCCTTCTCGATCATTGCCTGCTTCTTGATTTTCTTCGTCGATAACCGATACCGTGTTCTACCTCAATCTGTTCACAGCCACCTTCCCCTACACCACGAGGGTCTCGTCATCACCGACATTACTGTACAGACATGCTCGAGCCTGAACCCGCTGTCAAAATGCATGCTGGACCAAAAGAAGTGGCACCGCGTCGAGAAAGACCTCTATCTTGGATCTGGCTGGGTGTCCAAGGCATATATACACATCAAGCGCAAAAGGGAGGAGGAGCTCACGAGCGATGACAAGGTCATTGTCGATGTGCGTACCGGCAAGCTTGACCCAGCCATGGGCGAGAAAGCTCAGGCTTCGGAGAAGTGGGAGTCTCGCCCTGCAGGCGTGTGGATCAAGAGGTCACTCAAGCGTCACGCGAGCGACTCGAAGCAGGCCGTGACTGCTGTCGACATACTGTTCGGGTCTGACGCCGTGGAGCCACGCCCTGGGTGGGAGCTGGTCAAGAACGGCGCATTACATTTGGAGACAGCCCGAGACAGCAAGGATCCGCGCCTGAGCATACGTCGAGGCGCACCACACAAGGTCGAGAAGCCAGTTCCCAAGATCAGGAAGGATGGCAAGTTCAAGATCATGCAGATCTCTGACCTGCATCTCAGCACTGGTTTGGGCGCATGCAGAGATCCGGAGCCCAAAGGTGCCAATGGCGGCCACTGTGATGCCGACCCAAGAACATTGGACTTCGTCGAGCGTGTCCTAGATGAGGAGAAGCCTGACATGGTAGTGCTTTCTGGTGATCAGGTCAATGGCGACACCGCGCCAGACATTCAGAGTGTACGTGCTGTTCCCGCATTGCTACTGCCATTCTGCTCACATTCGCAGGCCCTGTTCAAGATCATCGAGCCTCTCGCCGAGCGCAAGATTCCCTATGCAGCCATTTTCGGCAACCATGACGACGAAGGCACACTATCACGCCACGCACAAATGTCACTTTACGAATCCCTACCATACTCTCTTTCCGAAGCCGGACCGAACACCATCGAAGGCGTTGGCAACTACTACGTCGAAGTGCAGGCACATAACAGCAAGCACTCCGCATTGACACTCTATATGCTCGATACCCACGCATACTCGCCAGACGAAGCCCACTACCGAGGCTACGACTGGATCAAACCAAACCAGATCGCCTGGTTCAAGAACACGGCTGAGGGGCTGAAAGACGCTCACAGCCACTACACCCACAAGCACATAGACATGGCGTTTATACACATACCATTACCTGAATACGCGGACAGAAACAATGAGTGGGTCGGTAACTGGACCGAAGGTGTGACAGCGCCTGCATTCAACACCCACTTCAAGGATGAGCTGGTCAAGCAGGGCGTCAAATTCGTCTCATGTGGCCATGACCACGTCAACGACTACTGCATGCTCTCGAAAGACCACGCGACACAAGAACCCGAGCTCTGGATGTGCTATGCTGGTGGCAGTGGATTTGGCGGCTACGGTGGATACAACAACTTCCACCGTCGACTGCGTGTTTTTGAGGTTGACACAAATACTGCGCGCATTTCTACTTGGAAGAGATTGGAATATGGTGATATTGGTAAGAGGCTTGACGAGCAGATGATTGTTGATGCTGGACGAGTCTTGCCGGTTCAACGGGATAACCAGGAATAAGCGATTTGAGTAAGATTGCGACAAGCAAGGTGTTTTGGTGTTTTCGGTTCAGCCATGGCTGGAGGCCTCCAAATCACGGACTGCATGGCTGGCTAGGCGCACGTATGTTATACGTTATTTCAGTACAAACCCATTGATCATTCTGCTGAATTCTATCTGCGTCAATTCGGCACCATGCACGTATCAGTTGTACCTAACCAGCAAAAGGTGCTTGCGTTTTATCTTGCTTCCGAGTACTTGCGCGACTCCAGCCAGGCATCGTCTGTGCTCACCTTGCGATCCATGGACGGCACCACACTGCGCTGCACCAATCGCGGCGCCCTTGACTGTGTTCTTTTTGCTTTAGTTCGTTAGTGGGCGGTGATGTGGTCGGTGCGGTGTGTTGCAGAGCTGTGTTGAGGTGTCGCGAGGTGAAAGAAGTGACGCACGGGATCAGGCACAACATGTAGAGGCAAAATTCTGGAAGTCGAAGTTAGGGTATGCGTATCTACTTTGTACTGCAGAGGAAGGCGGGTGGAAGCTAAGTGTGTATGATATTATGATGACCTAGGCAGTGATCAAAGCACCAACATTGGACCACATCACAAGTGCACCAATGAACTTGGAGATGCGAGGGTATTGAATACTATAGAACGGTAGCAATACATAGAAAACCATCCCGCGTCAAGGGCTCCGGACCTCATTCTGCCTAAACCGCCACCACTTCCCCTTCTCCATCTCTCCATCCTCCATAATCCCCTCCGTACTTCTCCCACTGATTGCACTGCCACTGACCCTCGACGCGCTCGGCGCCTCCACATCCTCAGCCCGTCCCGTCCTACTTCTCCAAGCCCCAGCCTGCACCTCGTACACATCCTCTTTCTCGCCCGCCAGCCTCTCCAAGCTCTCCCTCTTACTCTCCGGTACGAGGAGACTTGTCAACATGCCCAGAAACATGAAGAGCGCAAAGATCTGCATAACACCGTGAATCCAGGGCGTGGGATTGTCGTGTGTAGCCCCGCGCTTGATCATCGGGGCGAAGAAGATTTGTGCGAAGACGGCGCCGAGCTTGCCCATTCCTGCGCTGAAGCCATGACCTGTACTCCTCACACGCGTTGGGAATATTTCGGCTGGTATAATGAATGTCGTTGCGTTAGGACCGAAATTGAAGAAGAACTGTGCCATGACGTAGAGGATGAGGAGGTGCGTTTTGGAAAGGACTTTCCATGCAAAGCCCAGCACGCAGAAGATAATTGTCAGGATTGCGAAGCCGCCGATCTGGATGGTCTTGCGGCCAAGTTTGTCGACGGTGAAGATGGTGAGCCAGTAGCCGGGGAGTGCGCCGGCGCAGATTAGCACGATTTGGCCGGTTGCTGTGTTGCGCAGGTTTAAGTAGAGGTTGTCGCGCTTGTCGAAGCCCATGGTTGAAAGAAGGGAAGCAGAGGAGAAGCCTAGGCCGTAGAAGGCGAGATCGAGGAAGCTGGAGGAAGTCAGTGGGTGACGAAGCAGGAAGGTGGAAGTTAGAAAGTACGTACAACCATGACATCGCACAACCGAACAGTCTGATAGCCTGCCTCTTCTGTGAATAGAACCGGAAAACTTCCATCAATGTGATTGACGGCTTTCTGTAGCCATTCATCTCACGCCTCGTCTGCGCTTGCATGACGGGATTCAGAATATTGCCCTGCTTTCCATACCGATACTTCCTCGCATCAATAGTCGCCTTCTCAACGTCGTATAGTACGTCGAATGTATATCTAGGTGTTTCTATACTCGTCAGCTCAACTCTGTGGAAAGACTTGAGGTCACTTACCTGGAATGGTGAGTCGATAGTACAAAGCAAACCAACCCGGGATCCCTCCAAAGGCGATTATGATCCTCCACATCTTGTCGACAGTGTTGATACATTGCCCTGTACAGGCTGCGACTGACGCTACAGCCTGAAGATGGTCTTTGTATGCGACTACTACGATCAATGTCATTAGCGCAGCAGCCAGCTGGCCAAGTCCTTGCATAGCGAAAACAGCAGCGATGATACCACCACGATACCGGGTGCTGGAGAACTCTGCCGTTATTACAGCAGATAATGGATAATCGCCGCCGACTCCAATGCCCATTACCTGAATGCTGTCAGTAGTGGTCTGGGGTAGACGCTGTGTGTTTGCTGCTTGCTTACCACGCGGTAGAAGATCAGAACTCCGACAATCGACAGGGTACTTGACTCTCCGCAGAGCGACTGGGCAAGTGTAGTTGCAATGATGATCATGAGCTCGACACCGTACATTCGTTTACGACCTAGGAGGTCTCCCAGATACCCAAAAATGCATTGGCCGAAGATTGCACCAGCAGATGTTGCGACCTTGATGGCAGTGTCGGCATTGTGAGGCATGACGCCACGATGTGTCTCATCTTGCCAGTATACTATTCCTAGCAAGATGACTGCGAGGTTGATGGCGAACAACTGTGTTTAGTTAGGCGCAATTTCGTTGTCGATGGTCGGTGTAATCATACACTGTAGGCGTCTGTAAAGAACCCAATCCCAGTCACGACTGCAAGTCGAACATGGTACCAGCCAAAAGGTGCCTTGTCGACCTCGGCCAGGGCCATGCGACGTCGTTCATTTGGGTCTGCGATATGGGTCTACTCTGGTCAGCGAGGTGCTACCGTCGAAGTCGGGTTTCTTACGTAGACACCCGGCACATCACGATACGCAGCATTACCGACTCGGTGGAACGATAACATTAGAAGCGTGTTCGGATTTTGGAAGGTGAAGCGTGTGGGGTGGGCCCGAGAGACATGAAGTGGAGGCTGATGAAGCCTATATCAGCCCTTCGAGGCTGAGACGGAGACTGGAGTAACAATAAGGCTGACTTGCGAAGTAAGAGTAATCCACGAATGACGAAAGTCAATCAATTATTGTGAAGTCTGCAGATAGCAGATGCTTTGCCTTTGTCTGTTGCCAAGCTGCCAGGGGTCGACGACAAGAACGCAGCCAGACCAGTGCCATCACGCTCGATATCAATTGGGGAGAACGTGCCTGCTGCGACTCGAGGAGCGTTGTACAAGTCTTGAGCATGACTTAGCACGAACGCCATTGCGGGTTCTACTCTTGACGTCTCACCACATTTAGCTCACGTTCTTGTGTCGGTGGTTCTGATTGGTCGGTAAGCATATCATATCACGGAAACCCCCATGTGTATTCTTGCTTCTGAGGCACGTTGCGTGCCCTCTTGGGCCGGTAGGTTAATTGAAACGCCCCTCATTCGTGATGCATGTGATGCCAGGCCCGTAGTGTCTGGTGCCATGGACCGTTGTCTTGGGAAGCCCTACAGATCCGGTATGGTGACATCTTGAGGCGAGCAACGTGGGATAAGAGACCGTGCACAAGGCGTTCGCGGGTGGGATGGCCTGATTTGAGCCGTATCCACGTATAAAATGGTTACCTTGTTACGGTGATGCTGTTGCTTGCCGAGTCAGTATCGTATCGGTGGCCTGGTACTTTAAAAGGTGATCTTGTGTACAAAGTTAGCCCACATCATCGGACCGTATCGCAGAATGGACGAGCAATGAGTAGTTGTATCGAATGTATCTGGGTGTGAGGGCGAAATACGAAGGGGAAGTCCTAGGAAACATCTTGTGTCGTAGTCATCGCAGCACCTTTTACAGGTGCCTCAACTACCCACTCTCTCAACGCAGCTCGCAGCTGCTTCTCCACACCCTGCTCGACCCAGAAGTGTCCGGCGCCTGCAATCTCAACACTTGAGAATGTTGGCCCATGGTCGGCCTTCAGATGGTCACACCAATCTCGAATCTTCTTGGCAGATGCAAAGATATCTTGGTTGCCATAGACTGCCAGCGAAACAAACTTCCCGATGCTTGTTAAATTTGCATCTGTTGAACGGCTCCACAGCTTCTGACCTAGCGCAGGTGCCGCAAGCGTAGATATAGGGGGTGTCAAAGGTGAGATGAGGAGGTAGCGGACTTCAGGAATGGCAAGATTCACCTCGTTATGCTCGAGTAATGTAGTCGAGTTTCCATGCTTCCGACCTCGATGGCTGAGGCTTCTAAGACGGTGTCCTATATCCAAACTGCGCCGTACGTCGACGCTTCCCTTTGCCTCCCGGCTGCTCCTTCTCTTATCAGGACTTGTCTCCTCTCCGCCGATTGTCAGAGACGTCTTGTACTCATGCTTTCTCCTGCTCTTCTCTCGCTCAGCGTCTCGAGCCAAGTTGATCCATTCTAGATTGCTCTGATCTGCTAGCTTGTGCGCCCTCAGCAGAACCTCGTCAGCCGCAGAGCCAGCCAAGGGGTTAGTGAAGCGTTGTAGGATCGTCGGCACGGGCGGAAGGTGCTTCAAGATGAGAGAGCCGTAAGAGTAACCACCAAGGATGACCAGGGGCACTTGACCAGGCAAAGAGTCGCTTGCCTGTCGCGTTGGTGGGCGTACCGGCGACTGATCTGGCGTAAAGATTGTATCCGACGTAGGGAACGGTCGTATGAGGCTCATGTATTGCAAGAAGCTTGCAGCGAAGGAGGTATAATCGTCAAGCTCCGGTCTTCCAGACCAAGAGGTTCGGCTTTTGTGTTTGGAGCCATGAGCACCTCTGTATCATGTTAGTAGGCACTGAGGCTAAGCTGCCCATGCAATCGTACCGAAAGTTGAAGGTTCCGACTATGTACCCAGCCTTCAGAAGCTCATCCACAACAATGCCTACGACGCGGTCATCGTAGCTCCCGCCCATTGGAGCATAGGGATGCGCCATGACGATACCGCGTACCCTCCATTGCGGCCTCCCTAGAGGATCTTTTAAGGGCTCGTCAAAGACATCTGGGTGGTATATGCGGCAGTCAAGCGTGGTATCATCGTGTATCGAGGGTATCGTGAAGCTGTAGTGGGGCTCCAAAGGGGCGCGCATCTTCCGGGCCTATGATAGACCCGTAGCCAATATTCATTGCATGCTTGGTGGATTAGGAACGGTGCGGAGGTCCCAAGGCTGCGTCAAGTGCCTGGGCGTGTTTGTAGGCTGCAAGTTGTAAGTTGTGGGGTCAAGGTTGCGGAGCTGCGGAGGTGTTCGCCGCGGCAGTGACGTTGGTCAGGAACGGGCAAGGCACGATCCATGCACAGTCCGCGGCCTAAGGACTCCTACAAGTATCACTGACATGATTGAAGTCGTTAGAACAGAATGTCGGCTTGTGAAACCTGGAACGCTTCATTCTAGACTGCTGAGCTACAATTCTGTCCACTGCTCATGATGGAATATTCAAACGCCCAAACACCTCGCTCAAGTACCTCAAATGCCCATGGTCGTACAACAATGTCTCAATCCGTATCAGTATCCTGGTGGGAAATCATAAGTTCAGGATCAGGGTCATCATTCGAGTCGTCGGTCTGGAACAAGCTTGGTTTGGTTAGTGCAGCCTCTGGCGGCGAACGTCCAATCCTGATCGCCGACCCTGTCATCTCCTCTTCTGGTGGAGGCTTGAAGTCCTCGAGTCCTACCAGTGAACTGGTAGCCTTCTCGTTGCCCTTTTGCTTCACTCCGAGCGCTTCATGTAGGAGGTCTCGACCTTGCTGGAACGCCTCAAGCTCGGCTCCAATGGCACACATAAGAAGGTTCCAACTTCTGGAGGAAGCATACTCTAACTTTTCGCCCAGGAAAGTGATTGTAGCATCCATCTGATCCAGCAGACGTTTGGGATCTGCTGCACCGCTCTTGCTCACTTTGTGCATATACCGCTGTAGGCTTGCTTCGTAGTTGGCCACCATCTTCACTGTGTCGTTCCACAGTAGTGAGCCTTCTTCGAGTGCAGCACGCTCGACGTCAACCTCCTCACACTTCTCTGCTAGCCTTGTGTATTCATCCTGCCAGTACTCGTGCGCCATTTCAAGTGTTCGACGCTTCGGAGGAAGGGCAGGGAACGGCGAGGAAGAGAGTGGTGTGTGGTTCGAATTCGTGGGGCGCGCGAGGAAGCTCAATACCTCTTTGTCCAGCATAGAGAGTGAAGTCTTATATGACGAGAGCTTCGCTTCTTTGGAATTCTCAGTTTCTGCGAGCTCGTCCAGAACTCGCCGTTGCCGCCGCTTCAGCGCCCACAGCTCCTCTTCCTTCTGCCTGATGTCTTGCTCCAGCTTAGAAGCTTCGGTCTGAAGAGCTTGTGTCTTTGTGCCAGCATCCTCGCCCTCAATACTCTGAATCTTCGTTGCCAAGCGCGCACGCTTCTGTGTCCAAGTCTCAGTCTTCTCCACATTGTATTGCAGATCCCTCAGCCCTTCGTCCAACATGTTCAACTCCTCAGCTTTGATGCTTGCGAGCTGCTGAATACGCCTGAAGATCCCTCGTCTGGCGGTACTGAGGCCCACCTTCCTCTTAAGAAGTTTGCGCTGGTCTTCGCCATTGTCTTGGTTCTTATCCGCAGACCGGACACTGCTGACAGTCGGAGTGGTGCTACCGTTCGACACCAAATCATCAGGGATAGCGTCGTTGCCGCCGAGACCATTCATCAAGCCGTCTGCCTGCGCATCGAGTAGCTCTTGGAGCTGCTGCTCGAGATAGCGAGCGCGTCGTTGCAACGTGAGCACATCGTCTGGTACACGTGGTACAGGCGAGATGCTGGCTTTCGGAGCGCTCCAGATCAGTGACGAAGTTACTGGTGGTGGTATGCGCGGTGGTGGTCGAGAGTTGTAGAAAGGCAGCTCATGGTCGCGTGTGTGTGGGTCCTCGAAGGACTTCCGGAACTTTGAAGGCGGTGGTGAGAACGAGCCGAGGACCGAGTTTATCAAGGACATGTTGAATAAGTCTAGGGCGTGGTAGTAAATGTTGAAGCCATGGAAGCTGTCAAAGCGGTATTGTTTGTTCAGGTGACTACAGTGCTGCTGTTACCTTGAGCATGTGAACGAATGACGAAAGCGCGGAGTTCTTAGTCATCAATGCTGTAAACCACCATACTGGAAAGTTGCAAATGACGAACTCGAGTGATGCGCGCCAGTACAATCACGATTACCAAATGAATGCGTTGGATACTTCGATCGGGGAACTTGGCAATCAGTCAAGCAGCAAGAAGATGCTGGAGTCGTGTTGACTTCAGTGTAACGATGCTCAAAACACTCTACAGACCTCCACGCTATACCAGCAGGTCTAAAAGGTTGCGGAAAATAGTTGCTTGCTCATCAGCGAACGATCCCGCTATCGCGATATGTCGTAGAATTCTTTTGGTGTTGAAGATCCCAAGTGCATGTGTTTGAGGTTTACAGGCAGGTCGATGGTCGAGGTCCCACTCGCACCGCGAGTACTAGCGTCTCGCTTAGGCCTTCGCACCCGCTCTGCAATATTGAAGTTCGCAACTTCTGCTTGCGACGTGAACAGCACTAACCTCAGGAACATCCACCGTACGTCCACCGTATCTGCTGCATTTCTCGACAATCGCTGACTTCACATCAACAGTAGTCCATTCCACCGACATAAAAATGGCTGACGCTCCTGCTCCCGCTCGCGGCGGATTCGGATCTCGTGGAGACCGTGGTGGTGACCGTGGCCGTGGCCGCGGCCGTGGACGTGGTCGTCGTGGCGGCAAGTCCGAGGTGCGCACAACAGAAATTTGAGGGATATGGGCAAGCATTGACAATTGCGCAGGAGAAGGAATGGCAGCCCGTCACCAAGCTCGGCCGTCTCGTAAAGGCTGGCAAGATCAAGAGCATGGAGGAGATGTACGTTCAAGCGCATGGCAGGCACAGTGCGAGAGACAGCGACTGACAATTGGCAGCTACCTTCACTCTCTCCCCATCAAGGAGTACCAGATCGTCGACTTCTTCCTCCCCAAGCTCAAGGACGAGGTCATGAAGATCAAGCCCGTCCAGAAGCAGACCCGTGCTGGTCAGCGTACCCGCTTCAAGGCCATCGTCGTTATCGGTGACTCTGAGGGTCACATCGGTCTCGGTATCAAGACCTCCAAGGAAGTCGCGACCGCCATTCGCGCTGCCATCATCATCGCCAAGCTCGCCGTCGTCCCCATCCGCCGTGGTTACTGGGGTACCAACCTTGGTGAGCCTCACTCGCTCCCCACCAAGGAGTCCGGCAAGTGCGGTTCCGTCACCGTCCGTCTCATTCCTGCTCCCCGTGGTACCGGCCTCGTCGCCTCCCCCGCTGTCAAGCGTCTCTTGCAGTTGGCTGGTGTCCAGGATGCTTACACCGCATCCACTGGTTCCACCAAGACCCTCGAGAACACACTGAAGGCCACCTTCGTTGCCGTCGCCAACACATACGGATTCCTTACACCCGACCTCTGGCGCGAGACCGCTCTCACAAGGTCTCCTCTTGAGGAGTACAGCGACATTCTCCGTGAGGGCAAGAAGTACTAGATGTACAGCGGTGAGGCTACGGTTCTTTTTCAGCATTCCTGGATTATGGCGTGAGGTAATGCACGGGCCCCTCCTATAAAGTCAATAGGTTTGGGACGTCCGGCACGAAATGAAACTCCATTACGACCTTCCAAGCTCTTTGTTACTACTGCTATGTCGTGAATCTTCTATCTCTTTCTCAAGTGCGCCCTTCTCAAGAGAAGGAAGTTGTGTTAGCTAAGTAAATCGAAGACCCGACGCCAGCAACACAAGCAGGTACATCAGGCTGGTTCTTCAGAAACGTGCTTCCATAAGTAATGCATAGACGGTGGCTTGAGTCTGTCTTGATAGAACCATGGTAGTTTCCACTTGCACACTAGCTCGATCCTCCGACTGCGCCTTCTCGTTGCCCAACCACCAGAGCTAGCTCTCCCATCACTTTACACTCACCGTTGCGCACGTCGCCAATGTCTGGAATGCTTACGAATCCATACCGAGCTGCTGGCGCTCAGTCGTCGAGACTGTCGTCCAAGCCAGTCGACAAGTAATTGAGAGCGCGCAAAGTGAAAATATCGAGGACGCTGTACAAAAATTCAAACACATTGAAGGCAAACGCACTAGGCTGGATATCTGGAAAGAGAACTCCTTTGACACTGCGACATAACTCTATCACTTTGTGTTTGGGCCGTCAGTTCAAGGCCCGCCATACCAAGCAACTGTCTTTGATGAGGGTCCAGAAACACAACATAGCATTGTCTCTTTGCGATCTACTTCTAATCGACCATTGCAGAACACAATGTCATCAACGAACAGAGAGATGATTGTGTAGGGTTCTTACATGTTCCGGATACTCAACGGAATCCGTTCTCATGTCCAAACATGAGTGCAAATAACGACTACACGGCGCCATTGTACTTAGCGGATCCACGATAGGATTCGGTCAACTAATCCGTACATCGGTACAATGCCTGCGGCCTACCCACCGGCACCACCACCTCCCCCCGCCAGTGCCGTCCTCAGATGAACCGCGCCTTTCCAAAATCGAAGACTTGCTCGCGGCTCAACAAGGTAATCTAGCTTGACTCCTACGCGAACAGACAGCCGCAAATGATGGGGCGGACACCAAGTATCTGTCTGCTGTGACGAGCGAATACAACAAGGCTGTTGGAGAGCTCACACGATCTTTCAAACAAGAAAAAGAGACACGGCAAAGAACAGAAGGAGAAGCTGCCTTAGAGCGAAGACAATTGATTACTACAGCTGAGGAAAGGCTTACAACGAGTCAAGGGCTCAAACGGGCAGCCACATAACAGAGAGAGGAACGGCAAAAGGCTGAAGAAGGATGGCAACGTGAGAGAAGAGCCCTTCAAGATCAGGCTGCCAAAATTACAGAGACGAAGGAAATAGCACCGAAGGACGTCACGACAGCTCATGCTGCGACGAAGGATTGATTGGTTTAACGTCCTATGTGAGTCTAAGGCTATGGAAGACGAAGCTGCGACAAATGAGTTACAGGGGTGTATGGAGAATTTGAAGACAGAGGCATATGCCGAGAAGAGGACCAGGATGGAGAACGAGATCAAAGCTGCAGAGGCAAGGCGGAAAGGCGATGAAGACAGCAAAGGGCGGGTTCAGCGCTTCCAGAAACTTCTCCAAGAGTCCAAGGAAGCACAGCAAAGAGAACGGTCTGACGGATGCCGTCCTATTCGCGGACCTCTTGTCCTCAAGGGCAGCGAGCGTAGCACTGAGGTGAACGGAGACAAAGCCAAGCCTTTAGGTTTTTCGATGACTTCATTGTTGTCACCTTTGCGGCTGCTCCAAGACAAGACTCAAAGCCTGGAAGTAGATGCGAAGTACAACGACAGATCTTGGCCAAGACGCGAACGAATAGAACCGCTTCCCGCTGACTGTCGCTCCCATATCCCAAGCCAGTTCCAAAACACACAACACGTGAGCTACTTCAGGTTTCACGTACCTTGTCCTACGTGATATTATTGTGATTGCTTTGATAATTCGTCCCCTCGATCAACACGAATCCAAAACTTGAACCTCGCCAGACACCTTTCCAATCCGCCTGGCAGCCCCGAATGTAATCGAGGTTCTAGATGGAGTCTGGATTTTCGCAAAGCAGACCTCAGCTAAACGATCTCAAAGAAGACAGAAAGAAAAGCCTGTGTTGCAAAGACACGAGATAGGTGCGCTCGGTACTTGCAGTACTTCTGGTGGATTGCCGTGCGATTTCGTTGTGTTCTTGGTTCAAGTGAGGAGATCAAGAGCCTGTCACCGTGGTGGTGTATGTGCTTGGTTATTCCCTTGACCTGATGGTCCCTGCTTGGGGCTTTCGGTCACCATTTCTTTGCTTTGGGTTCCGTTGTAGAAGCGAGGGAGGCGAGAAACTGCTGGGCTGCGTTTGCGCCTGTCGTAGGATGACAGAGCATTGACTGGTCGTTGCTTGTCACTTGATGAAAGGATGGAAGAGGTGCGACAGCTCGCGCGATTGTTCAGCAGCATGTGGTTTGAGTAGCTTGTTATAAGTTAAGATGCATGTGTTTGAGAATCGCTTATTCGTGGTATATAACTACTGGCTCATCGCTCATCATCTTGCACACGTGGATCTATGTTCCAAATCAACCCAACATACCTCGGAGGGTCATCAACCCCAGATAGCCACACATGCTCTCACTATATGTACTCAAAACGTGCGTTCGATAATGCAGAGGGTATATTATACGAAGGAAAAACCAGCCTGAACCAAGCCGTAAGAGATAAACATGGAATATGCTGCAAAAGCAATATCGAGCGCGATGCCGAACGTAACGTGGAAGAAAATGCCAGGTAATGGGGCAGGGCGTGCGCCGCGCTATGCACCAGTGAAAGCCGCTCCAAAAGTGGTATGTATTTGAAAGTAAGGGTAAAGTATCCGTAACTTTGCGCAAAGTCGACGGGAATTACAAAGTCGATGATGGGGATCGTCGGCAAGGGTATCGGTATCCAAGTCGGCAATTGAGGGGTTCGCTGAAGGATCCGTGGACCGGTCCGGACTATGCCGCAGACCTACGCCGCAGCGTGGATGGGCGTTGTAGTTTCGCTCGATTCGGGTATTCCGCAAATCGGGCCTCCACATTGTGTCTTGAACGGCCAGTCCACGTTCTCAAACTGTGTGCCATGTTGGCTTTCCCAGTCTTTCCGCCACATCTCATATTTGAGATCCCATCTCTGTTGCAGCCTCTTCCGCCGCGCCTCGATTACTGCGTTGAGGCGCTCCGACTCTTGCGCGTGTTGCCATTCTTCTGCCGCCTTCTCCTTCTCCAATTCTGCGTCCATGTCTGCCAGTTCTGCTTCTTGCTTTTGCATCTTCAGCTTCATTGCGCGTTCTTGCCGCGACCGCAGGACATTAATGGCGCTCTCGTGTTTCCGGGGTAAACTCTGCTGGATCATACGCTGACGATCGAGTTTCTTGAAGTCGTCCTGAGTGACTGTATGCGCAAGGCCTGGATCCGGATTTGATGAGAGGCAATATGCCTCCATGTGTTTCAGCGCAGTCGCCACATTCTGTGTCTCGAGGTCCTGGGCTTTGCGCAGGTTGTCTTCTGCGGTGATCTGGGCGTCCTCGAGGTCCTCGAGCTCAAGGACATGCTGTGTAGCGTAAGCAAATTGAGTGACGTTACGTCGTGCGACTTCGCTTACATGCTCCTTCCGCTCATCCTCGTTGTTTTCGTGTTGAGCTGCAAGCCGCTTTAGCGAGCATTGGTGGTGAGCCTGAAGTGCTTTTCGCTGTTTGTTTTCGAATGCTGCTACCCGATCCAGCTGCTCCTTCTGCTGAGACTTGAAGCTCTTTAGGGCTTCGTTCGCGAGGGAAGAGTTGCCGTTTAGTAGCTGCAGTGAGATACGCCGAGGTGGGGTGTTTGGCACTGATTTCGATACCGCTGGCAGTGATGTCTTTTGGGCTGGTCGAAGCAGATCAATCGACGACATGCCGTTCTCGCTGTAGCCAGAATCTCGTAATGAACCTATTTCCGGTGACCGTACGGCGCCTTCCAGAACAAGAACCGTCTCTTCTTTTGTCAAAACGATCTCGATGGTGGCTCGTCGTAGTGGGATGCCGCAGCAGCTAGGCATCGCCCCCTCCTTCGCCTGCAGGGCCTCCTTAATGTGCGCTCGGATGGCTGAGGTGGATAAAGAGTGGCCGCATTCGAGTTTGGGCCCTCGAGCCTTGCCGTGATGCCTGTGGTGCGAGGGAGACGTGCATGAGCTGCATACTCAGTCAGCCATGTGCTTTCCATACACACCAAGAATGCCTACCTCGAGTCCCTTCTGAACATGGAAAGAAACGATGCACGTTTCCTCCGCGTACTCGTCTTCTGTAACGAAGATGCGCTGGATGACATGGAGTGTGCAGCTGAAAAGGTCGAAGCGGTTGAGTGGCGCTGCTTGAAGTTTGCTGGGAAGTAGTCCATGGTGGATTCAAAGGTAACAGAGGCCCTGGCGAGGGTTGGCGTGATCTGCTGTGGCGGCAGGCGTTTACCATGAGACTGCTCTCTCGAAGTCCTCGAAGGGTCCGTGAAGCCAGTAGACTGCGTCTGGTGCGAGTGAAACGAAAGTGAGCTGCTGTGGGCGCTGCCTACAGTGGTGGTCGACAGGGCTCTCGATATTGCTTGCACAGGGCACAGGAAGCGGTAGGGATCCTCGATGCCGGACTCTCGTGCCAGCAGTACTAACTGCGCGTCGACGTCGTCTTCACTTTGGTTCACTGGCAAGCCGAGTGCGTCCCTCAGGTAGACGGCGTCGTCGAAGATTTGCATGGTGGTGAAGGCATCGTCCCTTCTTGGTTGAGCCATTGCGCCGGAGCGCGCATGCAGTTATGATAATGATGTCAGGATGGACTCGAGCAACATGCGGGTGGGCGTGCGTCGTTAAGGTTTGAGAAGAGTGCTTAGTTTCGGTAGTCTCCAGCTGCAAGGTTCGGGTCACCGCGCATAAAAGAGAGAGATCAGCACAGCGCGGGCACTCTTGATGTGGGCGGTAGGCGCGAGTGGGATGAGGGAAAGCGGCGGTGTGAATGAGTGCCGGCTGCTAAGCGCGCTTCGCCAGATGCCCACGTACATGTACATGTAGTGGACTACCGATTGGGAACCATGTAGATTATGCGCCGACCTGGTGCATTCCTCGCAGCGCGGCCAAGGCCGTCTTTCTGGCCTGGAAACGATGCACCAACCGAATTGAAACACCAACTCGACCGCACCACCCTTCCGTCAGCATCGGCTCTCAGCAGGCCCGGCGCCGCGGTTGCGACACAGCTGCATGTTCCCGCCGAGGTTACGCCTCACTTGATAGAGACATTCTCCCTTCATCATCACGACACACAAGATCAGCGTCCGGACTTTTCTCACCCAACATTGCAGCTCCAGCCCGCTCCTTCCCTCGCACTGCCAGTCCCCCACAACACCCTGCATATATTGCCTCCGCCCGGTGTTTCCTCCCGAACATCCCCGATCACCGCACTGCCAGCAAACAAAGCACACACACCGAAGCCTATCTCGTGATATCTACACCGGCCAACCACGGTTCCGATGTATTTGACCTTTTGCTAGTCGCCAGTCGCTGGAAGTGTTTAGGCTTCACCGCCTGCTAGTGCACCAGAGCTCGATGACGCTAATCAGACGGATTCACGCCGGAGTCCTGTCAATGTCCGTCCAGGCGGGAACCCGTGACGATGCATGGAACGGACCTCCAGTTCAGTGATTTAGTCGCATTTGATGTAGCCAGTTGGCGTGTAGAGATGGAGAAGTGGGGGTCACTTGTAGCTCACGATTCGATGGATTGTGGAAGACTAGTCTGCGAAGGGAATTGTTGCTGGCTGAAGGAGGATGTGAAGGGACGTCGACCTCGTTGCCTTTGGTCCTACTTTTGCTGGTGCATCGGCCAGCGTCTGCACCTCAGCGTGACAGCGAAGGCTATGTCGTGGTAGCTTCCAACTGCCACTCGCCTTCAGAAATATCTAGATCGAGCATCACCGCTGCAACGGACCGTTTGTGTTCATCAAATCCGCGGTGCAAGGGAGCAGGATGTGACGCAGCATCGGCTCTGAGATAGTACAGGAACCGCTGTTTGTGTGACGTGGTCCCCGTTCATATGGTACTTCGCCGACTTGTGCTTCAAGACAGCAACACTGCACGGCAAGGCATGTCCAAAATATGTCTATTTGCAGCCTGGAATGATTGCCAGCGTGAGCTTGAAGGAATTCACACTGTTGCTGCGCGCTGAATCTTGGAGCATCACAGTGATGTGCTATGTGTACACATTCGATACCGCTCGCAATGATGCTATTTTCAAGCTTTCTGTACGACATCCCACCCACATCGTATCGCATCGGTACCTGCTTAGTGACTCCGCATGTTGTACATCATGCAGCCAAGCGCTCATGCAGGGCGAGCGTCACTCCACCACCGGAGGAAGGTCTGTGTGTCTGGACAGACTCGTCTCGCATCCGTGACACGAAAGCTTGTTTGCAGCATCCCCACCACGGGCGGAGAGTTGCGAAATCTGCTCGAAATTGGAATGAAGATCTATTACAAAGACTAGTGGCTCGGGATATGTCGTTCCGGAATTTCTGTACGAAAAGTGTGCGCAGGGCGAGGAGATGTAGAAATACAACGTAGATGTGCAAGATACAGTGCGGTATGCAACGAGCGCGAGTCATCGCAGCAGATGAAAGCCAGCCCAGTCTATGCTGGTGTCGATGCGTCCTGTCTTCCTGAACGCCGGGGATTATGCAAAGAATACATCAAGCAACATGGAAAGCATCTATCCCGAGATGAGTACCCACAAAAGGAAAACTGCAATACGTTAGTCCGGAGGGTTGACAGGAGGAGCGAGCATAGACTCACATATCATCAGAACACCAAACATCTTTGCAACAAGCCACCTGTTGCCTTGCACGCGGCTCCAGTACTTCATCAACTCGCGCTGCGCACCCTCGACGTTGTCCACCACATCCTCAGTGTTGGCATCAATGCGCTGGATCTGCTCGCCCTGCTCGGACACCATCTGCGCCAGTTGACTGAAGATACCACCGAGCTCTTGGATCGTGGACTCGATCGACTCTATCGCTTGTCCTCGCTGTTGGATGTATGCGTTCTGTGGTTGTGCCTCCTCCATGAGCAGCAATTGTGCGTCTGACTGGGGCCCACCGCGTGTGAGAGCAGACGATCCCGACGGCTCGAGGGAGAGCAAGTCTTGCTGTGCAGCGTTTGTGTTCTTGAAGCCGCCTGGAGAGCGGCCTCGTTGCGGCGTCTGGTACAACGGAGAGTCGGTCCGGCCAGGGTCAAGGGTAGATGATGATTGCGCAGTTGAGAGGAATTGTTCTGTGCGTGAGCGCGATGCCTGCATGTTCTTCGTCCGCACCTCCAGTACATCCTTGAAGTTTGTGCCCACGTTCTGCAGCTTGTCCTTCAGCAGCAGAACCACGTTGCTATTGTGCTCCCCCTCTTGGTCCACGCCTGGTTTCGCCTTAGGGTGCAACTTCGCGTTCATTTGCTGCAGGTTCTGGACCTGTCCAGAGAGCGCTGTCATGTCTTGCTTGATTACGAAGGTAAGCTCGTCGAACTCTACTGGCCGGTCGTCGAACAGCGTCTTGCGCCTTGCGAGTTGTGACAGGCGCTCCAACTTCTGCATTGTGCTTGCGACTCCTCGTGCGACTTCAGCGGCATTGCGCGCGAACTCTGAGCGTTGTCGTTGCGGCGAGGGGTTTGCCTGGGCCTTCTCCTGGGCTGTTAGGAGCGACTGGCGCTGGGCTCCGGTCTTCGACTGCGCCTGTCGTCGCTGAGCCTGGGCGAGAATCGAGCGGAACTCATCGGTTCGGTCCTGGATCGAGACGGCCATAGCAGCGGTGTTGTGCGCAGATGTGAATCGTTGTCCTCGAGTACCCGTAGATGATGATGTTGTGGAGTGCCGCTTCTGGATGTGTAAAGGGGCAGTGGTGTGCTGCACTTCGGAGCCTCTGGAAGGCCTTGGCGGCGTTACGGGGCGTTTGGAGAGGTGAGATATGTGGAATATCGGGTGTTGCGACGTTTGGTGGAGAAGTGTTCGAATAAGGACCGTTGAGGCCCTTCCGCGGTCCAGTTCCCCCAACGTGGACACCACCCTGGCCCGTGAAGTGAAGTGGCGCAGGTGGCGCTTGCGTACTCACGAACATCGCCCTTTCAGCGAGCAAGGGAACTGCTGACACTGAGGGTCGCAGTGAAGAACATGAACATGCAATCGAATGTCAAGCTGTGTAGCTTCAGAATTCCTGCATAATCGTGGCTTCCCACCATTTCGCGCGTCGAACATCTCCAAGACTTGCATTGACGGCGCAGATCTCTATGGTCAATGTGTACTGTGTGGCCGCTGCCCAGCCACGCGGAGGGCCGGCTGATGGTGAACTGGGAAACGACAGATGCATTTCCTAGCAGCTGAAGTTTGAATCAGGATCTCGCTAGCCTCCTGTCTCCTCTTTCCTGACAGTCACGTTCCTGATCCTTTCTTCCAATTCCTGTTTGAGCCTGAGGCGCATTTGGTGTGCTGACGTATCGTATCCGGCGCCATCGGCCCTGCATGGTTCCTTGAAGCCTGACTTGAGCTCCACCTCCGCTGCCCATACGTCCACTCATCTCCACGCTCTTTTGCGCAGGAAGCGGGCACCGCAAGCTTCCCAGGTGCCGTTACTCAGACGGCATACGGCCATTCGCATGCGCTGCACCATTTGGTGGTAACAGGGCACCAGCCCCCTAAGGCGAACAAGGAGGCTCCTCGGCTTCTGCAGGGACTGCAGCCCCGAGGCCAATATGTCAGGCCCATTTCGCTTCAACCAGCAGTCGGCCCAGTCGCCACTGTATGTAGACTCCAGACAGTATGGGATCCATCATGAACTGACGATGACGCAGGGAGCGAGCCGCATCTCCCTTCTCTGCTGGTGGACAACCAGTGTCGTATAAGACTAATGTTAATCGCGCCAAGACGAAGAAGTGGGTGGAGGCGAAGAAGAACGCATATGATGGCGATGACTGGGGCGACTACGACGAATACGACGAGTATGGGGTAGACACAACCCCTCCCCCGGAACCCGCACCGCTTTCGAACCCGCGGTACCACGGCCAGCGACCTCCATATGACGCGCCGTCGCGGAGTTTCACAGACCCCTCACAGCAAGCGCCGCTCCCTAGAGCACGCAAGAACTCGTTTGACGCCGGCGAAGAGCAGCGATCCTTCTCAGCTTCTATACCCCACCCCCAGCAGCAGGGCTATGCACAGCAACCACAGGACGTGCAGCCGCCGCCGCTCCAGACAAGCGGTATGGGGCGTGAGATCACAGACAGCTCACCCCAGAACCGGGACTTCAGCCCGTCTGCTATGCCTCAACCGCTGCAGACACGTCTTTCGACTGGTCCTGCTGATGTGCAGAGCCCCCCGGCGACCACCCAGTTCCCTCCGCGCAAGAGCAGCATAGGACAAGGCAACGCGCCGCCTGGGCCAATTGACTTCATCCCAATTGATACGTCACCTCGAGAGCGTACTGGCAGCCAAGACAAGCCCCTGCCCTTCATCAGGCCGGCGGACATCTACAAGAGGGTGGAAGAGGAGCGCAGACGAGAGTCAATGGAGTCACAGTCGCGACCTAGCCTGGACTCGCTTTCAGCTCGCCCAAAAGACGATCCGACGTCACCAACATCACCAACTGCAGACCGGAGGAACTTGCAGCCTCTCGAGACGGTTGCTGAGCGAAAGAGTGAATATCTGCCAGACCTGAATGTTGGACAACAACAAGATGGCAAAGACGACCCACAACGACCGCAACACGATCGAGTTCCATCTGCGCTCAAAGGCATTGAGACCTTCGACAACGACTTCTGGTCCAGCGGCCCGGACCTGCAGGCACCTGCCAGCCACGCGCCTGTTGTGTCACCTCCCCAGGATCAAGGTTTCCGTTCAGTAGTCGACCAGGCTTTCACTCGCAGCGACGACCAGCGCTCAGTGCCGCCCACACCCATATCAAAGGACTCTGACTCCGACCTGAACAGGAGTAACACTGGCAGCACATCTGGGATCAGTCCTATCATGAGTCGTGTGCCCAGTTCGGCAACGGCAGCTTTGAAGAATCGCGGCCTTGGCGATGGTAGCACACCCGTGATTGCAGAAGAGCCACATGAGGCAGGGACCACAGTCTCCAGGCCAACCTCCGATAACTTACCTCAGGCAGTGCATTCTCTTCAAGGCCATACGCGCAACGTATCTAGCACCTCTCTTCCACGCAGCGGTTTGGCGACACCGACTCGAGGTGACAGCCCTGCACGCTCGCCCGCGTTTGGCCCGCAAACGACCTTGCCAGAACCGGAAACTGCTCAGATTGCGACGGACAGTTCTAATTCACCGGATGCTATGGAAGGTGGTCTAAGCGGCCCTCACTCTGCCTACGCTACACGTGAAGCAGACATCGCAACAGCCATGTTGAGCAGTCCAGTGCGAGCAGCCCCCGAGCTCGGCGCTGCAGAGAAGCAACTGCAAGACGCATTCCTCGAGTCACACAATGCGCAATCACCCATCAGCGACGCACTATCACGAGACCGCTCAGAGTCACCAAGCAAAGGTCGTGTACAGGCGCTGGCTGGCAAGTTTGGTGAAGTCTCGCACTCGAGGCGTGGTTCGACTCAGTCCAACATCTCCAGGAACAGCGTGCAGTCATGGGAGCGAAGTCCAGATAACTCACGTGCGCCTTCACCGACAAAAGGGAGCCCAGGGAAACCTGGTAGCCCGAAGAAAGAGTTCAGACCACACTTGCCTGGTGGATGGGAGTCGTACGCTATCACGACACCGGCACCTCTTGATCGATCCGAGACAGAGAGAGGACTGGGTGTGGAGAGGAACCCAGGCCCGTCAGCACTTGCTCAGGTTGACCTTACTGAACCAGATCGAGGCCGGGGTGTAGAAATGGACAACGCTTCGTCAGCCCTTGCAGATGTCGACCTCACGCCGACAACACAGAAACGTCAGGTTACTGAGGTTGAGCAGCCTACTTTCGACCCAATCTCGGCGCTCAAGGATGCTGGAGCTGCCATGACCGAGTCTTTGCGTACAACGGTCGGGTTGGGTGGTTCGACAGAGGCTGGCCAGGAGCAGGGCCGCCGTTCTCACGGCGATGTGTACATGTCTCGCCCATTACGCATGGATCGTTCAGAATCTGCGGTATCAAGCATACCACCGACACCACCAGCGAAAGACACACCCGCGTCGGAGTTCCTACCAACGCCGCCTCTGAAGGAGCATACCCCGGAACCTCTCGCCAGACCTGAGCGGCCAACTATGGCTCCGCAGCTTAGCACTGATCCTTCAGCTGATGATCAAGAGAGCGACCGTCTACGCAAGGAAATTGTCGCAAGTTTGAGCCCGTTGCGAATGTCCACGGTCTCGTCTTCTGATCTGGATCACAACACGCTTCCCCCAGGAAGCAAGGACGCCAATCGTGCTAGCTCGATCCTCGACAGCTATTACGCCGAATTGGACAGAGATTCGCCAAGAACCTCAAACGATCTGAACAGAGACATTCCGGAGCTGGCACCGTTGAAATCAGCATCTTCAGCACACTCTGCGACACCCCAGAAGCCGGCAGGCCTTAACCGATTCAGTTGGGAGGCTAACAGCCCCCACATGACACCTGAGAAGCAGTCCCAAGCTGCGGCTGTTCCAGAGCCTACAAAGACGGTTCAGGCAGAAAAGAGTACTTTTCCAACGATCGAGCGAGAAGTAGAAGAGGAACAGCAGCAGTGGAACGAGGGCATCCCCGAGGATCCATACTTTGGGCCGGGTCATACTTTTACTGTAACAAAACCAGAGCCTATGACGGAGGCGGAGCTTGCAACCCGGGCTCCTACTCCTCCATTGGACACTGGCTCGTCTCTGACCAGCCCACCTACACGCGAACAAACTAGGTCACCCGGACTTCACATCGTTAACTCCGCGCTGGATCCTGAAGCTGTTGATCTACCCCCTCGCTGGAGCGCAGAACACTCTCCTCAGCCACCAAAGGAGGTTGAGAAGGAGATTGAAAAGGATTCTCTGCCACCACAGCAGCTCAAGGAACAGCAACAGCAAGAGACGAACCCAGCAGTCTCCGCTCACACAGCGTTGACTGGTTCTATCGAAGCACCTGAATCGTCTGCAATACACGAACCCGAGACTAAGTCGCCAACGTCACCTAGGTCTCCAACGTCAGACAAGCCTCTAGGAGCTCGAGAGATTGCGACCATTGGCTCGACTGCTGAGCGTATCGCTACTTACAATAAGACTCGCGACCAATGGGCTACTACTGACCATGGGCTTAGTGACTGGATCACTGCCACTTTCGAGGCAGACCCAAGCCTTGCCACGCAGAGTGCGCAACCTCCTCCTCAGCCAAGACCACAGTCAGGAACTTTTCGTCATAAGCACACTGGATCTCTCGCTATGCTCGGCAAGTTCACGGGTTCGAGCAACAGCCAGCCTTCAGGTAGCGCATACTATGAGCAGTACAACTCGACAGCTGCGCACGTTCCTGCCTTGTCGAACTCTCCAACTGCAGGACCGTCTAAGACCTCTTCAGGCTTCCTAGGCCGGACTGCAAGCCACTCGATCCAGACCCAACAAATGCAAGCTAAGGGCAAAGATCTGCTACACACTGCTGGTGTGCTGAGTGGCAAGGGCATGACCAGCGCCAAAGGCTTGTTTGCCAAGGGCAAGAGCCGGTTCAACCGTGATAAGGTAGAGAAATAATCTTCTTCTTGTCCACCTTCATTCACCCTTGAGGCGATGACACGATTGCACAACAACCATTGTCTTTTTTGTCCCCCCAACAAAAGGATTGCGACATGTAGCTGGATAAAGTTGGATAGAGAGTCCTTGATTTTGAATATTGCGATCTTAATGGGCGTTTTCGATATCATGATTTTGTTCTAGGCGTACGACATGTCCGGTTCTGTTTGTATGGTGTGTCACTTCCTTTCTCGGGTAGTCATAATGATCGAAATGTTAACCCTAGTTCTTCTTACACCCACAGTCCAAGTGCTGATTGCTATGTGACGTAGGACTTGGCGCACTCTCACAAAGCTTCCAGAGAGCTTGAGTCGGTGTCGACCCCGATCACGATTGAACATACCATGATCCCATCTTTTACGACCACCGACAATCCTGAGGAAACGAAGAGACGACGCCGCTTCTCATCACCATTTCGTCGCTCAAGATCTCGACCAAGATCAGTCAGTGCAACTTTCCCTAGCACTACCTTGCTGGTGTCCAGTACATCGTTAACTGCAACTCCAAACGACATACCAGACATACCGAAAGCTTTCCAAGGCCGCCCGCACTCGTACCACGCCCCTGATCTGGGCATGCACCCTGCATACCGAGGCTCGACCGACCAATTGACTCCGACGTCTCCATCACACGAACGGGGTCGCACAAATGTACAAGCTTCGCTAGCGAGGTCAAGCTTTGTAACGGAGACAGAGGTTCGAGACGATACTGTGCCCCCAGTACCTTCTATACCGACCGGCATTGATAATGAACGGCAAGGGCGACGCAGTCGAAGTTGGGGAAATGCAGGCCTGATGCTTCAGTCTGCCATACGACACACAAGACCACCAGCCAAAAGCTCGAGAAGCCTAGGGGCCAGTCCGATCATCACCCAATTCGACGTCCCTGATAGAACAGGCGAGCCTGCGCCACATGCCACTGAGGTCTCACCTCGCGGACCCTGGAATGACGATGAACATGGCAAGAACGACTCACCACGGACCAGGCACAGCTCACCAATCACGAAGGGGCTGTGGATGGGCGACACTTCTCCAGTTCTCTCGAAGCGCACGCCGACAAAAGCTGATGAGACGGAGGACGATGGATTTCATCAGCCAGTGCTACCAAAAGACACTGATGGCACGTTGGCACCAGCAGACTTAGTTCAGCTCTCTAAGCATCACGACGAACCAATCGATACCCCACCGAAGAAACTAAGCAAGAAGCTCGAAGGTGAAATCCTATTTGACACAACAAAGCAGTCACCAACAAAGTCACCTTCTTGTCTAGTAGAGGGATCCCAAATTCCGGGGCCAGGAACACTACTCAGCACTACCAAGAGCAACGATAGCAGCAACGATCGAGTTGGAGTCAAAGAAGAAGCTCCTTTGCCGCAAGAGTTTGTGATGCAACTCTCGGGCGAGATCAGTCCTTTACTCCACTCATCGAAGGCCTCGTTGCGCGAAGTCTCTGATGACGAAGGCGAAGTGTTGAGTCCTGCTGGAGCAGGCCTTACTGGCGACCAGATCGAGCAACGGTTGAAATGGGAGACCGAGGTGATTGGTGGTGATGTCTCTGACGATGAGGAGAACGTGTTAGGTCTGAGGGATCAGCGGCAATCTAATCTTTCGCACACGGTTGTCACAGACAAGGATGATGAGCAAGCTGGACGCAAAGCTCAAACTTTTGGTGCCACCACTATCTTCGACGAGGATGATAGACCTTTGAAGTCCTCCAGCCCTGAGGCCGGCTCTTCGCATATGATCACCAGAATCCGACAAAGTAATCAAGCAAACTACGAGACGAAGACAATCGGCGTTGGCAACGTGTCTCCGACAAGCGATCATGCAGGGCCCTCTTCGACTAGGAGAGCATCCACTCAAGCACTTGCTATGCAGTCTGCACTTGAAAGCAAAGTAATCGGGACCGGCGATGTATCACCAGTATCAACACGATCATCTGTCCTCGTCGCCTCACCGTCGAAAGTGTTTAAGGACAACGATCGCGAAATTGAGCATGTTGAGGAACCCACAACATCCAGCATCGAGAGGTTTTATACTGCTGGCGTTAGTTTTGATCTCGAGCCTGCGAGAAGCAAGCCATTGGAATCAGATGCAGGCGAAGACGTGGGGGAACGGCCTCGTATTGAGAGATTTGAGACAGCGCAGGAAGGCGTACAGGGGTCAAGCGAGCTGACAATCCCAAAAGTCAGGCACCCAGCAAGTCGTTATGCGACTGTCCTGGCTTCTGAACCTGTCGTGTCGTACAAAGAGTACACCGGAAGCTCGTCAAGTTCGAGCGTCGACATGCTCGAGGCGATCATACCTCAGGCACCAAGCGGCGCTCTGACCCCGCAGCGAGCTGAGCGGGCTGACATGCCCCAAGCCGCGACGCGTCGAGTCTCGGCTTCTCAACTGCAAGTCGTCCACGCCGTTGAAGAGTATGCTGCATCTAATTCGTCTCTTGCATCATGGGATCAGGACAGTAACGCCGCTGATGCGATCTCCGAGCCGGGCGCGGTCGTCGAGATGATGGACGAGAGCGACCTCGTTACTCCTGTGGCGCAGGTGCCAAGGAACGCTGCTCATCATGGACAGCAGGCTGACCAGGCTGGAAACTTCAAGAACAATTCATCCTACGCGGCCTCCAATGGATACTTCAACGAACAGTCGGTGTCCGATTCCGTGCATCAAGGACAGCAGAACCCGGTCTCGACGTCTAATATGACGGTTCCTGAGCGCTCAAAGTCACTACTATCCATCATATCTTCAGCTGTCTCGAGTACCCCAATATCTCCGGCATCAAGCAACGCAGGAAGATCAACCCCCTCGACAATACACCGGATGCAGCGCGACTTTTCCAACGCCAAGAGGACCAACCTCATGGAAGTACAGATCCCGGAGGAGCCCACGTCAGCCAAAGACGACCAAACACCAACAGCCAGGCATGAGGACTATGATCTGTATGCCGATCACAACGGTGTGGTCAAGGATGTACGCGATAACAACGGTCAACCCCTGCGCCTCGCAAGCACATCGAGTGCTGCTCCTACGCAGCTTGCACGAACGACAACTGGAGCCTCTTCTATTGCAACGGCACCGGATGTGCAAGACTCGCCTGGCCGGAGGTACAGTTTCGAACGTCCGATGAGTTTCATCTCTGGACCTCAGGATGATGATGGAAGGCCCCAAGATCAAATCAACCAACCCTTGGCAGGCTCAATAGCCGCGCCCCCAATTCCACCTCAGTCAAAGCGAAGATCGCAGCAGTACCCTCGCACCACTTCTGGAGCTATCTACTCGAATTTTGAACCAGTACAAGATACCCATTGGCCACCTGGTGAGGTGACTTCGCAGCCGCCAGTCCAATCTGTGCAGCCACCAGTGCACGAACCTGCGCCTGCAAAGGTTGTTCGCCAGCCTACACGCTTCGTCCCTCACACCCATGAGGACGAAGATGAAGATGAGGAACCTGCGCAACAAACACCAAACCTCCCACCACAGCGAACACCGCCGTCAATTCCGTCAGAGAGGCTAGTCGCTGACGGACAACCACCACCCAATGGTATCCCTCAAGACCAACATGCGCAGGACCCTCGCGTAGCGCAGAACCCTAATATTCAGTGTAGGAGTGTGTCTGCTCCTTTGCAGCGAATCTCAATGCCTGGTCACGACCCTCGTGTTATTAGCCAACCGCTTGGATCGCCTCCTGCAGGACCTTCGATGGGGCCAAGAAATGAGTTTGAGTACCAGCAACAGATGATGCAGCTTCAGGCGAAGTACCCTCGTTTCCGCGGTGCAGAGAGTCAGGCTCTCAACGTGCAACAACCGAGCCCAACTCAACAAGGTTTCCAAGCCCATGAGAAGTCATCTTCAAAGCCAAGGTTAGCAGCAGCCATGAAAGGCATTGTCGGCGGAACTTCGCCGAATGCGCCAAACGTTTCTAATGCACCACTCGCGCCTTCAAGCCTGGCTCCTACTGCGCCACCAACTGAAGCCAGTAGAGCCGAATCTTTTGTTTCTGCAGTCAGCAGTATGTCGCGTGAGCCGACTACATCAACTCCTGGAGGACAGCCTGGCATCGTTGCAGGCCCGCAAAGTCCTCCCAGTCTCGGTGCGGAGTCGCACTACAGTCATGTCAGTCAAGGCTCGACGCAAGTGCAGCCAGCACAGTCTCGACATGACCTCACCATGCCAGCTATACCCGCTCAATATCAAAGTTTTCACCCACAGCAACAACAACATTCGCAACTTGCGCCGCCGCAGCAAAGCGGACAGTCACAAGGCTACCGTGCTTCTACGAGCGCTATACCAGACGCCGGAAAGAAGAAAAGGTTCTCGGCGTTCACTGGCCTCTTTGGCAAGGGCACTGCAGCTGCGGAGCTACAGGGGAAGTTCAAGATGTCAAGAGAAGAGAAGAAAGCACAGAAGGCTCAGAGGCATACCAGTCAACCTGTCTTGCAGTCTCCGCCGACCAAACAATGGCCTCCGCCAAACATGCAGTTTATTGCCCCTCAGCAGCCTAACAATCCACCCGGCCAAGGCCTTCCTCCAGCTGGACATGCAGCACAAGCTGTAGATCCACGGTTTATGCCCTCCCATGGAGCGCCGCATCTGCACCCACAGGGCGCGTCGGGTATGCACCAACCGCAAGGCTTACCCCAAACGCATGCCCAGCCGCAACTGCAGCCACAGATGCAGCAAGGATACCCACCGCAGCAGCAAAGACCAATTGCGCAACCAGATGAAGGCTCTGCATATCTGAGGACAAAGCAAATGGCTGAAGAGCACCAAGCAAGGCAAACAGCTGGTCAACCACCGCGACCAGTGTATGGGAATCCCACCTCAGTAGGCTCCGTCCCGCGACCATCAAGCGAACAACCTCACCAACCGGCTCGACAGTCATTCCAGAGGCCGCCACCATCCAATGGATACTACTACCCAGAGAAACCTCCGCCAGAGCAGGGCGCCTATATGTCTTCTCAGGAGGAGCAACAACAACGGGCTTTGCAATTGAGACAGCAGCAGCAGCTTGAAGCAGAAAGACGACTTAATGGTGGACTTCCACCGTCTCCAGGGGAGCAAGGAGCGTATGGCGCATCTGCAGCTTCACGTCAACAGGCGCAGCAACAACAGCGACCACCTTCAATGGAACAGGGAGCATACGGCGCTTCGCAAGTTGCACGTCAGCAAGCACTGCAGCAGCGACAGAAACCCGGCTTCGAGCAAGGAGCTTATGGAGCTACACATGAGGAAAGACAACGCTTACAACAACAAGGCAACTACCCTCTTCCTGGCCCGGAGGCTTTTGGACGCTCTCAAATCCATTATGATCAGATACAACAGCATGGTCCGCCGCAGCGTACGCATGTCCCGCCACAACACGAGCGTCAACAGATACCGCAGAATCACCACCAGCCAGCTATGACAAGAGAAGAACATATGAAGCAAGCTGAACATGAGCTAGCACAACACAGGTGGCAGCAGCAGCAGACTCAACTCCGGGAATCCCACTTGCAACAGCAAGCTCAGCTCGCTCAACAGCAGGCTGCCAATCGAAGTGTTTCTGGACCACTTTTGAACCAGGCTTCGCCTCCTGCATCGCCGGTTGGGCAACGACATGTAAGCTCGCCTGTAGTTGAACCTCAGTACGATACACCTCCAATTCCCGGGGCGTATGGTCATGTACAAGGCGTCTTCGTCTCCCCTCTTGACCAGCCGCACGCCTACACAACACCGCACGATCAATTTCGTCGACAGGAGTCAGATCCTCATATGCAACCGATTTCGCCTCAAGTGTCTGCGCCTAATGCTCGCCATCACTCGGATGCCAGTAGCGTGTCGGTGGTCTCACCTATCTCTGGACCTACACCGGAGCCTTCTGCAACGGGACAAGCAGCTGATCAACGTCTACAGAAGCCTAGGATGCCCAGCATATCCGAAGTACACCAGCAAGCACCACCTCAAGAACGACCGTGGCACATGAATTTCCCGGCAGGTACTACTGAACAAGACATCGTTCGAGCTCGTCAAAAGCAATTCTTCCAGCAGCAGTTTGCTTCCCAGCAGCAGGCGCAGGCAGAAAGGCATGCGTCGTCACCATCCCCACGTGTGTCGCCCGATAAACAGTCGCCGCCATTCTCCGCACCTTTCCAGCAGTCTCAAGAACAGGGTGGCGGGTTTAGAGAGGTGTTGCCGCGAAAGTCTCCACAGCCATATGCAGCGCCGCAATCCGCACCACTCGATCGTCGTAGTCCACGATCCTCACAACAGACACCATCACATCCCAATGAAAGCGCAGGGTGGCCCCTCCATTCGTCACCCGGTCTAGCAGGCCCGCAACCGCCTACGAACGAACCTCACACTCCAAGACACCCTGAAGACTTCGACCAACGGCCGTCACATGTCGAAGATCCACGGCATACTGCCTATGATCACCGGCGATACGAGCCAACGCCGCCAAACGAAAGCCAGCGTGTACCTCCACCCAACCAGCAACCCCAGTATGATGAAAACGTCCCCGACGAGGCACCTCCATCGTACGATGGCCCTGGCGTGCCTAACGACGGAATGGAGAAGAGCAACCCAGATCGTCCTCGACCACCGAACATCATAACGGCACCAACCGATCGAGGTCGCCAACAGGATGGCCGACCGCGCCAGGCTTCCCTCGGGCTCATGCAACATCCTCAACCTGCGTCCATGGCCGCGTCGCCTCAACGCACAGCACCAGACATGGGCGCCGAGTCGCTTCGCCGCCAAATGCTCCAACAAGAAGAGCACGCCCGCATGGAGCGCATTCAGCGCTCGCAAATGCAGGCTGTCCAGCGACAGCGCGAACAGCAAGAACGCGACGCTGCTCGTGCACGGGCACAGGAGCTCGAGCGCAGTGTTTCTGGTGGCGGCAGGGTCGGCAGTCTCCGGAGTGTCCGTGGCAGTCACAACGGTGGCACACCTGGATGGGAAAGGCGAGGGTTGCAGGGCGGTAGTAGTCGCCCTGTGTTTGAGTTGCCTGCGGTAGAAGACGAGGAGCCTGTTATGCGGGCTACTAGTTTTCCGGGGCAGGAGTGGGTGCCACCCATGTATGTCGATGATTGAGTGTTCAGCACAGACTATCTACACACGCATGACTTGCTGATATTCTTACTCACTTGTATAGAAAGATTTGAGATTTTGGTTTCTCGGATCTTAGCGACGCATCACGCTTTGGCATTTTGATTGGATACCCCTCCTTTCCGTACACATCTATATTGCATTCTTATCAGTTCAACGTACATGTAGCAACGTTTTGTATAGATCTCTTTGGTCGAAATTCATAATACATGCATTCGTATCTCGACGTACTGCTTTTGCTTTGTCGTTGCCTTCTCTGTTTACAGTTCGTGTCACTTGAACCCTTTAATCGTTGAACCATGGTTCAAAGCAGGCTGCTGGCCATAGTTCCAACATCGAGCCTTCTTCAGTTCGCTCATGTTGCACCATACAGTTTTGGGGATGACTCAAGACCCACCGGAATAACGACTGTTGGTGAAAAGCTGTGTGGTTCTGTACACAACTGCCTGCACCGACCCATGGGACTCGTCCCATTCGATAAAAAACAGTGAAAGGCATACATTTTTCTCGGATACATGTATTTCTTCCTTTCTCGTCTTTTCTCATCCATCACTCTCCACTGAAAAACTTACTTCCACCCTCGCAATACTTCCACGAATATCTCCACGAGCACACATCAAAATGTCCAACGTCACCTCTACACTGGCTAAGCGCTTCAGCGCCCGCACCATTCCCCTACCAGTCATATCCACGCAGTACGCTGTATTCTCCAAGCCCATTGATGTCGACGCCATCAAGCAGCGTGCGACGGACTGGGAACCTACAATCGATTTCACGGACCTCAAGATGAGAAGCACAGATCAAGGTTGCGACGACAACAACGAGCCAGGGCTCGCACACATGGTCACGTACAGTACCTCTGATCCTGGGGCCAGCTCTCCACTGCTGCTGAGCAGCGCACTGCCGATTTCAGTCTCTTCTCTTGCGGGGAATGCGGCGACGACCTCCACCCCGGATCATCACGAGAGGGCTCGACACAACACTGCAATTGCTGGTCTGGAGTTGCGAACGGAGTTGACTATCTCTACCCTGCATCACGCAATCGAAGTTCAGCAAACCACTCCCGCCCCTACCGTGGATGGCACGAAGTTCAAGCCCTGGCCGTACTCACTGCCAAAGCCACTGCAGCCAAAAGGGGGTACGACGTATGATCTGATGTACGGTGAGGGCGTTGGTGTTGGTGATGGACAGGTGGGGAAGATGAGGATTGGGGTGCTGCAGAAGGTGTTGTATGGGGTTCCGGGATCGGGCGAGAAGGAGGGTGATGGCGAGGAGGGGCATGAGGGCAAGGGCAAGGGCAAGGGATTGTGGGAGAAGATTGTGTGTGGGGTGCAGGAGGGGGATGGGAAGGCTGGGTGCTGAGTTGGGCAGTGTTGCTTATTTGTTATATTGCATGCTCTATGAGGCTTGGAAGTGGAGGACCTCCTGGCGTGTATATGCGTCTCGTCTAAGGTCTAGGAACTCGCGCTATTTGTTCGTTTCGAGCTAGAGCATGGATTGTTCTGCCTAGTTACTGAATGCTTTGCTTTGGCCCAGAGGGCTTGACGTTCATGACTTTGTCACTGCTTAAATGTGTAATTTGGAGACTAGCTCACATCCTTTCTACAGTCGCCAAGTTTGCTGTGTGACTAATACCTCGCCTGTTTGTGAGACCGTCGCATTTGGCCTTTGATCTGTTTGTTTTGGTGACACAGTCTCAGTTGCCGTCCAATCATCAAGCGGACGTCGCTAAACACGTGAGCTGCAATGCAACCTGCCTCCTGCTTCAGCCTCAAACCTTGGCTGCTGCCTTCCAATGGGAAGCTCCCGCGTTCTTCATTTCCATGGTTCACTTCATAGCACAACAAACATCCTCTAATATTCTTTCGCTTAACATCCCCGCAAGTATTCATGCGCATTGCGAATAAGATGCGTAGTGAAGCTCAGCCTTATGCAAGGACGACAAAAGGACCGCCCCGCAAGTCGAAGTGAAGGCAGCCTTGTCGTTCTCTGTTCACAATAAAAAGAGCCTGGTCCTCGCCGGCAACACGACTAACACGACGTTCCGCCGTCTACGCTCAACCATCGTTTGTACGACTAAAACCCACCGCAATACCACATCATGAGCGACAGACGGAAAAACGATCACCACCGCCGGTTAGACTCTCCTAGTCGCACCAGGGATGAAGACGCGGATCTCCAGTTCGCCTTGAACCTGTCTGCTGAGCTTAATGGGGATCCGGGTGGACATGCAGAGGCAGCTGCCACCGCAGCGAAGCGGCAAGCTGAATACGACGACGACTTCGACTTCGCTGCACAGATGCAGTTCAACGACGAAGGAGAGACCAAGGCTAACAGTCGTGCATCCTCATACCTTCCAGACGTGAGCACCCCATCTCTCGCAGTCCCACGACCAGGAGCCACCGATAACACGGAAGTCACAACCATCGAGCCAGAGACCTCCGTTGGGAGAACATTCAAGTCACTTGAAGACTTCCAAGACTACCTCAAGGCGAGCCAATGCACTCATTGTGGCGAAAATTTCCTCAAGTGTGAATCAGACGCGAGCAAGTTTTTCCAGGAATGGTACGAAGGAAAAGATGCCCTCTCGTTCCTCAGATGCAGGACCTGCGGGATACCATCCTGCATCGCTTGTCCGTCTACCGCCTATTCTAAGCGATCCCTGGCTATCGTTGGAAGTAAATCAGTATCCTGGTGTTGCGAGAACAGTCGACTGTTATTGATCTGGCTTCTGCTCTGTGGCTTCGACATCTGTTATTGCGAGACCAAGGTCAGGAGCGTGAAGGAGAATGATGCAGCGAAGCAGAAGGCTGAACCACCACCAAAAGTCGAAAGCAAAGGCAAGGGAAAGGCCAAGGTTGGTCAACCAGCTCAATATAGTGGCATCGGTTACGGCGGCAACGACGGGTACCCTGGCTATAGCCTGGGGCTTGATGAGTTCGAGGCAGAGGATTTCGCTGCGCTCCCTGGTGGGTTTTCGGACGTTCTCAAGCAGATGAAACAGAAGACGAGCCGATTCAATGTCAAAGGTCCTGGTAGAACCATCTCCGACCAAAAATCACAAGCCTTTGAAGCTCAACAAGCCATGGACAAGCTGGGAACCACGATTCTCAGCCTATTGCGGCATCTTCTGCCGTCTCTTGACCGCGGTCACTCTTTCGATATGGACCCGCCTGCGATGATTACAGAGATGATTTTGGAGAGTAAAATTTTGGACTATTGTACCGACTTGTTGCGCAACGACTCTCTTGATGATGCCTTTTCACGGAAGACAGTTTACGACGCTCTCTTGGACTTTGTGAAAGTCATCGGTATGCATTACACCACGGCTAGCTTGACAATTTTCACCGGGAAACCCCAGCAGCCGGAGCTGTGCAACTTGCTCACACAAACATACCGCCACGTAGAAGCTTCATCAAGCGGAATTGCTCCATCCATTGCCGATAGTCTGCGCGAACTGAGCAAGCTCAGTGACCTGCTGGTGAAAAATGCCGAGCACCACAAGACTATCTACAGTGCCGGCAGCGATCACGAGCTTCTCTACCTTTGCCGCAAGATCTCGGAATTGTGGAAAAGCCTCTCAGCACACATTCTGACGCCAGATTCTGAAGCCTCGCATACTACTGCGCCGACTATTTCCAGCGGGGAAGTAGCTGCTATCGGTGATGTTACTGATCATCAGATCTGCGCTTCACATGCGTTTGCGACAAAGGCACAAGCGCAGTTCCGCTCAGCCCCTGGTCGTTTCAAATGCTTGGTCTCCGAGATTAATGTTCTGAACACCAGTCTTCCACCCAACATCTTCGTCCGACATGGAGAATCCCGATTGGATGTGATGAAGTGCGTCATCATCGGCCCTGGAGATACTCCGTATGAGAATGGGATCTTTGAATTCGACATCTTCTGTCCCGCGGAGTATCCGAACGTGCCACCGTTAGTCTCCTTCAAAGGAACAGGAGGTGGAGTACATGGGATCAACCCGAACCTTTACGCTGACGGCAAAGTCTGCCTGTCCCTATTGGGCACCTGGTCGGGAGAGCCTTGGAAGCCGGGGGAATCGACACTTCTTCAGGTTCTAGTCTCCCTCCAGGCTATGGTGTTTTGTGAACAGCCATGGTACAATGAACCAGGCAGAGAACGCAGCTATGGCCGCGGCCACGCCAACAGTGCCTCTGAGGCCTACAATGGCAGGCTTCGCGAGCTGACTGTTCGACTAGCAATGCTCGGCTGGTTGGAGAAAGCACCTCGAATCTGGGAAGATGTTGTTGAGCAACACTTCAAAGCCAACGCGGACAAGATCCTGCGTACAGTCATCGAGTGGAGCGGAAAGTCCAGGCCTAACCGACATGTTGCGACTCCCGGATTGCCAGATTACCTGTCAGACTTCCATGTCGAGGGCCGTGAGACTGGCTACCGTGCGATACTACCCGAACTGCACGAACGACTGCAGAGGTATGGTGCAACTGTTGCGCTTCCAGAGTTACAGGAAGAGGATGCCGAACCGCAATCTAAGAAACCGCGTGTTGAGGGTACACAGCCTGAGGGCTCCCAAATATCTACCCTACCACCCGCCCCAGGGCCACTCTCATCGTACTATGGAGTGGATCCTGCCGGCTTTGGCTTCGATGGCGACGAAGACATGAATATCGCCTCGGACATGGATGACTACGACGATTATCTTGCTTCATTCGAAGCACTGCGTGGCGGATACAGAGGCCGTGGGACACATCATCCTGGCTACAGTTTTCTTGGTCGAGGACAAGTGCTCGGCGCAGGGCCGGGTGATCATTCAACAGCGCCGTCAGCTCCATCAGGCGGAGCAGACGGTGGACGTGGTCGTGGTCGTGGCCGTGGCCGTGGCTTCTTCTCCTGGTTTGGCCGCGGGGGAACTATACCTGATCCGGTCGGTCCGCCTAGTTCTCTCCACGGCCTTAGGTATGGTACTTGCAGGAGGCTTGGTGATGGGGACGACAAAACCGATCGCGGCGGTCGCGGGGGAGGCTTTGGACGTGGCGGATCAGGGGGGCGGGGTGGGCGAGGCGGAAGCGGAAGCGGAAGCTCGAAGGCGTGAAGGCCATGGACCTCTTTCGAGTGGCACCGGCTTCTATACGTCCATGAACATTGGGCGTTGCGCAGGACCCAGTGTATTGGTCTCGATACACGATGAAGTCGGACGCGCAAAGCCGAGATTCTCGCATTTGAACAGACAGCAGAGATGGGTGTAGTTTTACATATTGAAGAATCAAACGCAACGAATACGAAGTAGCTAGACCTCCCCCGTGTCCTCTTGTGACATGCTGTAGAATCACAGACGCGTGATGGTGGTCGTTGGCGCGTCAAGTGGGGCATGTGAAGCTGGTGAAGACGCGGGGAACTTGCTCTGCATGAAGGCCCACAGCGCTTGCGAATGACATCAGCCCTGTATTCACCCCCAAGCCTCAGATTAATACTCAGCTCTCACGCGCAGTATTTCCTTTTCCGTGCTGCAAGATGCACATCTCTACTTGCGCAACTACAACGTCATGACCACACTTGTTCGGCGCGAGCCAAGCTCGCCGTGGGCAGCAGGAAGCTCGGTACGTCTCCCTTGCGCTGCCGTGCGCAGTTGTACTCACTTCCGCTTCGATTAATGCAGGCGCTAACTACATATACAAGCTCGAGAGCCTCCCCGAAGAACTACTGCAGCTCATAGTATCCCATTTTAACACCACAGACCTCAAGAGGGCTGCCCTCACCTCCCACACCCTTCACCGCCATGCGACCGACCTTCTCTGGCAGAACGTCTGTTTGGTGGACAAGCGGACGCTGCATATGAATGATTGTACAGATGAATCCTCGAAAGAGCGAGCCCGCGGCGAGTCAGACGAACACGATGATACTCCTATAATCGAAAAGTTGTACATACTGGCTACCAATCCCACGCTGGCCTCGAAGGTCCGAACTCTCACGCACCGCTGCCATCTGCCCACGCCGAATATATTCACCGAGCTCCCACGCATGCACCTTGATGCCGCGAACCTCTCCACCGACACAAAACTCCATAAACTGCTCAGGGTGGCAATTTGCAACTTGGTCAACGTGCACACCCTACGCATTGTATACGGACATTGGCATTTGACAACTGGTCTTATCTCAGGCTTCCTAGACCATAAACGGCCGCGGGTGGTCCCACTGCGAAAGCTATGGCTGGAGTGCTGTGCCTTTGACATAAGAAATTCAAGCTTCCTGGGACCTGCCAGCGACACTGGACTGGAATCCGTCAGGCTACGCCGTCTCAGAGCAGAAGCATGGGATGCTGGGAACAGACATGAAATGGCGTGGCTAGACATGAAGCTTGCTCGTGGAGGTCATTACTACGAGGTGCACAATGGCGCAGGCGCCTGGGTCGGTACGACAGTCGAGTTCTCACAGAAAGATCTGCCAGTTCAGCTCATGGCGCCCACGCCGGGAGCGATGACAGCTGTGGGAAGAGCGTTTGACGAAACGATTTGGAAAGAACTTCCTGGAATCCATGAGTTTGTTGACAGCTTGCCTGCCGATACCGTCCCAAGAACACCTACGGTACCAAAGCGCCCAATGCAATGGTTGTTCCAGTTCTCACAGTCGACGCTGACCCGGCTTGATCTCGATTGGATACTATGGCGCCAACGAGAGCACGATGACAAACGTGATGAATCGAGTGTATTCCTGAAGGGCCTAGCTGCGCTCAGATTCCCACATCTGGTCGCCTTCCAAATGCGCAACGCTGTGCTGCCGCTGACCAAGCTTCCTAACGACGTTTTCCTTTTAGAAGACACATTCCTTACCTTCTTGGAAGAGCATCCTAAGATCAAGTGCCTTGCGTGGCCGCTCGACAAGTTCTACAATCATACCAGGCCTTCAGTCGAGACCCAAAGCAGATGTCGAATACTAATCGCACATCTGGCTATGGTCTTGACCGACCTGCGTCTCGATACATACTACACCGGTAACGGAGAGCCCACGACTGACGACAGCAGTAGTGTTGAAGCCGCCCACCAACGCATCCGGCGCAGGAGATTCATCGTCGAATTCACACCCCACATGCGAAAAGTCAAACAAATCAAACTCGAAGGCGGCATCCCGCGAGACGAAAAGCGCGAAATCCTACGCGCTCTACACTATTGCCCCCTCCAGAAAATCGTTTTCATCGGCGTCTCTTTCCCCGTGGGCAACACCTGGGGCGCCGGCGGCGCGCGCCTGAAAGCCCTCGACGCCGGGCACACTTCAGACTTCGCATGGGACCTCGAAGAAGAAGACAGCGCGGGCATGCTGGCCGCTTACAAGCGGCGCCCTGCGATCCCCTCGCCCTTCACATTCGTCCCAGAATTCGGATGGAGCGCTGAACCTCCGCTCTTGCACACACTCGCCCTGCACCACGCGTCCACGATCCAGGAACTCAAGATCTGCGGCTACAATGGCTGCCCCATCCTCTCGCACCTCACACCGGACACCACGCCACTCCTCGCCCCGCTCCTACAATACCACAGTCTGCGCCAGATCGTGGTCAGTTTCTGGCTGCTGACGTTCTTCGAGGACACGTACCGCGATGTCGAGATTATACAGAGCTGGATGGACACGCGCTCACCCTCCAGCACAGCCCTCGTCATCGTCACGCCCCCGCGCAGCCCGGGAGTCGAACACCCCGTCGACGGCGCCATGATGCCTGCACCGGAACCCAGCGCGCCGCGGCAAGAATTCAATCGCTGGGCCGTAGCACTCAAAACGCGTTTCACGCCCTCCGCGCTCGCGTATAGGGTTGCAAGCGACATTGGCCCGTTTTTGAGCCCCGTGGCGAAGGCCAGAGACGGTGGTGTGAGGGTGCGAGCGAGTTTTTGTCTGGGGGCACGCGAGGAGAGGAGGGTTGCGAATGATATTTTTGATTTGGATATTAGGGTGGGTAGGAATGATCAGGTGTTGGAGTTTGTGGGGCCTAGGGAGGAGGGGGAGAGGGGGAGGTGGTGGGCGAAGATGGAGGGGAGGCAGTGGTTTTGATACTGGCATGTTTATGATACGATGGTTTGAGCGGAGCGATGTGGACTGTTTATAGCTATATATCAGGTACAGAGCCTGCAATGAATTCACGAGTCGGAGATATGGTTTGTACATCGTCGATTTTGGTTGCTGATCTACAGGTATAGGTACATCTATCTAGATAGTGCTTCACAGCTGCGCTTTGGACTGTCGTTGTCTATGCAGAAATCATAACATGAACGCCGGACCATGCAAGAGGTGGGGAAAGGTATACAACGCCTTCCATGCGCGCTTCAAGACAAGAAAAACAAAAGGCTGCGTGCGATGTAGGGGTCTACATGCGGCGGGCCTATGAGTTGACATGACATATCCAACAGACCACCTACTCCACCTTCTTCTCCGGCGGTGGCAGCTTACGACCAGACCACTGCATATCCAAACACGTGAAAGCCATGTGGATCTTCATAATGGAATGGCGATACGTAAAGGCAGGGTATATCGGGAAGACGAAGTGCAACAGGAAACCCATCGGGTGAGCCCACCACCAAGCCGCCGTCTTCACCAGCTTGGTGAGCTGCAGGAAGTAGAACAGCGCAAAAAACAACGTCCAGGAGTGAGTAGACTCAGCAAAGATGGTAGCCTACGTCTGGCACTGCGAAGATATGGGTGATAGTACGGCAGCACTGGAAGACCAAGACGGAGATCAACCAGATATCAGCGGCATTGGCGGCATGTTCTGCGAAGTAGCAAGTACCGTAAAGGTACAGTGCCGGGATGGTGTGGCAGATCATGCCAAGAGCCTTGAGGGACGATGCGGACTTGTTCTTGCAACGATAGTCCCACACAAGGAATCCGATCCAGGCGAATATGACGGTGACGAAGCAGGCCGTGGGCTTGGTCGGCCAGAGGTACGAACCCCCACAGAACATGAGGGCCGGGTAAAGAGCCGCAAGTGTCCATGGCCGGTTGATGCCGACCATGGACGTGATGGACTTGGACTTGACATGCTTGGGCATGGCTGAGGATGGGAGTTGGCTAGGTCCATGCACTGACCGATGGTGCGACGGTGGATTGGATGGATCCATTGTTTGTGGCTTTCCCGAAGAGCTTGTGTAACAGTGTTTGGTGGAGATGGTCGATGCTGTGGCTGTTCGATGATCTCTACAAGCCAGATCGGACGCACTTGATATACGACTGAGGGCGGCCATTGGGCCGGATAGTGAAGCATTGTGTATACTTGAAGTAGCGATGCAGTGAAGCACAAGGAGGATGTTGTTGGAAGTGTATATATAAGGTGGTGAAGAACAAGGGTACGCGTGTCGCAAGTGCGTACTGGACAAGAGACGACGTCCGAAGATTTTGAGGGCACAATATGTATAGAGGATGTCATTTTGTGCACTGTGCTTGCTGTTTGGTTTGATGGAGAAGATAAACGTCGACAAGAAAGGTACATCCGTAGGTAAAAATGCTCAAGAAGAGGCACGAAACGATGGCTGAAAACTGAAGGAAGGTCTAGACTTCTGTCCGAACTTGTTGTTTGGACGCGCTTGCTGTTCGGACGAATTGAGCAAAACGCCAGTCAACAAGGCAATAACGCCCTGGGGCGTAGTAAAGGAACAGACCGAGGAACAAAGCGCAACACCAAACCGCCGTTGACAAGTCTTCTACAATGTAATTTCTCTGTTCATTATTATACACTGTGAACGCAGGACTGTAGCTCTTCCAATCTCAATCCCACACACCTTCCCACAGACTGTCTTCAGGACCCATACCCTTCTCCACCCCCTCAACCTCACACATATCCCTAACCTCCGCCGGCACTTCTCGTATCTCATCAACCCTCGTAGCAAACACAATCCCCAGCCCTGCCTCATTGTGCCACCCAATGTGGCAGTGAAAAGCCCACGCGCCAGGATTGTCGGCGACGAAACGTATCAGCATCCACCCATACGCTTCAATACTGGCTGTATCTCTCCTCAATGGGTTTATGAGGTCGATGCCGTCGTATAGAGAAGGTGTGGAAAAGGGTTGCGGTGCGTACCCCTTCCCTTGCTTGAGGACCCAGAATTTGTAGCCGTGGAGGTGGAAGGGGTGGTTTCCGTCATCCATGTTCTGGATTAGGATGTCGATGGTTCGGATACCGTGGGTTGTGTATACCATCTGCGTCTTTCCGTCAAAGTTGGTCATGTCGAACCCAGCCCCCACAGCGTCTATATCCGTAGCCTTGTTGCTGTCCAGTAACGTGTGCAGAACTGTTCTCGTTGCGTTGCCTCTCCACGAGCTCTCGTTCAAGAACCCACGACTAAGTCTCCAGTTGCCGATCTGGAAACTACTCCTCAAGTAGATAAAATCATCCGCTTTCTCCGGGGCCCTCACAACCTCAACAGGCTGCAGCGTAGTCGTGTTGAGATCGCGACATTCAACCTCGATGATCTCTGGCCAGTCTCTACTTCGCGGCTTCTCCACTTCTCCACCCCCTACTTTCCCACCAGAAACCAGGGACGAAGTATCATACCGCACCACACCCCACACTTCCTCTTCCATCTCCGGATTCTCATAAGCAAAACAATGCGTCACCATCCGTGCTCTCATCCAATACCCCTCACCCTTCGGCTCCGATGGCGGAGAAAGAACGATACTGTACCGCTGCGCGGGGTTAATGTTGAGTCGGTGAATAGCTTGCGGATGCACGTTTGTGCCATCTACTTCCGTGACGCTGAACTCGTGTTCATCTACCTGTAACGAGAACTCTGCGAAGGCGCCGACGTTAATGATGCGTAAGCGTGTGCTCTCATTCGAAGGTAGAGAGAAGAGCGCATTGCTCAAGCCGTGAGTGGAGCAATTCCGACCGGGTAGCGCAGTGCAGTTGCGCACGTTACGGCCGTTGATGTGTGCAGATGGGGGAACGGGCTCATCGTTTTCGGAGCCGGGGGCGAGGTACTGCATCAGCAGCTCGGGCGAGGGATCGTAGTAGTGGTCTGAGAGCAAGACCACGCGGTCTTGCTTGTACTGAACTTCCTGTAGCTCTTTCTCCTGGCGACTGTGTATAACGAGCGGGCCGACCAGGCCGTCTGAGGCTTGCATGGAGACGTGGCTATGGTACCAGTAGGTCCCACTCTGGCCGGTGACGTTGAAGCGGTAGGTGAAAGACTGGCCGGGCGCGATTGGACAATTTGTTATGCCTACTGTGCCATCCATGTGGACTGTGCCATTTTGGTAGAGACCGTGCCAGTGTATGGATGTCGCGTTTGTGGCGCGGTTGTGCACGTGTACGATTACTTCGTCGTGTTCGTTGACTTCGATCAAGGGGCCGGGGAAAGTGGAGTTGATGAGCATCATCGGTCGATATACGCCATCTGGGTTCAGTTCGTGGTCTTGTATGATCCAACTGAATTCTCTCGTAATGGGTGCGGCATTGAAGTCCCAACTTGGATCCAGAATGTAGTCATCTTCTGATCGAAGTTTTGCCTGCGCCGAGGGAACAGCTGTACCACGTTTTCGCGGTCCTCGATACCAATGTACGATAAGCACGAGAGTGCATATCGACAGTAGTAGGACGACACAGCTCTTGGCCCAATATCGCTGTGGTCTTCGAGGTTTTACTAGCTTTTCTGTGAATGTATCTTCCTCATCTTTCGATTCGACGCTTTGCTCGAGATCTTCGTAGTTTTCTCTTAACAACCCGACTTGTTCTTCTTCATTCATCTGGGCGGCTCTTGAAATCTCTTTCATCCTGACAGCCTTGTCTCGATGCATATTTATTGCGACAAAAAATGACCATCCGTGTTAATCCAGCTCTTAGCGTGCTTTTCCTAGCCCTGATGGATGTACCTACTGAAAATTGAAAGGCACTGACAATCACGCATCGTGTTGAAGTCAGCAAAGCACTTCGCAACGACACCCGCCTGCGCCATCCTTAATCTTAACGCCGCCATCTTCCGGTTTTTCCTGTGGCGATGCACAACCGCTGGTTGTTGTCCCACGGAGCCTGTTAAGACCCGTGTGGATCAATCTCTTCGCAGCCCCACCCAGGTATTCCCGAGCCAAGCAGCGCCAATCAGGCACGCACGCTCTGTCATCAAAGCTTGATTACCTTCCCGAAAAGCTTAAGTCACCTGGTTCGGTTCAGGGTCGCTTGACGTTGACAGGTGACGGTTGACACTTGACTGCACACGTTGTTCGCATGGAGGTTGCCATAGGTGGAAGGTGTGGAGCATGGAAAGATGCTGTGCAGAAGGCTAGAGCGGAAATCAATGAATGCGGCGTAAACAATAATATGAGGACTCCTGATCGTGTTGTGCAGTTGTGCTTTTATCTTGTCTGCTGTTGCTGTTGCTGTTGCTGCTGTTGCTGTTGTTGAGCATTTGTCTGTCATTTCTGCTCGTTCGTTGCTGTGAGGGAATCACCGACCTACCGCGCAAAGAACACCTCTTTAGTGTTCAACATGTTCTCCAAAACACTCCTGGCACTGGCTTTGCTAGCTGCTCAGGGTCTTGCGAAGAAGGACTGGGTCAAGGGCAAGGCGTTCGACCGCATCGCAATCATTTGGCTCGAGAACACCGACTATGACCTCGCTATTGGGGATCCCAACTTGGCTGCGCTGGCGAAGAAGGGTATCTCTCTTACCAACAAGTTCGCCGTGACACACCCCTCGATGCCAAATTACGCCGCTGCCGTCTCTGGCGACTACTATGGTATCAACCACGACGACATGATCAATATCCCTTCGAACGTCTCGACTGTTGTTGATCTGTTGGAGGACAAGGGTATTAGCTGGGGAGAGTACCAGGAGGGTAAGTATAGTTTATGTCATTATTAGAGTCATCCTGACAGCAAGTAGACATGCCCTACACCGGCTACCAAGGCTTCGATTATCGCAACCAGACAACCGGCGCGAATATGTACGTGCGCAAGCACAACCCGGCTGTGCTGTACGATTCGGTTGCGCTGAAGCCTGAGAGATTGGCGAACATCAAGAACTTGACGCTTTTCCAGGAGGACCTGAAGAACAATAAACTGCCTCAGTGGATGTTCATCACGCCAAACATGACGAGCGACGGACACGATACCACCGTCACGGTCGCTGGCACGTGGACTCGCAACTTCCTCGAGCCGCTGCTCAACAACAAGAACTTCAGTACGTCTTCACTCTTACCCTTGAGGAAATGTGCTGACAAGGAACAGTGAAAAATACCCTTGTCATCGTAACCTTCGACGAGAACCACTCATACGCTCAGCAGAACCGCATCGTTGGTCTGCTACTCGGCGACGCCATCCCAAAGAAACTCATCGGCACCACAGACGACACCTACTACAACCACTACAGCGAGCTGTCAACTGTGCAAGCCAATTGGGGTCTCCACAACCTAGGGCGATGGGACGTTGGCGCCAATGTATACAAGTTCGTTGCCGAGAAGACTGGTGACGAGCTGCGAAAATGGAGTGGTGCGGTGCCATTCTCACAGATGTTCTTCAACAGCAGCTATGCTGGAAAGCTGAACGATAAGAACACCTCTGTGCCTTGGCCGGTGCCGAACACTCAGGCGAAGCATGCTGGGAGGACTGTGTTGCCGGCTGTTGTGCAGACGTGGGGAAAGCTGTTGAACCAGTCTGCTTATACTAAGGGTGTTGAGATTCCAGATGGCATGCACCCCCAGGCGGAGTTCAAGTGATTCGAACTGGAGGTACAGTTGGAGTGAGCGTTAGCTAGATCGTGAGACTTTGAATATGATTGTTCAGCAAGTCGGCTTCATCAACGTGGACGGTGCCCTGTGCGTCACGTCCTTGATTCTGCAAGGGTGAAGTATCGCCCGTGACTGAGGCGCCGTCTTGCATCTTCGCACTCGAATGTCGTCATCTGGTCTTATCTCAATACTTATTGCGGTCAGTCGCAGGCGAAGGCATGCTTGTGTTGTCGAATCGCAGCATCAAGTGCAGGTACGGTACCAGGTTGAGGTCATCTGCCGAGGCCCCTGGCTGGCTGACGCTGGGAGATGCCGGCAGTTGTTCAGCAGGGCCGAAGTCGCGATCGTTGTTAGGGTGAAGGTGGTGGAGCAGTTGACGGCGTGTCATCTCCGAATAGGCAGCGAAGCCCCGGATTTCAGCTGATATTGGTAGTCGATCGTCAGCCCTTGTTGCCGAGGCGCAACATGTCATTGCGCTAGAGGCCGATATGGCCGCCGCCGGCAAATTGGTGGATAACATGGTGTTGAGGATGAGGACAAATGAACGTGTTCAGCAAGCTGAGACCTCTGGCGGTTTTCGTCTCGAGATCCATGCTGATCTTTGGTGTCTTGCTGCTGCTCTTCGCTGCACCAGGCGGAGAAGATGCCAATTGTAGATGCAGCTTGGTGGGTGGTCGCGGGCCCTTTCTGTCTACGTGTAGCGCAACCCGAGCGTTTGGGAGGACGACTGGCACCTGCCCTTTTGGCGTTAACGCAGACGTATGGACGGAAAGATACACAGCACGACTTTCAGAACATGATAATGTCATCGGTATGCGCAGCCTGGAGGTACACAGATGGCCAAGATCTCGAGATGCACTGAAGCAAGGACGACAATGCGTGCCGAAGTAAGGTGCGCATCCTTCAGACACGCGACCGAAGATCAGCGATGTCGATCAACATGCTTCGCAATTCCGCAAGCGGCCCGAAGAGTGCCAGCAGCGTTTGAGCGACTGGTGCGATCTGCGCTGCGAGCCAGTGAGGTGGGTGAACGGTGATGGAGCTGTCTCAGAGCGCGCTCGTTTCTGTGCGTTTGCCACTTCCAGAATGTTTCCACGCTGATGTGGAGTCGCAGGATGACGACGCAGCGGCGATGACGAGCGGGGACAACACGATTGTTGATGTGAGATTTGTCGTCCTGGTGTCAGATGCACCCAGGGTGCAGTCAGGAGGACGAGAAACATCACGGTGCACGCGGGTGGAGTTGCCTGCCAGCTGTGCCGGTACATGGTAGACCAACCCAACGGGGCAGTCGGCCAGTGTATTCATACCGCTGTCAGCACAGGCTGTGTATTGAGTCGTTTCAGAATCCGCAGGCGGCCAGGCGGCCAGGCGGCTCTTTATGGTTCGCCGGGCGGACAGGCATGGCAGGGCCAGCACCCGTGGGCGACCGCTGGGCAGGGACGCACACCCGCTGGCGACGGGCAACGTTCAACTGACAGCTTGGGGAGCCAGGTGGTAGCGTGCTTAGGAACGAGGGCGCCCGCACTGGGTCGGCGAGCTGCTGGGCTGCGCGCTGTCAACGGAGGATCTGGCGGAGAGAAAATGCTTCGAGAACAATTGGCGCTTCCAGGCAGCTTCCATGTGGAATCCAAGCTGAGCTCTGAGTGGGGAGGAAGGAGCGGTCCAAACTGCTTTCGTTCACGAGTCGTTCGTCGTACCCACACCTCGCACCTCTCACGTCTTCCTCCTCCACATCTCAAGACACGCACGCCCTGATCCCCGCCTGCGTCTGCGCTGCCCCTCTGCACTCTGCCTGCTGTGTAGTGCGCCCAATGCTGCTCAGAGGCCTGCCACGAGTGCGCCGCTGCTTGCGACACTGACGCTGCTCCCACTGCACCACCCAGCACCCAGCACCCAGCACCCACCGTTGACCGTGGAGAGCCCCTGCGCCCTGCTTCTCGCTGCCTCAGCCTCTGCTGCCCACGCCCGTCCTCGCTGCGTGTCCCCTTTGCGCCCCCAGCCACCGGCAGCGCATCTGCATCTCGACCGTCTCGCGCCGCGCACGCGCCCTCGCCGACCGTTCCTGCTGCATTGAGACGCTGCCAGCGCTGCTGTGTCCGCCCGCGACCGCGCCTGCCCTCCAACGTCGCTACCCGCCGTTCGCGCCTTCCTCGCACCTCGCAAACGCTAGTCCTGTTGTGCGCTGCTGCTGCTGCTGCTGCTGCTGCTGCACGAGAGCGTGGAACCGCTTCCCTCTGTGTCACTGGGTTCCCTGGCGCTGTGCTCTACGTCGTCGTTTCAGGTCGCATCTCAGATCAACGGGCGCACTCCCGCCCGCGTGTCTGATTCTTTGCGCTTCCCCCACGCCCGCTGCGGCTGCACTCGTCTAGCGAACTGTCGAGCGAACACCGTCGCTGCGGCCAGTCCTGCCATTGACCTTCACATGCACTACGGCCAGCCCCTGCTGCACATCGTCGACTGAGCCGTCCTTCCAGCGCGCCTGTGCACCGACTCAGCACCCTCCACGCGTCCCATTGCGATACCTACCTGCGACCTATCTCGATCTCTCTGTACCCTTCCGCCTCCTTCTCCTCTGCGCGGCAGCCACCCGGACGCCGGAGACCACCGTAGGCTGGTCGCCGCTGCATAGGTGGAGACCATGGAACATGGCGCGTGCAACGTCATATACGTTGACCGGCGAGCCAACGACGAGCACGTAAAACGAGAGACGCTGTCCAGCTCTCTCATTGCAAGAACGAGCACAGGCAATGTTGGACAGAGCTACTTTGCGCTTGGCAAGACGCCGCCTGTTGAGGTGCATGCGAACGTCGAGGCCATTCTGTCCATCTTCAATGAAGGTAAGCAGCTTCCGTAGCTTAGTTTTGTGCCATTGCTTACAGACCACCCAGTCCACATCTGCGGTTCTGGCAGCTCATGTCTGTCCAAGATCGCCCAGCTTGTCGATGCTACCAAGTCCAACATACCGACCTTTGTTATCCTCGATGTACCGTATGACGAAGAATTACGGTTAAAACGGTTGTCGCGCGAACCTCGTACACCATCTCCTACGTCTCCACGTATAACGAGGGTAGACAACGGCGAGCCAGACGATACATACAGTACACACCTGCTCACACATATTTCTTCAGAGATATCGTCAAGAAACTTCTCCAAGCTGGTGGTCCCTGTTGTCATGCTGACCGGCCTGGAACGCGAATCTGCGTCCGCCGCCACTCCTCCATTGAGTCTTAACAAGACTCAAGTCCTCACTGATACTGTTAGATTGTCCAAGTACCTGGACTCTGGTGCCGTGGATGTGCTATCAAGTCCGTTATCAAAAGACCGTATGCATGGCTTGGCGGTACATGCCTATCGATTACAGAAAGAGGCCACACGCGAAGATGCCAGCTTTCTGACGACTAAGAGGAATAGGAAGCTATCGTGGGTCGGTGTGGACGATGCAAAGCCATACGCATACTTACGTGAGGCTATGGTATCCAGTTTGATGACCGGTATTTGCAACCCAGAGACCGTTGGGGACTCGTTAGATGCCTCGTAAGTTGATCAATAAATCAGGGTCCAGCCCAAAGCTTACATGAGTAGGGACTTCGAACTGGAACCTGAGAGAAAGAGAGTTGTCGAGGACAAAGTTGCTACCTGGGCATTTTCAGCGCACAACTTTACTGATGATGAGCTATTATACGCCGCACTGGTCATGCTTGAGCATGCACTCTCGTCTCCAGAACTCTCACAGTGGCAGATGACCGAAGGTATATTAATTGCCTTGACTCAAATTCCGTCACTGACTTACTTTCTAGATGAACTCATCGTCTTTCTCATGGCCAGTCGTACGGCGTATAATGAGTTCGTCAAGTACCACAACTTCCGTCACGTCGTCGATGTCCTTCAAGCGCTGTTCCACTTCCTGGTGCGAATAGGCACCTTACCCAGTTACCCTCCGACCAACGAAGAGCCTTCTAACAAGAAATCACCAATTGCCGACCTACTTAAGCCGTTCGACGCGCTCACATTGTTGATATCTGCAATTGGACACGACGTTGGTCATCCCGGTGTCAACAACGCATTCTTGGTCGCGCTCAACGCACCCTTGGCACAGCTTTACAACGATCGATCTGTGCTCGAATCCTTCCATTGTGCCGCATACTCACAAATACTACGGCGTTACTGGCCAAAGGTCTTCTCCGACATTGCTATGCGCAAACTGATGATCAACAACATTCTTGCTACAGACATGGGGTTACACTTCAAGTACATGAGTGATTTGGGAAGTCTTCAAGAGAAGATTGCACACGACAAGGGAGTCATTGATGGATGGAGTGTCAAAGTTCGCGAGGAACACAAGGATTTGACTTGCGGCTTGCTAATCAAGTGCGCGGATATTTGCAATGTTGTAAGTTTCGACATCTAATTCTTCAGGCCTTTTGAGCTACTGCTGACTCAGGTGGCTCCAGGCACGCAAATTCGAGACAGCCGCCAAATGGGCCAACATCCTTACGGATGAGTTTAGTAACCAGGGCCTGATGGAAGAAGAGCTACAGATGCCATCTTGTCTATTTGGAGGACCGCCCGTCCGGGACGATATGATCAAGCTTGGAGAGTCACAGATCGGCTTCATGAACATCTTTGCAAGGCCTCTTTTCGAAGCCGTGACCGACATTCTACCTGCAATGCGTTTCGCTGTCGACGAGATCTTGACCAACAAATCGATATGGGATACCAAGATCGACCAAGAAAAGCAAAGGAGGAAGTCGAAGACTCCCATACACCTCGGCCTACTGCAAGCGTCATTCGCGCGCGACCCTACCCCGAGCCCCTTCTCTGGCGGCCCAGGCAAGCCGAACGCTACTGTTCCCGCACCACCGACAGTCCAGGATGAAGCCGGTCGCCGTGGCTCAAGTGGTTCAATGCAGGGCGGCATTCATGGTTCACGCAGATCTTCCGCTGCGGTAGCCCTTGCATCACGTGAAAATCAAAGCTCCTCCCGGCGAGGTAGCGGCGATGCGAACCTTACAGCGATACTCGTCACACACACCCCGAATGCGGGCGATGATACCCCTAGGGGCTCGGATGCTGGCACTGAGGATCGTTCGAAAGCGGATCGTAAGGACACGTTGACACGATCTCCCTCCAAAAAGGACAGAGATAACGGCAGGCCAGTGACAGCTCCCGCCCCCGCCAGACGCAGTCAGGGTAAGCATCAAAGTACATTGGACCAGTCCAACAGTGTCCTCGGGGCTGACATATATCCAGTTGTTGAGCTTTATCCCGTCCAACAGTCATCGTCACAGAGCCATTCGGAGATAGATCTCTTGCAAGGCACTAACAGCAATCTTGAAGGCTCCAAATTGCAGCATTGGGATAGCAACAAGATGAGTGGTGAAAGTGGCGCAACACAATCCGATCTGTCACGCGATTCGAGTTGGTGGCGACAGATGAGCTCGAAACGGCGCACAACACGAGATGCCAGAAATGGTGACCACGATGTTCCATATCCACCTAAAGAGTCGATGCTGAATCCTCCTACGTCACACCCAGATTCGAACGCGCATTCGCAGACTGGGTTGAGCCCTGGCAGGAAGAACACAACTGGGCGTTTCAAGAGTTTCTTCAAGCGGAAGCCCAAGGGCCAAGAAGAGCAGGGAAAACAACTCTCGAGCTTCGGCAGCTCCTCGCAACTCCGGACAACCCCACCTACCAGCGATCAAGGTCGGTCGTTCAACAGCGACGATTGAGCGTCCCAAACTGGTCTACGGCTACACATCCATTCACAGGATTGAGACTGTATATCCGTCAACGATGACTATGGTTTACTTCAAAAGTATTTCTGAAAGTCTGTCACCATACTCTCCTAATAACAGGACACCTCTCGTTACCGTATTTCCTTAGGACACGATACCTCCGATGCATGACATAACGGGCGCACGAAAAGCTCCGCTTACTGTACTTTTTACTTTGTTTTACGCGATCATTGTCGACCCTCGGGTATCTTTAACGGATTGTTCGGGCGCGGATGAATCTCCCATCCTCATACTTTCCAAAGATGGGCGTTCTTGGGTCTTCTAATGGAGCCGATTCTCTTCGAAAGCTGCGAAGCTTGGCATTGTGCATAATGCATTTTTGGTTTGTTTGTTAGCGCGCTTTAAAATAGTTGGTTTATGGCTTAAAGGAGTCGCGCACTTGAAGGCGGTCTAGCGACTTGGTATTAGTGTTTGTTGTCGAGGAGCAGCGAGGAGGAGAACTTGCTAAGAATGGTGCGCAAGGGCATCGCGAACAGTGTCGGTACGTTGGGTGACTGCGAGACGCAGCAGGCTATCCTAAGATTTCACCTGCGTCGCGCTGCGACTAATGAGCTATTCCGTAATGAATGTATATTCTTGATACCCTCGAAATACCATCAGTCAATACTTTGGATCTTATCTTCCTCGGATCCTACAAAGCAGCGGCCCATTCCAAACCGACACCACGACTCCCAGGACTATCCGTTCCCCTTCAAACAGCTATCTTGATGATTTGCTCCAGCATGATGGTACTTGCAAAAGTTCATGTTGGTAATCATGATACTAAACAAATGGTCTACGACAGCCGCCGAACTTCGCGCCTGCACCCTCCACACCAACACCAGCAACTACCTCGAGAGCAGCACAAGGGCAGAAAGATGTTCCTACACAATCTCGACCACCTTGAAAAGGTGGTAATGGCAAAAAGAAAGTCTTGCATCGGCCGGGAATCGAACCCGGGGCTAGCCGAAACTGAGCTGTAAAGCTTGGCAACGGCTAATTTTACCACTAAACCACCGATGCGATATCTTGTGCTTGATATAAAGTTGAGTGTTTTGAAAATATATATTGGAAAATAAAAAACTGTGTTCTCCTCGCGGTTGTACGTTTTCTCAGCCTGACCCACAACCCTCATACTACGTTCATTTAGATTGTTGTTGGTAGGGAGATTCGGTGGCTATCTTACCGAGGATGTGCAACATGAGATTTTTTACATTGACGTAAGGCTTTGCGAGCCTCCTCTCACCGGACAGAACCTGGTTCACACAAACGAGATTCCAAAATCTGAAACTGTTGAGGTATTGGGTGTTTCTGCGCCCAGTTCTCGAAAGCAGGAACTGTTGCTGCCCGCCCGTGGGTGCTACGGACACCCTTACTAATGAAGCCTGGGCGCTGCCTAGCTATAATCAATTCCCTGTGTCAAGGACCTCTGCGTTTGCAAAAGCTCCAGGACTGCACAGTGCACAAAGCCACTTTTGGGAATATATAAAGCAGGTTTCTTTGGACGGATCTTGCTCAGCGCTTTTCTCAAATCAAGGCATCTGAGTGCAGCATTATTATGCGGTTGCTAACACCATGTGCATCAGGCGCTTGCCAACCCCCTCCCTGTGTGCGCTTATCCAATCACGATACTGCGCACTGTTGGAAGCGCCAACCTTGCGAGCTTGGTCGAAGAGTATGTTGAAATGGGTTTGGTTTTTTCCCTATGTCCGTAAGCGTCACCCGTAATCCAAGGCGCTTCCACAACGCGGGAGTATGGAGGAGCCGACCAGGACAAGGAGCATCGCATCACCCATTTGTTGAGGGGATCGGTCCTCTAAATGAGATGACCGCCCAAGGGCTGTTTTTGGTTAGGGATTCAACGCCCGGCCCTCAATGATTGGGGATCGCTGAATCTTTTTGGGGCAGAATCAGATAGGGCGTGCCCGTGCGCGCAATGCGCGGATTCACGCAATGCGCCAAAATCCTCACCAAAATAGCCTATTTCTAGTACTCTTTGAGATAATCCAGCTCTTTAGCTAGAAGAGATATTAAAAAAGTTCTAATACTAAATTCATAGTAGATGACTGGATCTATAACTTTTATATATAATTTTCTTAAAATATAGCTATTCTAGTTTTTCTACTTCGAATTACAAATTAAGGTTGATAGATTTGTCTAAGATTTTAATACAAGATAGAGTACTATTCACAAGTACCAACGCGGGTGGCAATCTTGCATAAACCTTCACATAGCACCCAACACAGCGCTGCCGTCAGTGTGCAAGGACTGCTGCAGGACTGGCAGGCTTACGTTAGGTACCTCCAGGCGTTCTGATATCTACAAGAGCTTGTCAGCGGTCTGGTGTTAAGGCTAGTCAGTTTGACGACAAAACAAGGCTCTTTGCAAAGTTTGCATAGAAGCTGCCTTAACAACTGTAATTCTTAGTTCTAAAGCTACCAGGATGTTTGACAGTGCCTATAGCACTACTACGTCCACTGTTACAGTAGATGCTAAGGATCGCGTTGCGCTTGAGCCATGTGAAGTCGAAGTACTATGGTATCCGGCAAAAGTAGTGTACATGGCCAATGCACAGCAGGGGTGTTGCCTCCAGAGATTGAAGTAGACTAATCTCCATTCATGTAAGAACCGTACCAACCGTTTCTTCCTCATACTACTCACACGATTGCTATCCGACTCCTAACCGATCCCTACCCTACTACCTACCGGTATCCCCCGAGCTACATCGAGCTGTTAG